GGCTTTCAAGTTTGAACATGCCTCCCATCTTTGGCTACTCAATAGTAGTTATACGCACAGACTCTAGATCCTGAGGTATAAAGAAATTTGAAGAATCAAAACTTGATAACCACTTTTATTTTTAAATAAAGAAAAGTAAAAGGTATATAAATCCATGTATATGTGCATATGTACACATAAATTTCACAAATTCTCTTGGATGTTTTTCATAAAATGGCTAATTTTGATATAATAAAATTTTCAGTTTGGTATAGGAACTGTAGCAGTCATTTTTTATAGAGAAGAGTACATAAAGATAAAGATAAGGAAATAATTTTTAAGTACATTTTACAGCTTAGAACAGCATCATTTTATGTAGATTAGAATGATAAGATATAACATTTCTATGTGTTTACGTATGATATTCTTGTTTACTTTTTTATACCTTTTACCAGAAATATATGGGCATGTAAGAAGATGAAGAAAATGATGTTGTTAAAATCTGACATATTTGATCACTCCTTAGTTATGCTTGTTGCCTACCTTCACCATGCCTCTCAGCTCCCCTCTCTTGCCTCAATATTCATACCTTCTCTCTTTCCCTCCTGTCAAGAGCTAAAATTTGAACCACTTATCTGAGACAATTTATCTGAGCCTGGATTTCCATTGTTTATTCTGTGAGGCTCATTGCTGTATGGCATAATCAGTGGGTGGTCAGACTTGCAGTTGAAGTCAACCAAACTCTGAGTGGTCTCACATGGAGGGGCCAGCTGGCCTTGAAACCCAACTCTTAATATTTACATGCATTAGGCAGATTTTATATGAAACATTCTTACAGTAAATGTGGTTCTTTATTTATACACTGAAGATCAATTTAAAAAATACTACATAAAATATTGTGTAAACCCTTTCTAAAATAAAATAGAAATGAACCATCTTATTGGAAATTCATTGAATAACGATGTGTGTGTGTGTGTGTGTGTGTGTGTGTGTGTGTGTGTCAGAGAGTTCAAAACAAAACAGCAAGGGACTGTTAGTGTGTGCATTCATTTTTGGTCTGAAAGAATCTTTCATAATTATGTATATAATTGTCACTAATTGAGTCACAAAGTTTTGTTTTTTTTTTTTTTTTTTTTTTGCAATCATTTTGCTCTTTTCCAATAAGTCATTACAGTCTGTATGAAAATACTATGTTGTATAGAGCTAGTTGACACAGCTGTGGATCACATAGTAATTCTATGCTCTCTCCCTTAGCCTTGGCTTTTAGAGCATTAGAGAATGAAGATGTCTTTTTCATGCCTCTAACATTACAGTAGTACAGATGCTGGTTTTACTTCATAATTTCACCTTTCTAGTCCTGGAAAATAATATAGCATCAAAAATAATATTTGCAGCCCGCTATACCTGTTATGATACTCAGGTTAACTTATACACTGTCTCAAACACAATGTATGCTTAATACAAATAACTGGGAAATACTTTCTTGGGAAATAAAACTATTACAGTTTTACAGGAATTTCCATTTTTTCCTATGCTATATTTTATAGCTAACCATTAAATAATAATGTGGGAATTTATAGTGGAAATATTAGCGACATTCCATTAGAGAAGTAAAGTCCCATAAATGGTAATTGGTTGGAAAAACAATATGACTCTCAAAAATATTTAAAAATAGAATTCATATATGAGACACTACATTTTCTGTGTTTCAGTAATTAAATATGGAACTTGGTAATGTGTAACCCTGGATTGGATGTTAGGTAGGATTTCCCAATTTGTTCATTTGAATGCAATTAAAGAGACTCACAAGCCCAGGCAATTAGGGAAAAGAATTTGGAATTGGAGTTCCTAAATAAAACCTTCGGTGAATTTATTCCTTGATGTACTGGTTGTGGCCAGGGTTTCTAATTATTATTTTATGGGCAAAGGAATAAATAACTTGGCATTCGATGTACTCTTTTTTTTTTTTCTTGGTGAGTCTTCATCTCTAATAGTTCAGATGTAGCTACTGTGTGCTTGATTGATGCATTTTGGCTCATCACATGCTGTCAACATACTTTAGGTACTTTCATGCATTTATTTTAAGCCTGCCAAAACTCAGTAGCCAATGACATAAGTCATCTACATTTTCACAAAATATTGCAAAATTACTCAGAAAAATGTCAACTTCCTATACTGTTCCATGATATATGCAAGTAAATATTGGAAAAATTAATAACAGTGTGACCATTAAAATCCCATTTACTTGGATATTAACTGCACTTGCTCTATTTCATGTTTAGTGGGAATTAAATTAGTTTTTTTCCACCTTATGTAGGTGCTACCTGAATATACATACATATGTATGTACCTGCATACATATTAGCATGCATACATAATACATACCAGGATACATATGTGTGTTTAAAGACTTTTTAAGGGGACAGACTAATGATTTTAATAACAAAATGAAATCACTTCAGGTTCCTTGTATTTGAGGTACCTGGAATAAATGTAGTCTACTTGAATAATGTAACAGATTCAGAGTTCAGCTTCCTTCCCTCTGGTTGTAGAGAATTGTGTGCAAATTCATTAAAGATCTGAAAGAGGTCCTCATAGCTCATGTATTGCTGACCCTGAGCCTATGCAGCAAGCTTGAAGACTCAATTTAGCAGATGTGTTCTAACATTCAGAAAGCCTTCTGAGACACTTGAAGGTTCTAACCAGTTAACATGGCAACTGTCAAATCCTTGTTAATCACTACAAAATGGAACAGATATTTCCATGTCGAAAATAAACAAAAAAAATTACAGTGCAATATGCAAGCAGTAACTACTACAGAAAAACCAATAGACACTGACACAGTTTTTATCTAAGATGTTCAATTTTAAATTACAGCAAGTCTATAGAAAATTATGAAATAAATTAACAGCAACATATATACACACATATTTACACACATGTAAATATTTATGACAACAAATAGTATAAATTTCTCTTGATTTCTCAAAACAAAGATATTAAATCAGCACTTGGAATGCTCTATATTAGTTCATTTTCAAGCACATATTTTTATATTATATATTTTTATTAATTTTTAGAGGATTTCATGTAACATTTTGGTTAAATTCACCACTATTATTCCCTTTGTAGATATTTGTATACATACTACATATGTATTTTATGCACATAGTTTTTATAAATGACAATAATGAATAAATTGTGAAATATCAGGAGTTGTATATCCTAGTAGAACACATAATCTATTAAGTGTATTTAAAAATCCTAACAATCACTAGGCATAAATTGCAGTTACTAGATCTTGAGTGTCTCATGGGTAAAGATACTTGCTGCTAAGCTTTATGACTTGAGAGTTAAATCTTCAGGACCCAAATCATGGAAGCTTCCCAAGAGTAATCTCTCATGCATGCATTCTTGCATACACAGAAACTAAGTAAATAATAGAAGAAATGAAATTTTATAACCAATGCAAAGGGGATGGGGAGAACATTTAGTTACTATTGGCGAGAATATAAGTCAGCATAATCATTTTAGAAAATGTTATGACAGGTTTAAAATGAGCTAAAAATAGAAATACTGTGAGATACAGAAATCCCAGGATTGTCTGTACTTCCAGAGTAAAGGAAGTTTGTACACTGAGCAGTAATGAAGCTGTGTTTTGTTGTCTGCGACAGTTACTTCTCTCTATGTTATGGCCAAGTACTTGTCAGTAGGACTTAATAGAAGAATTTATTATGTCAGCTCACACACTGAAGGTACAGTCATCCACATTTGGGTAGGCACAGCAGCAAGAGCTTGAGGCAATTTTTCTACTGTGTTCATATACAGGAAGAAGTCACCCATGGATGCTGATGCTTAGCATGAATTCTTCTTTTTATTCAATCCAGAGCCCCAAAACATAGAATAATGCTACCCACATCTATGGTGACCAATTCCAACTTAATTAATCCTATAGAGACTTCCTGGAAGATGTTCCTAGGTGATTATAGATCTAGACATACTGACAATCAAATTTAACCCTTCAGTGAATAAAATGCCATGTTCAATATTTTATATGTAATACTTTCTCAATAAGCATATATTGATGGCTAAAAGGTGTTTTACAATAATGTCATAAATTCTTTCCTGGTTCTTAATTTTCAACACATTTATATTTAGTGTTCATAATTTCATTCAATCTTAGGTTACTACAGTTGATAAAATTTCAATAAACATGATTTAATTTTGAAATTACTCTTAAGTTGACATAGGTTGTATAGTCACACGATATTCTCAAATATAAAAGTAATTCAATCTTATAGGGATTTGTCAGCATAAGCAACTTCTGGGCATAGTTATAGTTTGGTATAGTAATGATGTGCAAATCTATATAACTGTAGCTTCTTGATGAATTAGATATGTTTCCCTATCATATTGCTTCTAAAATTATCAAAATGAAAAATTTTTAGATGATGTTGCTATTTTTTGAAAATTGATCATTCAATAAATATATACATATTTTCATATAAATGGTTTTAATTGTTTGCCAAAATATTATATTTTCCTCATCAATAATGTACCAAATCCATACTTTTTATGTATAATATGTTTTTGCAGTTCTATTGTCCATCATTGTGGGTGGGCATTTTCTTTTCCTGAACATGATTCTACTGAGAAATTCCCTTCCAGATAACTTTTCAGTGTAAACTAATCAGCATGGTAGCTATGGAAGTACACTTCCCTTTGCTTGTATATCATTTGGCTTTTAATATTCTTGTTCAATTGTAAATTATGTAAAACTGAATATTAGTAGATAGAGTAATATATAGTAGATTTTCGGTAGCAGAAAGTAAGTCAGAGCAGTGTAATTGATTGTGAGTTTTTTTCTCAGTCCTATAAGACTCATCTTTTTAATGGTATGCATATAAGTAATTTCTCTTCTGTGTACATTTAAGTGTAGGCTACTATGGCCTTACAAACATAACGAAGACTTGTTTAATTGCCTGTGCTGAAAATCTGTCTCCTTGTCTGACTCTTTGCAGGGCGATATTCAACAGTTCTTGATCACTGGTGACCCCAAGGAAGCATATGACTACTGTGACCATTACAGTCCAGACTGTGACTCAACATCCAAGGCTGCTCAGGCTCAGGAGCCACAGATAGATGAGGTGAGGATGCAGGACACAGGGGGTTTGAAGGTCCAGAGGTGTGGTTGTGACCTCCATTTAAAGCATACTTACTCAGTTTATTTAAACTATATTTTTAATGAAGAGTGATTATTTTTAGGAAGAATTTATGCAAAGGTAATTTGTTTTTTTTTTGTGTGTGTGTGATTAATTACTTAATGCTATATTTCAGCTATTTGCTTTAAACAGATAATGCCACTCAACTATGGGGAAAGTATGTCTTATGATGTAGTAATTTCCCATCTTTTGACATTTCATATTGAAAAGAAAAAAATTTGGGATTTTAGGTCCTATTAAATAGTCAAAAGCTTACACATTTTTTAATTTTCTGAAATTTTACTTTTCTCATTGGAAAGTAGAGAAATAAAACAGAACATAGTTTGTGTTTTAATTTGTATTGAAAGTACTGATATTGATTTAATAGAATGTAAAACATTTTTGAAATTATATAATTACATTTCCTGCCTTCCTTTTCTCCCTCCAAGGTCTTCCAGGTATTCCCTTTATCTTTTTTCAAATATCTATACAACCTGATTATTCCTTAATGTGTTACTTGTGGGAATATGCTTTCAGGGCTATACACTGGTACTGAAATCCAATTGGTGTGTTATTTTTTGAGAAGACTATATTTCCACATTTGTTTTTTGAAAACAAATGAAGTCAAATTGTGAAAGGGCACTTGAATTTTGAGAACAAAATTGTATTTCAAAAATAACTCAAGTAGTATATATTTTATTTTTAAAAACTTCATGATTAGATGCAAACTTTTGAATTTTATCTACTCAGAATAAATGGACATTTGATTTGTTTTATTGTCATAACTGATGCAAAACGTCTTGGTTTTTATAATTCAAAGTTGCAAATTTTTGATGCTATTTTCATTTATAATACAGTCCAGTGAATTTTGTTGTCTCAATCTTTCCCAGAATTTAACATTAATATACTTTTTAAAACAAAGCAAAATCTTAAAGAGACAGTGGCAAGGTCAATATGAAAGAGCTAAGAAAAATTGGGTGGATGTTTCCTTTGTACAGTTTTCAAGTGCCTTATTCTTTTATTTCCTTATGACTTACTAAATATATTTTTTGGATTTTATGTCTTTATAGCTGATGGGTCAAAAGTATGTCCATAGTTTTGTATTCAAAACTAATGATATTTATTTGGCATTTTTCACTTTTATACGTCAACTAAAATCTGCTTCTTATAGCAAATATGTGACTCTGCTTAATGGAAGAAGAGAAGCAGGTGTTTTGTGGATAATGATTGACAATTATCATCAGCTTCTAATTTGTCAAATGAAGTTTAAGTTTTTCAGGAAGAATTGATTCTTACTTCCCCTAGTTAGCTACATTGATACTTGAATGTAATAAACATTCTATATAAACGCTAAAAATTAAGAATATATGCAGTTCTTATAATAATTTTAAATGGTAGTCATTACATATGTCATTATATAATAAATGTATAATTTCCTAGTTAATTTTCAGTTAGTCTACCTTAAAAACATGCAAGCAATATTATCTTCTCAAGCCTAAACATACAGTGTAATGTGGAACATGGGTCAGGACATTGATTAATATTCTACTAATACATTTTTGAATTGATAAAGGTAAACTGACTCAGATACTTAATTTTCATTACTCTTTTTTTCTCCTCTCAGTAACACATCTAAATTTTGTGTGCATTTGCCATAGTTACATCCTCATCATGGAGTGGGAGTTGTAGTCTGTAGATTGATTTCTGTTCAGTGCTGACATTTCATTTAGCAATGGATTTAAATTTCCCTGATATAGTAGCATAAGTGATATTGAGATTATGTCTCTTTGGGATATTCTTACCATGTTATCTTCCTGACTTATAAAAAATTAGATATTAAAGTTCCATTGTTCTTTGTATTTCCTTGTTCTTGTTGTTGTTTTTGAGATAGCATTTTTCTATGTAACAATCCTGGCTCTCCTGTGCCTCACTATGAAGTCCAGGCTGCCCTTAACTCACAGAGATCTGTCTGTCTCTACCTCCTGATTGCTGCATGACTACCGCCCATCTTTCATGTTTCTTTCTTAATGTGTGTCATATATTAAGGTCTACTTACCTGTAAAGAAGTAACTGACATTGTTTTCTTTAATGACTAAAATGGAAGGTAACGCAAAGAAAAAGATAATTTTTAATGAAAGACTATTAGAGAAACCTGGCTTCCTGACATGGATGTCTCTCACCATCTTTTTGTTAGTGTCTGTTGTCAATAACAGTTCTCATCAAGGCAAAGGTTTTTATGATTACACTAATTTTGTTTTTTTCTAAGCAAACATGTCAGGAAAGAAAATTTTCAGAAAACTCATCTTTAATCCAGTTCCAAATTCTCCTAGGGAACTCATTGAGTCAAGTTTAATTTATCTGTCACATCATAATCTTGATTTTTTTTTTTTTGGTTTTTATTTGTTTATCTTTTGTTGAACATAGATTCTCCTCTCATACAATATACAACTATCATAGTTTACCAGCCCTCTACTCCTTCCAGGTCCTCCCCACATCCCCTCCTTTCTAGATCGATTTCACTTCCAGCTCTCATTAGAAAAGAATAGGTGTCTAAGAGAATAATCAAACATTACAAAATAAAATATGATAAGATGAAGCAAAACGATCATATTGAAGTTGAACCTAGCAGCCCAACAAGAGTAAAGGAGTCCTAAGCATGGGCATAAGTGTTGGAGACCCACTTGTTCTCACAGCCAAGACTCCCGTAGACAGACCAATCTAAAATCCACAATATATACGCAGAGGACCTGGTGTTAACATGTAGGCCATATGCTTGCTGCTCAGTCTCTGTGAGCTCATTTGAATCTTGCTTAGTTGAGTCAGAGGGACTTGTTTTCCCAGTGGTAGTATCCTCCATCCCTTCTGTCTCCCACAATTCCTTCAACCTCAGCCTATTATCAGAGCCCTGAGGGGAGGAACCTGATTGAGACTTCCCATTTATATTCTCTCTCTGCATAATTTTGGGCTGTGGGTCTCTGCATCTGTTCCCATCTGCTGCTGAAGGATGGCTCTGCAATGATGACTGGTAAAGCAGAATATCATTGGGCATAATTTTATTGATTATTTTTAATTTTATTTAATTTTATATAACAGTCCAATTAAATGAAAACAAACATTTATACACAATATTTGGGAATTTGGGCGTCGTTCTTTCCAAACTACTTCCTGCTGGTAAGGGGCGCTGTCTTGGGGGATTCGAAGAAGATTCAGATATCCTGGCTGTAGTCTGTAGGGCTGTTTTGTCCAGCTGTTTTGAATGTAGGATCAGCTTGTACTCTGTTTCAGGCAGTCTGGCGTGATCAAACCACATTAGTCTGGAAGGAATCCACATCTTTTCATTTTCTGTGGAAACAAAAATAGAAATCCTTTTCCCCAGTAACTTGTCCTTCAACTTAAATTTTGGAGTCAAAGCATTTTTTTTTTTTTTTTTAGTTTAATATATTATTTTAGAGGGAGGGAGGGAGAGGGAACTGGGATCGACATGTAAAATAATAAATTTTATTGATTTTTTGTTTGGTTCGTTTGAGTTTTAGTGTTTTGTTTTGTTTTGCTTTGTTGAGACCAATAAGTGTTGGTCTTACCCTAGGTCCCTGAGCTGTTTCTTAGTCATGCAAGCAGTGATGGATTTGGGCTTTCTCTCATGGGATGGGTCTTAAATCAAATCAGACACTGGTTGGCTACTCCCACATGTTCTGCGCCACTGTTGCTCTAGCATTTTCTTCAGGCAGGACAGATTGTAGGACAAAAGTTTTGTGGTAGGGTTTGTGCCCATGCCTCTCCTTAGTGTAGCCTATTGAATATGCTCCAGTAACAAAGAGACCAGAACATAAGGGTCTATTCAGGCTCTAACTTGACCACTCCATTTTCAATGAGTTATATAGGACTAGCCCTCAGCAACAGGGCCACCTGTTAGTTTTGGGGAGAGCAACCCTTTGTTTTAGCAACAGCCTGGGTTGTTTGGGGAATACCTTGGGATCCCTTTTGCTAGCAACTCAATCCAGTCCTGCTACTGGAAGCTCTGCTTACTTACAAGAGTTAGGCAGGTGTGACTCTATATACCCCACTACTAGGAATTCTCCCTAGGATCACCTTCATACATTTCAGGAAGCTTATACACCACTACTCAAATGCTCCCCTATTCAAGCCATGTATCTTCTACTTTCCCCTCTATCCTATCTCTCCACACACCTGATCTCCCTGTTCCCATATGTACCCACCTCCATTCCGCATGTAAAATCCGTTTTATTTTCCTCTTTCAAGGTTTCAGGGTTTCCTTTCATTGATACAACTGGTTCTTCTCTACATCCATTTTCTGGACATTTTCAAAATTAATGAGAAGTGAAAAGTATCCTCCAAACTATGCTAAACAGCTTCATGGGGATAAAGAGTCATAGAAGTGTAATAAATAGTGGGATTTTGTTTATTTGCCTCCTTTTAAGATGTGACTAGGCAGATAGTGATATAATGAGCCTACAAGGCACAGTCCTTTTGATTGACTCCTGTGTAATTCTCTGAGAAAGATGTGGTCCACTGCCTGAGAAGAATACTTAGCACTTCCTTAACTTCCCCTGTAAGTATTCCAGAAGTTCTTTACTTGCAGAAAAACTTAGCAGTAGAGAGAGAACTGTAAAGATTGGAAGACATTTCTTCTTCATTTCCCCCTCACCCTCAAAGCAAACATTAATTTAGTCAGAAAAAGGTTTTGTGAACATCAAGGCAGAGAACTAATAAAAATGAATGTTTCAACTCATTGTAATTAATACAACTAAGTTACATGGGAAGAAATTTTTTCTATCAGAAGAAATTTGACATAAAATTTATTACTTTAATAAGCATTGACAAATGCATCTCCAAATCCCAGAACTTAGTCTAAATATTTTTATTGATCACATATAAAATTGGCTTTTTATTGTCTTACTGGTATTTCTTTCATTTATTTATTTATTATTTTACATGTCGATTCCAGTTCCCTCTCCCTCCCTCTCTCTCTCTCCTTGCCTTTTACCCTCTCTGCCCCCTCACATGCACCCTGACCACCCTCCTCTCCCATCCCCCCCATCCCAATTCCACATGTAGTGCAATGCCATCCAGGTGGGGTCATGTAAATCTGTCAAGTCATTTGAAGTAGGGACTTGGACTTCTCTTCTGTCTCTAGATTAAGGCAGTATCCCTTTATGGGAGATGTGTTCGCAAGGTCCTTTTGTGCACCAGGAATACATTTTGGTCCCACTCTCTGAGGTCCCTTAGACTGCTCAATCCTTCTAGCTAAGACCCATATTCAGGGAGGCCTGAGTCAGTCCCATGCTGGATTCCCAGCTATCAGTTAGCTCCTCCTTGTTCAGGTTAGTTGTCTCAATGTGTTTCTGCAACCTGGTCTTGTCCTCTCCATCTGCATCTGAATTCTAGTTTGACTAAGTGTTTAGGTATGGGGGTTTGCTTCTGTTTCCAACAGGTATTAGATGACAGCTCCATGATGGTGGATAAGTTAGTTGTTGATCTCACTGTCCGGGAAGGGTATTTATGGTAGCCTTTCCACAGATGCTCAAATTGTTAGTTGGCGGCAGTCTTGTAGGTTTCTAAACTTTTCTTTAGGTTCAGTTTTCTCTTCGAACCAATAATGGCTTCCTCTTTTATGTTTGTTCTCTCTCTCTCTCTCTCTCTCTCTCTCTCTCTCTCTCTCTCTCTCTCTCTCTCTCTCTCTTACTCTCATTCTCTCTTCTGTCTTCTATTCCTATCCTGACTCAATCTTCCTAGTCACACATGCTATCCTCTCCTCCCCCTCCCTTTCTCCTACTTCTCTCTCCATTCACTGTCCCCCCCCCCCACTTCTCCTGTGCTCTGGGGGACTTGTCCCTTCCCACTTCTGTGAGGGACTTTATATGAATCTCTTAGAATACACCTTGTATCCTAGTTCCTCTCGTGGTGTGAATTATAGGCTGGTGATCCTTTGCTCTAGGTCTAAAATTTATATATGAGTGACTACATACCATGTTCCTCTTTTGTGACTGGGTTACCTCATTTAGGATGGTTTCTTCAAGTGCCATCCACTTGCCTGCGAATTTCAAGATTCTATTATTTTAGTAGTTTATAATGTGTAATTTGATTGCATTTAAAACTGTGAACAGTTAAATCATCTGCAAATGCTTCTTGTTTTTCATATTTTATTTCAATCCATCCATAAGTAGTTACATTTCTTAATCCCACCTGAGTGATAGTAGCTTTAGAAATAATACTCTTTGGTGCATCATTCTTACTAATACTTAAGTTAAAATCTGACTTGGTGGTTCCATGCCTGTAACCTAGAATTTGTATGGTAGAGGAAGGAATACCAAGACTCCAAGGCCATGTTTGGGTGCACAGAAAGACTGAGGCAAGATTTGTGAAGAGGAGTCTCTCTCTCTGCATAGACATATTATATAAAGTATATATAATATGTATATTTATAATCCTATATAAAGCATATATTTACATATGGAAGTGTATGTTATGTAGAAAGTATATACATATATGGAAAGTCTATATGTAAATATAGCATATATTTTTGTATATAAAGAATGTATACTTCAATATATATATATTTAAATATATATATCTTATATATAAGTATATACTTTATATATATAAGCTTTGTATGGACATTCCACATGTATGTGTATACATTCTATATGTACATATACTTTCCATATATATATATATATGTGTATATATATTCATATGTATGAAGAGAGAGAAAATTTCCTAGTAGTTGCAGATATTTTATTTAACTTTTACAGTTAGAAAAGGCATTTTAATGAGTTATCTATACATACCTTTATGTCTTACCAAATTATAAATAATCTCTACTAATTTTTATCAAATTGGTATTTTGATACTCATCAAAAACTAAGGGTATTTTTGTGTTCATATTTCATTATTGCTTTTGACTACATCATCTAGAAACATTCACAGAGCCTGAGGAAAAGTCTTTAAATACCAGGTGTGCACACTTGCCACAGTGTCAGTTTAGACATACCTCATAGTCTGCCTGTTAAACTGCATTAATTTTCATTGCTATACATATGGGAACATAGTAGAGAGTAGTGTGATCACAGTTTTTTAGAAGGTTTAATATCACTAGTTACTTCCCTGGCAGATTAAAAATTATTCACTGGGCATCAACAGATGCTAGCAGAGGAGTAAAGTTTTAACAATTACAATACCTAGGAAATTTTTTAGAAGTTTCCCTGTATTTTGTAGATATATATTTGGGGATTTTGACACTGAGTTTAGTTCTTAATTTTTTTATAATATACAATCCTAGTGTAGTTATTTTGATTAAAAATAATAATTGAAATTTTCATAAAGACAGCTTTGTAGATGAAAAACTCTCTTCCTCATCATTTCATAAATAGGTTGTGGCTGTACTCAAGAAATATACTTGGTCCCTAATTAAACTATTAATGCTTAAATATGTAAGGTAAAATAATGTAAATAAAGTAATAAAGTTCAATTATTTTAAGATATCTTAGCATTAGGCACTAAATTCATTAAAAAATAGTAACAATGATGGAAATGATTTATTAATTGAGATATACCTAAATTTAAAAATGTAATATTTTAGTAGTTCTTATGTTTATTTAGATATTTTAAATTAGAGCAGCAGTCAGTTCTCAACTTGAGGGTTATAACCCCATTAGGGGTTAAATGACACTTACATAGGAGTTGCCTTAGACAATTGGAAAGCACTGATATTTACATTATGATCCCTAACAGGAGCAAAGTCACAGTTATAAAGTAGTAACAAAACAATTTTATGGTTGTGGGTTACAACATGAGGAAATGTGTGACAGAGTTGCAGCATTAGGAAAGTTGCAAACCACTGGTGTAAAGAAAATAAGATATTTGGAGTAATCATAAATTTAAATTTCCCAAATACAGTCATTTGTATTTCATGTATTTTTTTCTATTTTCCCATAATAGATATAAATATCATCTCATATTTTCATGAGACCCACCTGCCTCTGCCTCCTGAGTGCTGGGATTAAAGGCATGTGCCACCACCACTGGGCCATTTTTTATTTTTTCATCATATTATTTATGGAAAACAAACATGCTTATGGGAACACTCTTCTTTTTTTATTCTAATTTTCACCATGTTTATGATTGAAGCCAGTGCTCAGTGCTTGTCCACACTTAGCTGTAGCCCCAGAAAAATTACTATTTTTATAGGGAAACATTTCACAGCAGATTCTTACAAATAAAAATAAAAAGTGGACGTTTAACAAGTATGTCCAAAACTATAAGTCTTAACTTTGAATTAATATTTAATGTTTAATAAAAGTTTGAATCAGTATTCAAAACTTTTATTATTCTCATAGTGCTAACCACTTGTTCTGTTCTTAGAATGCTTGCTGGATAACTCTGATGTTATTAGCTTCTGAATACATTGAATAATATGCTTGTTTAATCCCAGATCTCTCTTAACATTTGCTTTGAGTAAAGGTTAAGCAGATGATCTCCATTCTGTTAATAATATTATTTGCAACTAACCAAATTGCCCAATATTGTTTCCTTTGTGATGTAGTATGCACCTGAGGACATAATCGAGTATGACTATGAGTATGGGGAAACAGACTATAAAGAGATTGAGAGTATAACAGAGACACCAACTGTCACTGAAGAAACAGTTGTCCAAACAGAGGTAAAACCAACTGTCTCTTGTGGTGTCCCACTCTTCATCATTCCTCAGACTCACTTTTCTCCTGTCATTCAGTTCTGGGAATTAATAATGGATTTTATTTGACAGATACCAGCCTGGGGATTGCTGACCATTTGTACATTTACACTTCCTTTTGTCCGTGCTCTTTGTTTTCTTTCTCACTGCATCTTTTCCATTCCATTTTCATGACATTTTACAGAAAAAGAAATCCAATTACACAAAGAAGAAGAGGACATTGGCCACTAACTCAAAGAAAAAATCTAAAAAGTTCACATCCCCCAAATCTGAAAAACATGCATCCAAGAAGAAGAAACGTTACCAAGCTACAGCCAAGGCCAAACTAGGGGTCCAGGTAGCCAGAAAAAGCAATCAAGATCTATCCTAGATGAGATGGAAGATCTCTGATGAGTCTTAGTCTTAACCTAATTAGTCCAATACCAATTTGGCTAACACTCTAACTCAATTATATCATGAATTTTCACCTCCTTGAGGTTATAAATTTCCTAACCCTCTTTCTTCTGAATTTACTATCAGGCAAATATTGTAGATGATTTTCAAGACTACAACTATGGAACAATAGAAACTTACCAGACAGAGTCTCCGAGGCGCTTATCAGGGTCAAATGAGGTAAGTCACTTACTTAGGCAGCAGTGATCACAGTGTGTCTTTCTAAATATATAATGTACTTTGATGGATTTCTTTGGAGAAGCATCCCAACCCCTGAGACCTTTGAGTAGTCATGCTTAGAGAAATGGAGTCATTGGTTCATAATTACAAAACACTCTCCATTTACAGTGGGTGTCACTTCAAGATTTGCAAAAAACATTGCTTCCTGCAAATTCTATGAGGTTAAATGGAATTGGTGGCTACCATTTTCTTTATTGCTGCCACAGCTGAGCAAGTCTTTGTAACATTTTACAAAGAATATTCACAACATGATCCTTCCAGGAGAAGAATCCTCTGATGTGAGAATTGTATCAACAATGGATACAATTTGAATTTATTGCATGGGAACAATTATGGATTATTTTGATGACAACAAACATTTTAGCAAAAGTGGTCTTAGATATAATAGTTATTTATATTTTAAACTTCTTTACAATAGTAAAGTTAATTATGATTAAGATAATATTGTTTAAGCATTCAGTTGGTTTCTAAGAAAGTGTTCCAAGATAGGTAGGTTTAATTAGGTCCCTTTAAATTTCATATCGCATATAAAATATGAAGTTTAATGCTCATAAAATATCAATCAGGAAAAAATCCTTTAATATTGTTAAATATTTTGCTGCCTTTATTTATATTATTATCATCAGTAAAGAGTACTAGGTAAGTGGAAGTAGTTTAATTATTTGAAACATATTTGTCCCAATAGAACATAACTGTAATACAAACACATTCTTTATAGTTTTAAGCATTTAGGATATGAATATATTTTAACTTTACCTAGTCTCAGTCCTGTCTTATGAGACATTACAACAGCTCAAGATGTTGACTTTCTTTATCTAAATTCATTCTGGTCTATTACTTGAATGCTAAGAATATAATTGTGTTATAAGTGAGATGAAACTTCTTTGCAGAAGCATATGTTCCATATTTGAGTAATCTTTTATGATTGTTGGACTTTTTTATACCTGCTACAGTAATATAACAGTAATGCATAATTTTCTATATTGCTAATTTTTAGTCTAATTTCTCTACTATCTATATTCAGTCTTTGAGAACAAATTTTTAAATGTAACTCAAAGGTTGAAAAAGCATATGGTTTTAATTTTAAGTTGATTACAATCATAAAGTATGACAACACCACTTTTTTGTGAACAACATACTGAATTGGTAATGAAATTAGTCTTCAGATATTGGTACTAATATTTAACTGAGTAAATAGCTAATTGCAATTCTTATCTTTGTAACAATTATATTTTACTTTATTATTCAATATGATATGAAAACTAAGCAAATATTCAGCTATATGCTTAATTTACTTGTTCAGATCTTATGCTATAATGTCTCATTAAGGAACAAGTTTTCTTAAGTGAGAGTAAATACACATGATGATTTCATGTGAATATTTGCAGTTGATGGGGGAAGGTGCTTTGAAAGCAATATTTCTTTGTACATATCAATGTATGTACAAATATATTTCTTTCAGTGGTACTGAACAGCTTCTCCCAGTTTCTGGTCTTGCTTGATTAGTAAGCTGTCTTCCTGTCACATGCCATTAAACTGTAGTTACAGATGCTTGCCTTGCTTTGCTAACAGTAAACTTCATGTTCTCCAATTCCCTGCAACTTAATTGAATAGCCAAATCCAGTTGAAGAAGGTTTTACTGAAGAATATCTAACTGGAGAGGATTATGATGTCCAGAGAAACATATCTGAGGATATTCTCTATGGAAACAAAGGAATAGACGGCAGGGACTCTGATCTTCTGGTAGATGGAGATTTAGGCGAATATGATTTTTATGAATACAAGGAATATGAAGAAAGGACAACACCCTCCCCTAATGAAGAATTTGGCCCAGGTGTCCCAGCAGAAACTGATTTCACAGAAACAAGCGTAAGTCAGTATGATGCTCTGTGCCCTGCTGGTATCTTATTTGGGAGATACTTCTGTGTTCATTCTGATGTGTTTTTGGTTTAAAATGCATTTGAGTTCTTATGTCAGTTGTGGGCACTGACCATGCATAGACAACTATGAGAAATTCTTCTAGTCACATCAATTGTGTCTTGGATCCTCACTGCATTCTTTGTTTTAAAGTATTATAAATAGAATTCTACCCCAAATTTCTCATCATTGATGAATTTATATAAGTTTTATTATTATTTTCCTGATTATTAGCTTTAACTTTTAATTTGGACTATTTTCTACACTTAATTTGATAACATTTCTTACATTTTAGAGCACTTTGGGGCTACAAATACATTTAACTTTCTGTAACACAGATTTAAAGAAGCAATGGTTTGTTCTTACTTAAAGAGTGTTCATGTGTATTAGGCAGTATTGAAATTTTTAATGTTTCACTTTAAAATGATCACATATTAAAAGGTTGCTTTAGCTAGATGGTTAAATTATTCAATGTTAAAAAATTGAGAAATCGCCTTATCTATTGAAATGAATTTTGACTATTTTTAATTTTTCACTTCTCAGATAAATGGCCACGGAGCATATGGAGAGAAAGGACAGAAGGGGGAACCAGCTGTGGTTGAACCTGTAAGTGTATTTAATATATTTTTATTTATTTATTTATTTATTTTATATAACCAAATCCATTTAAATGAAAACAAACATTTATAGACAATATTTGGGAATTTGGTTGTCGTTCTTTCCAAACTACTTCCTGCTGGTAAGGGGCGCTGTCATGGGGGATTCTAAGAAGATGTAGAAATCCTGGCTGTAGTCTGTAAGGCTGCTTTGTCCAGCTGTTTTGAATGTAGGATCACCTGGTACTCTGTTTCAGGCAGTCTGGCTTGATCAAACCACATTAGTCTGGAAGGAATCCACATCTTTTCATTTTCTGTGTTAACAAAAATAGAAATCCTTTTCCCCAGTAACTTGTCCTTGAACTTAAATTTTGGAGTCAAAGAATTTTTTTTAATTTATTATTTTACATGTGGATCCCAGTTCTCTCTCCCTCCTTCCTTCCCTCCCAACCTCCCTCTCTCCTTCCTTCCCTTTTACCCTCTCTGCCCTCTCACATCCCCTCCCATCCCCCCACCCCAATTCCATATATGGGCAATGCCATCCAGTTGGGGTCATGTAGATATTTGTAAAGATCGCTACACTTGTTTAATTTATGAACTACCATCATCTTAAGTCATTATCTATTTTTGTGAATTTTCAGTGAAAATGATGCTTTTTTTTGCCTTAACACTTTATTTATTTTTTTTATTTAATTTATTATTTTACATGTTGATCCCAGTTCCCTCTCCCTCCCTCCCTTTTACCCTGTCTGCCCCCTCACATGCATCCTGACCACCCTCCCATCTGATCTCCCCACCCCAATACTACATGTAGGGCAATGCCATCTAGGTGGGGTCATTTAGATCTGTCAGATCATTTGAAGTAGGGACTAGGGCTTCTCTCCTGTCTCTAGGTTAAGGCAGTATCCCTCCATGGGGGATGTGTTTGTAAATTTAACACAAATAGGTGAGCGGACAATGCCTTTACTTAAAAGCAAATTTTTAGTAAAATGAAATTATCTATTTATGGAATTTTGGAATTTGAAAGTGGCTGACAATTTTTCTGGTCCAGTCCTCTTTTTTTGCAAAGCTGAGTTTGCATATCTTTCTTCCTAGTTTCAAATGTTTGATGGTTGAAACATAATGACTTTAGCTTTTTAAATTATATATATATAATTTATGTAAGTATTTTTAAAGAAATGCAATATTTGACATATGTTGTGATTGTTTTTGCTATTTTAGCTTTTTGAGGGGCCCGCCAGATCCCAAGTAAATCACACATAAAGGCTTATTCTTAGATGTGAGTGTCTGGCTTTAGATTGGCTTGTTGCTAGCCAGCTTTTCTTATCTTAAATTATCCTATATACCCTTTTCCTCTGGGCTTTTTATCTTTCTTACTTCTGTATATCTTACTTTCTTTCTTACTCCATGGCTTGCTGTGCAGCTGGGTTCTGGTCCCTGATGTCCTCCTCTCCTTGTTCTCTCACAGCTTCTCTCTTCCTTTCTCCTGATTATCCTGTCTACTTGACAGCCACACCTGTCCTTGCTCCTGCCACACTATTGGCAGTTCAGCTCCTTATTAGACCATCAGGTGTTTTAGACAGGCTCAGTAACACCACAGAGTTAAACAAATGCACCATAAACAAAGTCACATGCCTGAAAATAATATTCTATCACAGGCATACGTAATTTTTGCATCTGATCCATAGTGTATTATATACAGTAATAAAGTGAATAAGCATGGAATTGAGAGAGATGAAGAGAGGGAGAAAGCAAGATGGAGAGAGAGAGAGAGAGAGAGAGAGAGAGAGAGAGAGAGAGAGATTTGTGGAAAGTGGAGGTGGACAGGACAAGAGTGTGGAGAGAACTGGTGAGTGTGATCAGTATATATGATGTTGTGTGTGAAATTACAAGAACAGAATATTCTCTAAAAAAAAAAATCAGTGTGTTTACTGCCACTATTATGTGGAGTTTTGTGTATATACCTCAAATTCTTGCTCTTTCTATTTGTATTAATTCTATAAACTCTCAAAATATTGTTAAGTGGTATATATTTTCTAGAAGCAATTTTAAAAGCCCTAATTTTCATTAACTACTGACTGAGAAAAAGCAATGCATGAGAAATGGGAGTTGTGTGTATGACTGTTCACTTCGAATAAATGTTATTCTTTCAATAACCACAGAGAAATATAGTTTCCTGGAACTGAAGTGTTTAGTTATCATTTCCTTCCATTGTTTCATACATCAATTCATCCATTAAATAGCAAATATTTATGAAGCTCCTGTTTAGTTTTGATGTTTTTGTTGATTTTGTTTTGTTAGAAATTATCAAAGTGCTAGGGAAGAGGCTGTTCAGACATCTCTGCTGCACTCCACAGAAGTACTTTGTATATTCTTTCTCTAACATATTCTTTCTTCTTTCTAACTTTATTTGAATAATCATCTCACTATCAATTAGTCCATAGGTTCTTTAGTGTTAATAATTATAGCTTCTATCACTTTAAATGATTTCATTTTCCCATGCAAACATTTTCAGTGGTTTATATACTAAGAATTTAGAATTTACTTTAAATATTAAAAATTTAAATTACTCTTACAGTGGAAAGGTTAAAGCTTACCTGACTATTTTTGCTTATAGGGCATGCTTGTTGAAGGACCACCTGGGCCAGCAGGACCAGCGGTATGTAAATGATTTGAAAACTTGACTTTTAAAATTATTGAATATAGGATTCCTGTTATGCAGTTGAATTGTTTATATTTTAGACTCACTTGATTTATAGAGGAAAACTGTCTAGTTTAGGAACTGGTAGACTACCTATCCTTCATTTTTCTATAAAATGATACTACTGACAGGACTGAAAATGAATTTTGAATTTTTTATTTCTTTATACATTTTCTTTGTGCACATGTGTATGTGCCTGTGTGATATATGGATTTTTTTATACAAATATATGACACTGGTAGATGTAAGTGTTGGCAAAAACAAAATGTTAAACTGCTTACAAGCTAAATGCTTTCTTGTTCAACTTTGCAAGCACATTTTTGAGGTCTAGTCTTATGAATAGCCATTTCTTCAGGAGGAACTGGAGAGCAGCTTCCACAACAGCAACTTTCATCAACATGCCATCTTCCTGTTTCCCTTGGCATCTGCCTGAGCACAGCCTCATAGAGGCGTAGTTGTGCTGGATACAGAACCGTTTCCTATATGATGTGTTTTCACAGGAAGCTAAATAGGGCAGTTGTTTGAGTATCAAGGGTATATTTATAAAATATAAATGAAGCACTCTTTGATTTGTATGGGGATTCCTTTACTTGAATACTAATTAGGCAAGAAGTTGTTTCTGATTCTTGTTTGTTTCTTTGCAGGGTCTAATGGGTCCTCCAGGTCAACAAGGTCCTTCTGGGCCCCCCGGTGACCCTGGTGAAAGGGTAAGCAAAGAAGGAATGTCATATTAAACTGTGCAGCACTTGAAATTAAATTTAGTTTATTCTTCAACTTTACATGCTACTTTTCTTCTGTTGGTAGAGAGGATATGAGAATTCTACAAATTCGAGGTTATGCAGCAATTCACTTAAAATAATTTATCTGCAATGTGATTAGCTAGTCAATTTTGTTGTCAAGTCCCCTTTGCACAGAAACAGTTAGAATAGACTTGGTTTTTCAAATTTGAATTTAATACAATTGTTCTTTATATTCCTGTTGATACCATTTTTTTTTTAAAACCTGGTTTGTATAATTTCAAATATTCAGTATGATGGAAAATGCTTATTTATTTTTTAATGTGTATGTGATCAATGTGTGCATTTATGTATTTTTATTCATAAGTTTGTGGGCATGTGTGTCTTTGATGTATGTGTATGTTTACACATGTGTGTGAGCTAGTGTGTAGGACTGGCTGATGTTGGTGTCAGATGTTTTTCTCAGTCTCTCTTCATCTTACATTTTGAACTAGTTTCTCTAGTTGAACCCAGAGTTTGCTAGTCAGCTTGACCAAGGGGTTCCCTGTCTCTGCTTCTTTCAGAGTTCTAGAATTACAGACCAGTATCTCACATGTCAGTTAGGCATTTCTGTGGGAGCTGAATATCTGAACTCTAATCCTCATGTTTGCTTGGCAAGCACTTTACTCAGTGATGTGTCTCACACAGCTCTCAATATGGTTATTCGTTTTAAAAATCACTTTGAGAGTTTGAATTGCATCCATTATATCTTGTTATTAATTTTTAGAAATTTATCCTTCTTCTACTAAATATGATTTGACTGTGTAAAAGTAAGTTTCCTTTTACTGAAAGCTTATGCTTATAATGTTCACAAATATGTATCACCTACCCACACATGAATTTATATATGTTTATATATATATGATACTCAATAATCATGTGTAGCTATATTATACATATGCAGTTTTACATACATGTGCATGCATACATATACACATTGAGTATATTCTTTTATTATTATATTTTTAAACACAATGTTAAGATAAATCAGTAATGACAAACAAGCTTAATGTTACTCTCATCATGTTAACCTCAATTATTATATTAGTAAAGTATCTATTTTGAAGATAATATAGCTGAAAGATACATTTAAAATATCTATATATTAAATAGTCATTGCCTAAGTATCTATTAAGTAATGCTTAACTAAATTTTATCTAATTAATCTGTTCTAAATTGTTGGAATGGAACACTAACTTTTTACTTTTTCTTCACACTGATACACCTCCATAATATATAGGAAGTCTTCATATGTAATGGTAATCTGTAAATCAACTTAGAACATAATAGGTATTATACTTTGATTGTGCATAATTTGAGCTCTTTACAACTAATAAAATGTCTATGTGTATTTGCATAAAGGAGATTAATTCAGAATGGACTGGTGCATGCTCAGCAATTTCAGACTCTCTGCTATAATGCATTGTACTAATTGTTTTGATTATTTCCTTTCCTAGGGACCCCCAGGACGTCCTGGCTTACCAGGAGCTGATGGTCTACCTGGTCCTCCTGGAACCATGTTGATGTTACCAGTACGTTATAGAGAGTGTTTTATTAAGATATTTTCTTTATTGTAATATATCTTCTCATTATGTAACTAAAAATATAGTGTAGTCGAATCATTGAATAGAAACATTTCTGAAAGACAGGGATGTAGGAAATCAAGAGCTCTTGAAAGTAGGACTTTAATGAACAGAACTTTGGTAGATAAATATCTATCTCTGCACCAAACCAGTTTTAATTTCTGATTATTCTTCATTTGGTGAAATTTACACAATCTTTCTAATCATGTTGGCAATTGTGGATTTTGGATTAGCAATCAGTTATTTAACATAGTAGTATACAGTTTCCCCTAATATTGATTATCATTGAAGTTTCTTGTAGAAGCTAAGTCTTTGGTGTCATTATTACTCAAAAATCATTTACCTTAATATTGAGTCTCTTATAATATTAATTATTTGCCACACACCTATGAAAAATGGTTTTATAGGGTTTAGTGCAGTAAAATTAAAGGAAATAACTATGTAGAATGGAAAATTGCCTCAAACATTTCAAGTTAAAAATTAAGGTGGAACATAAGAATTTTATGGAGTAATAACAGCAAGCAAATGCTTATGGTAGATGAGAGGGACATTAATATTTCCTTTGTCTTCATGGAGACTCAAAATGTTGTAGTCACCAGAACAGAACTGTATCTCTAAATTTTACCAAATCTAATGTACTTGAAATTCTTATGGAAGAATTCTTAGAGTGGGTAGCATTCCCATAGACTAAATAAAGAATGACATTTTAAAAAGAATATCAGTAATTGTAGAATTGGAAAGTGATTTATAATTGCTTTGAAAATGACAGAATGTATTATACAGAACTGTGTCTGAGGTAGAGGAAAAAGTATATGTCTTTCACTCACACAAATGTGTTTGCATGTCTCAATATCAAGTGACTTTGGCAAATATCAGCCTTTTAATTAACTTTTAATCTAATTGTTAAAGGATCTAATTATGTAATTTTGTCAAAGGCCAATTTTGACCTTGCCTTATCCATCCCTAGTTCCGCTATGGGGGTGACGGCTCCAAAGGACCAACCATCTCTGCACAGGAAGCTCAAGCTCAGGCAATTCTTCAGCAGGCTCGTGTAAGAAAAGATTAACACATGCTCACATGACTTAATTCCGTATCAAATCACGGTGTGTAGGTCCATGGAACAGTGTTTCCAAACATCACATGGAATTTATATTTTATTTTATTTTTATTTTACATATCGGTCCCAGTTCCCTCTTCTACTTTCCCTCCCAAACAAAAAAATTCTAAAAGTATATTAATCTTTCTAGTAGTGATACTTGCTAATTTAGTATTAAATAAAAGACCCTTGTATTACCACATGTAATTCTGACAATATCCCACAGTGACACACCAAGATCCTGTTTTTATAGAATATTTGAAAATCAATATCTAGTATTCCTTCTCTTTTACATCCTGATTTTTCTCTGATAAGGTATGATATGAGCTGATGATTACAGCAATAACTATGAGAACACAGTGTGAAGGAAGTATATTCATAAAACCAATAATTCCCTTTGTTTATAATTAGCTTTATAGCAGTTAGATTGTACATAGGAAAATTCAGACAATAAACAAGGAAGCAGGTAGAAGTTTTATAATGTCTATGCCCACATTCTTCTAGTTATTATCAAGGAAGAAGGTTATGATTGTTATGGACATGATGGCTTTTCTGTATCATGTCTAAGATAACTTTTTTATTCACCATCATAACTTACATACATGTAAAATACTGAATATGTAGGTGAAAGTATTAATTCCTTTTCAATATTTGTGCCCTAATGACTATTATTTATCTGACGAGATTATGATTAGAGTATTTGATACTTTGATTATGTCTGGCTTGATTTTGTGCAGGTTTTTAGCTCATTGTATATGAGTTCTCAGTTCATGTTTGGTTGTGTTCAGACATTATGCTTCATTGTATTTATCCACTCTCTTTTTCTCTCACTATCTTTCTGCCTCTTCTGCCATGGTACCTGAGTGAGGAGAGGTATGATGTAGATGTCTCATTTACAGTTGAACACTCTTCAATTCCTTATCCTCTGCACACTGTCGAGTTGTTCTCTGTGTTAATAACCTGCTGTAAAAAAGAAGCTCCTCAATTGAAGATGAGAGATTCACTGATAATTGCTAATATTGTCACTGTTGTATAATGATGTCTTTACAGTTTATATGAGTCCTCTTTTTAAAATTAATTTAATTTAAAAACAATCTTATTTTACATACCAATCCCAGTTTTTGCTCCCTCCTGTTGTCCCACTCCCCACACATCTCCCCACCTCATGCCCCATCTACTCCTCAAAGGGTAAGGCCTCCCATGGAACATCGTCAAAGTCTGTCACATCATTTGGGGCAGGACCTAGGCCCTCCTCTCTGCATCTAGATTGAGAGAGAGTATCTCTCTTTTATTTAATACTAAATTAGCAAGTATCACTACTAGAAAGATTAATATAATTTTAGAATTTTTTTGTTTGGGAGGGTAAATACTGATTCCACTGCAAGAGGTCCCATAGACTGCCAAACCCACACAACTGTCACCCACATTCAGGGAGCCTGGTTTGTCCTGTGTTGGCTTCCTAGCTGTCCGGCTAGAGTACTCAAGCTCCCACTTGCTCAGGTCAACTGTTTCTGTGGGATTCCCTTTTGCTCGTCACGCCTCCCTCTCTACAACTGGACTCCAGGAGTTTGGCTCAGTGTTTAGATGTGAATCACTGCTTCTGCTTCTATCAGTTACTGGATGAGGGCTCTGGCATATAAGGTAGTCATTAATCTCATTATAGGGGAAGAACATTTAAGCCTCTACATTATTTCTTAGATTTTTAGTTGCAGTCAACCCTGTGGATTCCTTGGAATTTCCCTAGTGCCTCTTAACCTGTTTAAAAAAGCAGGTAACAAGATTTTTTAGTTACAACTTTCCAGATTTAATCTCAAAAACTAAGAAATATGTTGTTCAAAACCTCTTGATGAATTAGTGGTGTAATTTTGGAAATCTTAATGATTAAGTTTCATGAACTATTATTTTAGGATTTTTCATATTTTCCATTACAATGTTGTTTTGGAAATGCACATTCATTAATATCTAAAATAGTACATCAAACTAATTAACATCTATCAAGTATTTCTCTTTGCTCTGTGTTCCAGCTTTTCAACTATCTTAACATTTCCATTTTTGAGTCTAACAATAATCCATCCTTTCAGCCAATTTTGTGTATATATAACAAATGCATGCATTACATAGTACTAAGTACAAGATTCTTTAAAAATATTTATTGTCATAAAACTTTCTATTCAATTCTGCATGTACTGGCTCACTTTAATTATCTTGCCTTTCTAAAACACTACTAGGAACATTTAAGTGAAAATACCACTAAATGTTTACCTCAATAATATCTTCAACACAGATTGTGCCTACAAAATGAGGACAGATAATACTCTAAGTTTTGTGAGTGTGCTTAATGATTTAAAAAAAAAAATTACTAGACATTCTATTATTGTCTCTGAAATGTATTGTTTTTTTTTTCCTGACTAAAATTTGGTAGTATACTGTATGAAACTCTGTAACAGCTTGAAACATGACTGGTAATTACACAGGGTAGTCTATCTACTTGCATTTCACCATTGACTATGCTTTTCCTAGCATGTAGCTATTATACCTTTGTTAGTTATATACTACATAAGAATACCATGTCCAAATGACTCTTGTGTTACCAGCTACTACTAGACAAGTATTTCTGAACTTCATGTATTTTATCTTTTAGATTGCTCTGAGAGGCCCACCTGGCCCTATGGGTCTAACTGGAAGACCAGGTCCTGTGGTAGGTTACATAAAATATATGTTTAATATTTCCTATTAATACCCCTTTCCACATCATCTTCCAGACTGTCCCTACATTAGACTAGCAAACCTGTTATACATGACTGTTATTGACTCCTTTTTAATAAGTTTTCAGTTTAGTTTTTAATAATTCCAATCAGAATTTTCTAAGAAAGCTCTAATCAAATTAGAGAGAATAAAACATATAGTAATGCCACATATTTGTTAATTTAGTTTTTATGAAATCTCCCTTCAAATTAGAGAGAATAAAGTATAGTAAAGTTGCATATTTGTTAATCAAACTGTATTTAGAATTTATTTGCATTCTATTTGATTATTAAAATATAATTTTACATTAAATTATTAAAAATTATTTATTAGATTTTTCACAAAAGTGCATTTGAAATCTTTGATAATTATTGTGCAATTTTTATACTTCATTTTTATTGAAAATAACTTTCCATATGATATATTTTAATTACAATTTCTCTTCAAGTGTTCTCATTTTTTTCATTTTATTTTACATTCATTATTTAACACAACTTTTAAATTTAAATAGATTTTGTTCATATGCCTCCCCTCTGATTCCCTCAGCTAGAATAAAAGAAATTATGGTATCTTTTTGCAGATGGAAAGAGAATAAATATATGATACTAAAAACTCCACCAGAAAACTCCTCCAGCTGGGAAACACTTTCAGCAAAGTAGCTGGATTGAAAATTAAACTCATACACTACAGTGGCACTCCTATATATGAATGACAAATGAATGGAGAAAGAAATAAAGGAAACAATACCTTTCACAATAGTCTCAAATAATATAAAATTCCTTGAGGCAACTAACCAAGCAAATGAAAGATGTGTATGTTATTAACTTAAAGTCTTTGAAGAAAGATACTGAAAAAGATATCAGAAGATAGAAAGATCTCCCATGCTCATAGACTGGAACAATTAACATAGCAAAGATGTCTATCAAAACAGACATATTGATCAATGGAATCGAATTGAAAACACAGACATAAATCCATACATCTTTGGATTTCTTGTTTTTGATAATGATGCTAAACATTCACCTAGAAAAATAAAACATAGGATATTCAGTATATATTTTTTCTACTTACAATTATATCTATTGAGAATATTAGTATGCCAGTTATTTTTATTTATAACTTTTATGCATACATTTGTTACAATCCATCCTGATGATTCAAGCTTGCAACCTGAGGTATTCAAGAGGCCATAGTGAGCAGATTGTATGCTCATTATTTATTGGGGTTATAGAACAAGGCATGGCTAGCTTCAGCTATGTAGAAAGATTCTGTCTCAAAATGAGTGAGTTAAAAGGTCTGGAGAAATGACTCAGTGGTTATGAGTATTTGCTGTTTTTCCAGAATTTCTCATTTTTGTTCCCAGAGCATATAGAGCAATAGCTGTAGCTTCAGGGGATCTGACTACTATACCTGACATCTGTTGTACCTGCTTGGACAAGAGCATATGCACACACAGACACAATTGTATAGAGAAAATTTAAATGACTATTTAAAAAACATTAAAGTATTAACAAGAGCCAAAGATATTTGTTGGAGCTGCTGCTTATCCAATGTATATGCGGCCCTATGTTCAATTCCAGTATTGTAAAGAGTATAAATCAATTAATAAATGTATCAATATATTACAATAAGAAAAAAGTTCTGTTGTTTTTGATGAATTTATAATTCCTTTAACTCAATCTTAAAATTGCCTGCTACATATATTTTGATCTATACTTCTGTATGAAATTTTAAGATTACAAATTCAATGCGAATTTAATTATATACACTATTGCACAGATTATCAAATATTCATCATTTATTCTCACTGTTATTCTTTTAAAAATAAAATAAATGAAACATACATTAAGCCACTTAAATAATTTTTATTTGCATGTTAGTGATACAAATGTATATGCACATTGAGGAAATGTAACATTTTACAAAATTTTGAGATAGATGGGAAGGTAGAAATGATATGCCTGTTCATGTTCTTTCCTATCAATTTTGCGATAATTTTGGTTATATGTAAGAGAATGTAACCAGTCTTTTGATCAAGTAATGCATATGCACAGAGGATATTATAAACTGTCCACTCTGCAATTATATTCAGTTTAATGATTAATAATAAAATTCAATACAGAATTATCAGTTTTTTTTTACAGGAAATCAGTTGCAAGAATTCTTTATTAGAAGATTGGAAGAGATCTCTATAATTTAAAAACGTTTAAAACTGCCTTAAGCTTGACTGTGCAGCATTCCTGGGAGGCAAAAGAGGAGTTGCTTCAACCTGAAGCCACCAGGGGGCACTGCAAAACTGCTTTCGGATTTCACAATTGTCACTCTTATTTTGTTGTAACTCAGTTTGGTAGAGTGTATGCTGATTTAAGTATATCAGAATACATGAAGTAAGCTATTACAGCCGTATTAATTTTTTTACATTCCAAAACTTTCAGAGAGTATGGATGGCCTAGTATATATTCTTCAATTCTATAACTCCTTTATAAAGCAATTTATTTTTTCCCCTCTAGTTAATGTACTTGGCCTTCATTGTACTCCTTAAATTATGTGAATGTTTGTAAACTTTATTTGCTATAATGATTTGTTTCTATGGAGAATAATCAAAACAATAAAAGGAAAACATGTTGACATTAATTCACAAAATTATAATGATAGCAATAGCATCTTTCCCGAAAGAGTTTATTACTATTAAATGCAGCACCTGAGAAATATATGTCTATGAAAGAATCAGTTTTGTAAAATTCTTACTGTGTGAATGAACTCAGTGTTCACCTGCCTCTGTGACCATACAATGACATAATAACTCAGAGAGTTACGCACACCTTGTTTATCAGGAATTTTTTTTTTTTTTTATGGTAAAACCTTTAGAGAAAATTTCAGCATGAGTTAAAAGTTGGCTTCCGGCCATTTCTGAGTAGAATATAGTGTTTTATGTGCAGTGTATACATTGGCATGCATTTGCTATACCTACAGGAGGCACACTATCACAGGACTTGAACATTAGTAAGATCAAGCTAATCAAGGAAACACATTGATTTATTTTGGCTGAGAGTAGAGACTCAAAGATGTTAGGTGACATAAATTAATTGGTTTTCTGTTTTACTTTTCTCTTCAGGGGGGTCCTGGTTCAGCTGGAGTCAAAGGTGAGAGTGGGGATCCAGGTCCTCAGGTAAGGAGCAGTAACTTGCTTTCTTCACTTATGTTTGAATGTCTATATTTATGGAGCAGAACAGTTGAAGTGTTCAGAGTAAAGATTGCATTTATGTTTCCTTTAAGCCCAAAACATGGTAGACAGTTGGTTTTCCATGAGTTTGCTAATTAAATAGCTTTAGAATGTGGATCTACTCTGTTTGAAAATAGATGGCCCTCTTATGGTGCTATTGGCTAGAGATTCACTGCACCTGTGTTACAGGGTTCTCTTCTACATTCTGGAGCCTATCCTTCTGCAGACAGTAAGCTTAGCATGTTGTTTTATGAAGATTGCACTCAACATAAGCTAATGTTAGACCTTTGTGTATTAGTAAGTAGATATGTATGTAGAGTCCTTATATTGACAGAGTATTTATGGCACAAACAGGAAAGCAAAAACAATGTTATTTCCAAATAGACTCATGTTTTTAAGGAAAGTAGTGCATGATAAACTGAAGAAATACAAATTTACACTGACTGTAGGAGTTCTCATTTGTTTATCCTCTCATTGTTTTCCTTCTTTCTTCATGTATTTGTAATCATCCTTTATTCCTAATATGTATTTCTATGTCATTTTTAGGTATGCATATATTTTGGTGACATTTATCCTCTATTACCTTACCTTTAGTCTTTCTAAATTACAGCATTTTCTTAACTATTGAAAAATGACAAGATAGAATAGAATCAATGCCCTCTATGTACTTTTGTACCTATAATTAAGATAAAATACCTTATAAATCTAAACAATTTTCTTTTAAAATATCTTTACAATGATTTTGTTATTTCTTTAAGAATATAAAATGCGATGTTTCAATCATATTTACTCTCAGCTTCTTTTCTTAACATGTCCCATGCCTACCCCGAGGTTCCTCACTCACCAGGCCGGTGTCCTCTTTTTATTAATTTTTTTCTTTTGAATAAATCATTTACTAGCTTGTGCTGCTCATATACTCAGAAATGTAGAGCCATCCACTAAAACATCGTTGAGCTCCTAGGAGCTATACTTTTAAACAAAACTGACTATACGTTCCCACAACCTCAATTAAGAGTAAGGGTCATGCTTTCGTAGACTGTTGAATGCTTGATCGGGTGCCCGCAAACCAAGCTGCTATGAATTTATGAGTCCAACATTCCTATCATGTCCAAAAGACATCAAAAAATATAATATTGCCCCTTTGCACTTAGAAACTTTTTTAACACACAAATACCCAGTAACAACCAGTCTATTCTTTATCATAGAATTTTTCTATTTTCCAGAAAAAATTAAATAAATTTATACCTTATATGTTCTTCTATTACTCATTCTTTTGATGCAGGAAAAGGTTTTCAGGTTCATGATACCTGACTGCATCAATTCTTCATTCAATTTCTTGTTGATAAATATTGCATTGTATAGACACTACAACTTCTTGTAACAAAACACAAAGAAATTTGATAATATTTAACTAGCTCAAGATGCATCAGCCTTACTTTGAATGTTTAATTTACATTGGTGTAAAGGCATAAGCCACCACTGTCCTGACATTTCTGAGTTCGAGGCCAGCATGGTCTACTAAGTGAATTCCAAGACAGCCAAAACTACAAAGAGAAACCCTGTCTCAAAAATAAAAACCAAATCAAAAGCCAAAAGTCAAACAAACAAACAAAAAGACATTGCTGTAAAAAGGAAGGAAAACACTGACTGGTTCACTGGGAAATTCAGGAAAATATTAAAATGCATTACATAAAATTCATGGAAGTTTATTGTTTCATAAAATTTTTGAAGAAAAATGTGTACTCATCTCTTTTTAGAATTATGATTATGAAAGTGTGATATGACAGTGTCTCAGGACATGCATGAAGTCTGTATGGATTCTCTAAGTCCAAAGAGTTAGAGGATTCATTCAAGCATATTTTTCATTAAAGACTATCCTTGTTGCACAGCTTGATACATGGCTTCGCAGTTAAGAATATTTCTTTCAGAAGACCCAGCTTTGGTTCCCAGCACCCATATAGCTGCTAATAGCCACCTGTAACTCTAATTCTAGAGCACCCAAAGTCCTCTTCTGAATTCAGCATGCTTTTGAATATGCATGGTGAAGGTCTGAAGACTCATGCATATGCATGTTGAGGTCCCCAGGCTCATTCATATATACATGTATATGCACACTTACATACACCCAGGCACCTATACATAAAATAAAATTAGTTAATTAAGAAAACAAAACCTAGCAGTAATTTTGTTGGTATTCATTCTCTTCCCTTCTAGCTAGATTCATGATAGACTCCTCTCCCATCAATTTTTGTTTTCAATTTATACTCTTTGACTTCCAGCTATTAGACAATCTCTTCCTTACATTTCTGAAACATACATTTCCAATTAAAAATAACCCTTCCTGGCTTTGGGGATGGTTGGATAGTCATGCACCAAGCACTATGCAAAATTACACAAGAATATACTTGAAACAGATTTTGTTGAAAACATTAAAGGATAATAATTTTATAGGATAGTTCACTGTGTCTTAAAGGTGATTAAATCCAATGTGATTAGTGTACTTAGAGAATACAATTAAATAATGAAAAGAAAGGTGATGGAAAAAAGCCTGGAATGAGATCAAAATGGGTGTGTTGATGGAGCTCAGTGACTCCTATGTAGAAACATTTTTTTTTCTGAAAATTAAAAATGTAATTGATTATAAAGTCTTACAAGTATATCACTCTTTTCTTTTGTTTGAATTTATTCATATCTGCATAAAACATTATGCAATGTAGTCACATAGTGTTTTGTTTTTTTAATATGAAAAGTCACTTAAAATTGCTTTTCTGACCTGCTTTGTCAAAATTTTTAAACTGAAAAGGATTTCCTTGGGTTTAAATAATTATGGAACACAGAATGTACCTGTTTCTAAAAACACCTATTTTGAATGCACAGCTAAAAATTTGGGCAATCTGATTCCTTATAGGGCCCTCGAGGTGTTCAAGGTCCACCTGGTCCAACAGGAAAGCCTGGAAAGAGGGTATGGCTGTTTTTCCTTGTGTATTTTGAATTGTAACTTCAGCCATCAATTAGTTTTTATACTTACTGCTATTGACTTCCTTTGCTTAACCTTGCTTTGGGCATTTTCAGGGCCGTCCAGGTGCCGATGGAGGGCGCGGGATGCCAGGAGAACCAGGGTCTAAGGTCAGGACTTTATAACTCTATTGAGATTGTGTATGCCACTTTATCCTCAACAGTATCACATTTTAATATACAATTTCTTGATATGAAGTGAGCTTGACTTAAAATTAGAGTTCTGATCCAGAGTGAGACTATGATGGTAACATGTTTAATATTTTACAGGGAGACCGAGGATTTGATGGACTTCCTGGTCTACCAGGTGACAAAGGTCATAGGGTAAGCTATAGATATTGCTTTTCATCCCAGGTCTAATAGGAATCTTAGGAACTTAGGTAGTATTGGTATACTTTTGGAAATCAGGAGAAATTATAACAAAAATATTTGTGACTCCATCTGGTAAATGTTTATATCTAATGTATATTGACATTTGTAGATACAACTTTGTAGGTGGTTCCAATATGTTTTTTCACTATTTATTGGCATTTAAATAGAGGTAGAATGTCTATGCTCACAGATGTGATAAAGATCATATCCACAGAACAGTAAGAGGATTTAAATGAGAATTTATTTTTTGAGCATTGCTACATTCTTTACATCTTTTGTTGAAATATCTCAGATGAGGACATCTGCAGGCATCCTGGCAACATTGTTTCTATGTGATGATGTCCAATTCAAAGCAAGAACTCCTTAATTGTAAGGTTAAAGTAGGTTTATTTGTTGTTGTTTAGTAAGAAATTAGAGAGACAGGTATGTTATTTTATAAGAAAGATTGGTTATTTGTTTGTTTCTTCACCAGCATGAACAAACCTAGGAGGAGGAAAAGAAAATTTAATGTTATAGTTACATAACAAAATAACCAACATATGCCTAACACATGCTAAGATGCACATACAATTGTGTTTTGTGAAAGAATTGCAAAATCTTTTTAAGTTTATGAGTTGTGCTGGCTTAATATGAAATATTCCAAAAAAGTTTATAACAAAAAAGTGCACTCGTTTTTAAGATAATCATTAAACAAAATATTTTCCCCAATGTTTCTCATTAATAACTGAAAATATTTTACCTATGTTTTCTTTCAATCACTTTTATTAAAACATGATGAACATTTTTCTAGCTTATTAACTTGTAAAGCTGCTTATAGTTTAAAATTTTACCTATCTGGACACTAACTAAGCTAAGAAAGATAAAGGATGTGTAAGTTCCTTGACCAGTGTCTTGTTTTACCGGGTTGTATTAACTATCTTATGTAATTGTAAAGAACCACCATCTTCCTACATTTATCCTGTTTATCTTTATTCCTTAGGGAGAAAGAGGCCCACAAGGTCCCCCTGGCCTTCCTGGTGATGACGGAATGAGGGTATAATAACATTTTACTCGTTTTACAGTAAACTTATAATACAAAAATGACAAAGTTCTTCTCAAATGATACCTAATATTACTTCCTCTCTTTTTGTGAATGCCAGGGAGAAGATGGGGAGATTGGGCCCAGGGGTCTTCCAGGTGAAGCTGTAAGCAATTGTTTCCTTTATTTTTTACATTACAGTGTCTTCTTTGAGGTGTAGCAGCTGCTGTTTCTTATTTGGGCATTGGTAGCCTGAGTAAGGTCACATTTTAAACAAATTACCAAAGTAATTTTTGTATTGAAAAGTGAAGTATATATAGCTGCCATTTGGTGGAAAGAAAAACTTAGTAACTTGAAAAAGAGAAATGTGGAATGCAATATCTTGCAGGTCAAAAAACTTATTTAGTTTTTATTGCAAATAAAAATATTTTTTAATCTTCAAATATTACCAATAACTTCACAATTCAGTTTTTTTGTGTGTAAATTAACCTTGTTAGAAGCAAGACACTAAGATATCACATATTAGACATGAAAATTATATGAACTTTCTGCAGTGAATGTTGATAATAAGGTTGCTGAGCTATGGAGATGAACTCAAAGTCAGACAAAAAAACAAAAAAACAACAAACAAACAAACAAAACACTTGAAAACATTTCCTAACTTCAGTTTTCTATTGCCACTATGGACACTGCCAGGAAAACTATAGTCAATTATTTAGACAGATTAATTTATTAGACTGACTTTCCTAAAGCTGGATAAGAATACTAAGTAAGCAGAAGGGGAGAGAAAGATAATTTGAATGTTGATGTTAGTAGTTTAACCAGATGTTAGTAGTATAAAACCAGAGAATGGTTTTATAATCTACAAAGATAGATACCCAGCTGTTTGCTCATAAATGAATTGTTACAAGTTGTTTTTCAGGTTTTTCTGCCGTCCTGGTCCCAGAGCCGCTCTATCCTCAAATAACATACAGAGACTCTATATTAGACATAATGTTGTTGGCCTGTTACTAGCATTTCTTATTGACTAGCTCTGTCTTAATATTAACCTATTTCTACTAATCTAAGTATTTCCACGTGGTCTTACCAAAGAGAGGGCTCGGAGTTCTACCCTGTTGGTCTTATATCTTGAAACTCTTCCCTACTACTTCCCTATAACTCCTTGTCTCCTAGTCCCACCTATCTTGCTTTCCTATTGGCCAACAGTGCTTTATTCATTAACCAATAAGAGAAACATATTTACAAAATGACATCTCCCATCAATGAATGCTCTCCTAAGATAGAATTTATATAAAAGTAAAATGAGTGAAAGTATGGTCTTTTCTGTTTGTTCAATCTGTGTGATCAGAACAGCAAAATTGAGTGTGCCAATCAAGGCAGAAAATGACATAAAATTATCTTATTAAGAGCATTATTTTGTTCTTTAAAAACATTCCTAGTGATGCATCTGTAAGTATATTGGTTTAAAAAGGGGTCTGTACTGATCACTGTTATCTATTTGCCCTTGTGTTTATATATCCAGATGCCACTTGAATGTTTATGGTCAATGTACTGAGAAATGAATTAATATTAATCCATATTTTCTGTTAAAAATTTCAGGGAAAGAGGCCTGTTTTGAGGGCATTTCTTATGTGAGTTTTCTCTTTTCCTTTTATTCCTTCTAGGGTCCACGAGGCTTGCTAGGACCAAGGGGAACTCCTGGACCTCCTGGGCAGCCTGTATGTATTTCTGGGAGCAAATTTTGGTTCTGTAGAGGAAAACTTGTTGCCAAAGTTATATATAGGGCATTTGCATAGAGCAAAGCACAGGATCTAGTTAACTGTCTTGGTATACTTGGTATACTTGGTATACTTGGTATAATTGTCTTGGGCACTGTCTTCAGAGTAACTGATCACTCTCCATATTGTTCTTTCCTTGTTTCAGTAGTTCCTACAGTGTTCATGCTTAATCCTTAGCACACAATGGAAATTGATGTTAGGTTATCTTCAACGTGAAGATAAATCCAAAATCACATTTCTGTTTATAATTGTTAGAATCATAAATCACTACAGGCTACTGGCTATTTCTTTACACTTTCCATTTTAATATGTACAATTTTAAACCTATTTTGTTCTTCTTTGAAGGGTATCGCAGGTATAGATGGCCCACAAGGACCTAAGGGGAACATGGTATGTAGTTTAGTTTTGTAAATTCTTGTCAATAGACATTTGGTTGTTAAATTAAAAAAAAAAAATCTTGTATGTTGCTACATATATTTTCTAGACTTCTTGAGTGAAAACTCATTTGGGGACAATTTTCAATAATTAGAATAAAAAAAACCCTATAATTCAAATGCCTTATGAAGTACTTTATTTCTCCCTATACAGGGTCCTCAAGGGGAGCCTGGACCTCCTGGACAGCAAGGGAATCCAGGACCTCAGGTAACACTAATGCATCAATTTTTGTGTGAGATAATGGGTTAAGATGTTGTATTTTTAAAAATGAAATTCATGGTATGTCAAAATGTTTTATGTAGATCCAAATATGTTTAAACTGTGAATGTAGAGAATATTTCCTTTTTAATATTTTCAAGAATTAAAAAAAAAAAAAAAACTCATTCAGCCTTCATAGCATGACATAGTGAAAACCCACACCTGCAGAAGGTTATGGGTAGAATCACAGTAAAAGCTCTTGGAAAAAAGGAGCTTGTGTAAAACTCCTCACAATGTTCCAAAACTGTGTGTGTAGTGCAAGAGGGAGTGTGTGTGTGTGTGTGTGCATGTGTGTATGTGTGTGTGTGAGAGAGAGATAGAGAAATATATGGGGGAAAATGGGGAGAGAGAGAGGGACAGTTTTTGTGAATCAATCCATGTGCCTTGGATTTCATCATCTATTGTGAAGATGAGTCCATATGAAATTATTTCACACATAAATCAATTCTTTTATTCTAGGGTCTTCCTGGTCCACAAGGCCCTATTGGCCCTCCTGGTGAAAAAGTAAGTTGTTATTTTATATTCATTCACTAGTAAGCTAGTGTGTTCCTGCCACCCACAGCAGGCAATAGGCCTGCTCTTCTGGATGTCTCCATAAATGGATTTATCAAAGTAATATAGTAACTTGAAGTAAAACCATTACATAAAAGTTGGATAGAATTCATTTAAACACCATTAAGATGTAAATGAAAACAAATATTTTTATTTAGATTGTACCTAATTGTAACATTGTCAAAAAATGATCATTTCAAAAACTAATATTAGCATTTTTCTTTGTTTTGGTTCATCTTTTTTTTCCTCATTATTTAAAAAGTGTAATTTGACTCAAAGTCTGTCAACTTTGGACTTCTATACTTATAAAATTAGGCATTCAGAATGGAAGCCCTGGGACATCACATTAAATTTTATATTTTCAGTATTCAATATATTCCATGTACTTATTGGTCACCAAAACCAAAGCATCCATGAAAATTCTAACTAGAAAAACATTTATAATCTTTATGTCTGGTTAATTATGATATGTAATATTTTGATTTACTTCCAAGACATTTTAAATAAAAAAGTATAAAATATATTATTAATTTTATTTTTTATGTGTTTGAATGATTCTCTTTCATGAATGTCTGTGCACCTCATGTGTGCAGTGCCTGTGGAGGCCATCAATGGTCATAGATCCTCTGGAACTTGTGTTCCACATGGTTGTGAGCTGCCAACTGGGTGCTTGGAATTGAAGCTAGGTCATTATAAGACCAATCAGTACTCCTCACTAATGAGCCATTACTCTAACCCACAAAATATATGGATATTTTCTACTCTAATTAGGTTTGCTTTTAACAAAATTTGTTTCATGATCTATATAAAGGGCAATTGGCACCTCCCATTGTCTAATTTCTCTTGAGGAAATGACAGATGTTGTCCTTGGTACTAGCTCAGGTATGGATCACAGTAAGAATAATTGATGATAATAAAAAGATGACTTGCCATGGCTCACCTTGTAGATCCCTTAAGTAGTATATCCACTAGGTTATAGTCCAATCATTATCTGACTCTTTGTAGTGATTCTTTTTTCTGATTCTTGCGAAGTTCAATTAACATATCTGGTCCTTCTGAGAAAATTAGCACATTTATGGATGTATACTTTATCTATTACAAAATTCACTTGTTTACCTTAACAAGAGACAGTGAATTTTTAGTAAATTTTCTGAGTTATGTGAATACTTACTTTTAGTGTTTATACCACCCTAGAAAGACTTTCTGTGTCAACTACTGTCCTGTTTTCCATTCTACAATACTAATCAACAGGTTGTTTGCTTTCTGACTGTTCATATTCATTTACCTGAATATTTCATAATAATGAAATGCTAATGTTTTAATACATAGATTTCATCATTGGACTGAGTATATGGCTTTAGCGGTCATATTTCATTTTTATAATACTTTGGGGATTTGTGCATATCAGAGCATATATTTGTAATTTGATGTTTTCTTGCCAATTAGTATCACATTCAGAATTGTTTGCATAGACACGGTTTATTTATTTATTGCACATACTTAAAAATCCTAGGCCATATAGTAAGCATGTGTATAATGTTTTTTAGAAGTTTCTAAAGTATTAAGTGGATGGGCCATTTATTTTTATTTTCTTCAGAGACATGAAAACACTATTTTTTCCACATCCTCATTAATACTTGTCATTCCTGTTTTCACCATTTCCCTTGGGATTTCAAGTTCTTTTCATCATTCTTATAAGTAGCTTTTCTTGTACTTGGCATCTTTTTTTCTTGATAAATTGTTGGCTATTTCCACCCTTTTTTTTTTTTTTTTGCTTATTTCTTTTATTTCATCTATGTTTTTTGTATTATATTTTATTTTTACACAGGGTTTCTCTGTGTAGACCTGGCTGTTCTGGAACTCATTTTGTAGACAGGGCCAGCCTCTCACAGAGCTCTGACTGTCTCTGCCTCCTGAGTGATGTGATTAAAGTGTTGTGCTTACTTTGTTACTCTGTCTGACATGAAAAACTACATAGATCAGATTGACTTCTAACTCACTGGGACCTGCCTACCTCTGCATCCTGAGCACCACCCCACTTGAGCAATTCACAATCCCTTTCTTAAGTCATTATTATAGTGCATTATTTATGTGAATGAGTGTTTGGTGCGTTATAGGAGTTGTGCTGAAACAGTATGAAATTTAGGTGTCTCCCGCAGAGTATTTTTCAAGCCATTTATGTAGGTAAGCAGTATATCATTGAGTAACACAGCTCTTTCCTTCTTAGGTCTTTATTTTAGATCAGCTACTTTTCAACCTGATTACTCTTGTCTTTTATCTAGCACTTCATAAACATCCCGTGTTCATTGTAAATTACATTGAAATATGTTCCTCTTACATTTCCAAACAGGACCTTATTATGCATTCTTTAGATTGTTAAAAGGAATTTTCTCCTTGGGAAAATGGGTGTATTTGAATTCTTGTTGGTACACTAGTTATAAAATGTATGGTTTGGCTCATTGCAGCTATTGTTCACATTGTACTCCTGCATTTTCTGTTTTGAGCATTCTACACTGTAACTTACAAGACAAAAGTATCCCATCAAAAAGATAACACACTCAAAATGACAGATACATAAAGATTATGTTCTTAATATCTTGTTTGTATCAGGTAGTAAATAAGATTACACATACAGCATGTCCTTCATATCTTGTCTATATTAGGGAGTAAAAATTTTATTTTCCTGTTATCTTCTATTATTCTGTCTAAAACACTTTTTTACTTCGGTCTTTGCGAAATATATTTATTTCATGTGTAATTTAGCATTCAGATATGATCATATTGACATTAGATGTTTTAATCTTAAGAACTTTCATATGAAGTTATTATAGCTTATGTTTTATTCTATTTATAATAGAGGTTACTAGTGGTTTGCAGTGATAAACTACTTCTGTTATTTATTCTGACATTTTTGACATGTGGAACATTTCCTGTGATTTCATTTGTGAGTTCAGAGTTCATATTACTCACATGTTAATTGATTTATAGAAAACAAGTGGTGTGTCTCTATGAGCTTAGTGAGAAATACCAAGACACAAAGTAAATGTCTGTTAAAGACAGTGACTTTGAAGGCTTTAATGTGTATCTAGATGTATATAGACTATGAGTCTACCAGTCACATAATAACAGATGTTAATGTTTTCTGAGACTCACTGAGACCAAGTGGATAATGTATATAAATGGCTTAACATAGTGCACAGAAGCACTTCATAAATTTTAACTTTTATTAAAATATGAAACATATGACATTCATTCATCTTTATTCCCACCTAACCAGGGAAAGCACAGAGAGTTAAAAATGCAGATAAAACATTCTGTTGTCATGAAACTTCCATTCAAAAGGAGATGGATTGAACTCGATTTCATTAAAAAATCATCTTACTTTGAGAGAGTTTTAATATTTCTTTTTTTTTCTTCAAATATATATGTCAGTGGTGAAGGTTCACATAACATTGCTTGCCAAATCATTGGCACATCTGCATGTAACAATAATGAATAGACCCATTCTGTGTTGGTGTACTGAATTTGTTGCAGAAACAAGACTAGTATCTTGAAAATAAAGAATAATTTAAGTGACAGGCAAAATATTGCATTAAAATATTTAGTGTTTTATGGTAATAACTGTGGAATGTAACAGGACTGCAGATTGGTGGAAAGAATTGAAATTGTAAGACTTTCTAAATGGATGCAAGTAATTTAGGGCATAAAAATCATTTCTCAAAAAACGATTTTCCTGCTTTACATTCCACATGATTTAATTGGTACTCTTCCATAAAGCTCTGCAGGTCCACTCAACATGGGTACAATGCTTATGCTGAGTATCCTCTAATAACAGAAATACTGTAAACTGTGTTGGAGTCTGAGTTGCACTGAAGCTCCTCTATCAACTATTTTCATGTCTTTGCTAGTGAAATGAACTGCACGCAGTGCTGTCTGAACTTGCTATATTCAATACTCCCATAACAAGAATGCCTGCTATTCTTCCAAGAAAGGGTATTATTACAGTAATTTTTTTTAAAGACAGAGTTTTGTTGTGTAGCTTTGGAGGCTGTCTATATAGACCTGGATAGCATTGAACTCACAGAGATCTGCCTGTCTCTGCCTCCCAAGTGTTAGGGTTAAAGATGTATACCACCACCACTCTGTAGCTATAATATTTATCTTTACACTGTTCTAAAGTATTGCAATGGTGTGTGACATTGAATTAGAAACACTTAATAAAGAAAGGACTAGAGTGACACACTAAGCAGTTACATTTTAGTTTTTTGTTAGATGCATATTAGTTTATGCACCTCTTACATCAACATAGATGTACATGCCTTCAGGTCCTAATAACTAATACAAGACCTTACATATACTGGAACAGCTTAAGAATTTGATATTCCATCACCAGAGCTCCAAACTGTATCTATTTCTATTAAAACAGCACAGTCTAAGAAACATCCTTAGGCAGCCAGCTACATCATATGAACAACACATCCAGCACATGTACACATCTAGTTGACAAATGTCAGTGACCTGATGCTTGTCAGAATCAAGAGATGTAAATAGATTTGTATGGGCTGACAAAATGACAACAGTGTTTTATAATAAACTTTTTTTTCAGTAAGTAGAAGAGTTGGACCCTAAAATAATAAAAAAATACATATAGTATAGTAAATATTGTAATTGTTATTGTGCTCATTCATTACCATAATTAAGAGTCATATATAGTTATGCATGTAATACCCTTATAAAAAACCAGCAGCATATTGCATTTCTGTGTATAACTACAAAAACCCTGACAATAAGTTGTGTTCTATGATATTAACAGGACAGCATCAGGAATTTTTATCTTTATTTTAGTTCTAAGGGGCCTCAAATATGTACGTGATCTGTTATTTACCAAACCCTTCAATTCGGCTTGTGGCTACATCTAGGAATAGGTATTAATATGATGTTGTCAAGGGTCTACCCAAAGCTTTACTTATCAGTGTCAGGAGTGAATGCATTTCTCAACTTCGTTATTTGCATTTTTGTTCTGTTAACCCAAGTTTATTATATCATTTAAAAACTATATATATATATATATATGTTTATATGTACATATAATTATAATAATTTGTCAACTTTAACAATGAAATATAACAGCTAAGCTGACTAAACATAACATATTCTTTATATCTTCAGACTGCTGTTAAATTCAATTTTCATTTGTTATTTTATGTAGCATTTTTTCCATTATCAAGTATTTAAAACACTTCCTTACTTTCTGCTTGTCTTACACATAGAAGCCACCGTCTCAAGTTCGTGCTGTTATTAGTACCATACTGATACCCACAATATTGAGCCTTTCATTATTTCTTTTTTATTAAATCAAATTCTCTCCTGTTTTTTATTAGGGACCACAAGGAAAGCCAGGGCTTGCTGGGCTTCCAGGTGCTGATGGGCCTCCAGTAAGTCAATGCTGTCTCTCTCCTCATTGACATTTCCATAAACTCTCTTAATAAGTAAATTTTACATGATTCTTAGAAATGTTTACATGTAGGTAGGAATAAGAGTGAATTGATTCATTAATTAAGCCTTTGTTTCTTTACAATACAATATCATTTCTTCATGTCAGTTTTGTTGAGAACTCTTCAATAAGTTCACAATAGCCTCTAATAAAGTCATCCACACACTGCACACCAGAACCTGCCAAATTCCTTCCTTCCTAATTCCACATGTTCTTCTCTGACACCTGTTTGAGCCTGCTTTGATTTCCAGTGACTGTACTTTTTAAGAAACAGACGCTAAATGCAGTGGATGAGTGCATCTAGAACATGAGCTCATCTACTTTTTAACTTACCTCTCCGAGTCTGTCTGTCTTAGGATTTTTATTGCTGTGATAAAACACCATGGTCAAAAGTAATCTGTGGAGGAGGAAAGGGCTTATTTACTTCCAGGTAACATCAATGAGGGAAGTCAGGGCAGGAACCCAAGCAGGGACAGAACATAGGGAGGAGACAATGCAGAGGTCATGGAGGTGTGCTGAGTATGCCTTGCTCCTCTTGGCTTGCTCAGCCTGCATTCCTATAGCACTCAGACCCAATTGTCCAGGCTTGGCACTGCACACATTGGGCTGGGCTCTCCAATCACCAATCAAGAAAATGCTCCACAGGATTGTTTATAAGACAGTCTGATTGGGCTAGTTTCTCATGTGATATGTTCTCTTTCCACAGCAGTCTAGCTTGTGTAAGTTGACATAAAACAAGATAGCATATAGATCAGGTCAAGATGCACAGAATTCATCACTTTCTTCATATAATATCCATGAACATTATTCAGGCTTTAGGGGTGTTCCTCATCCTCTAGAAATATAGAAAGATTTGTGTTTATATAGAAATATATAAATATCTCTCACAATATAATTTCTACCTTCATTTAAAAATTATTATTGATGTTGTCTCTTCAAACTTCTTATTTAAATTTGTGACAAGACACAAAATTTCTTGTGCTATTTCTACCTGTAACAATAGAATATATCTATGATATAACTATATATTTTTATTTATGGAATCTCAATAACATAATAATCTGGTTAATCCCTTGGTCTTTCCATCACATGTTCTTGTTGTCTTTTGAGGATCCATCCACACATCATCCTTTTTATTCCATCTAGAATATAAACCAGGTGTAACTTGCTGTGTGTAAGAGTTGATACTGAACTGTTAATAGCATGAAATATTGCTCTAATAACCAGTTTCTAATATTATTAAAAACCAGAAATTTGTACAATTTTTCAACAATTTTTAAAAAATAATACTTATGATCTCAGGTTTTTTTAAACAATGGGGAAAAATTTAACAAGATTAGATGTTGCCATTAATATCATATCTTCACCATTGTGTTTGTCTGCTCCATGTAGGGTCACCCAGGAAAAGAAGGCCAGTCTGGAGAAAAAGGGGCCTTGGTAGGTACAAAGTGACTGTCTAAAGATCCTGTCAATTATAATGTCCTGTAAATTATAAGTGCTTTTGGTATAACTGGGAAGTAAACATAGGATAGCTTATTTTAATTTAGGAAAGAGACTATATCAACATTTTTGCATAAATTATTCTTATAGTGGTATATCTGCATACCAAATATTTAATATATGTATAGAATAAATTATGATGAGCACTAATTTGAATTACTGAATATTTGTACATTATTTATGTAAATATTAATCTTTTACCTACTACTTCCTATCATTATTTGAATTCAAATCATTATTTGAAGTGTATGAGCAGTTTTGCCAATGTTTCATACATTTAAGTCACAATGGATATTTTCCAGGGTCCTCCTGGTCCACAGGGACCTATTGGCTATCCTGGTCCCCGTGGAGTAAAGGTAAATGCTAAATTATTTGTACATTTTTTTTTCATTTCAAAGTGAAGTGTTATTGTCCTTTAATGTCAATGTTTTCATTTTTCCCATAGGGTGCAGATGGTGTCAGAGGTCTCAAGGGATCTAAAGGTGAAAAGGTAAAATATGATTTTTAAATGATTTTAATTTCTAAGCATTCAGTGTATAAAATTAAAGTGTTCTCAGCATTTATTTTTCTTCTTGAAACCGATAGAGGAGTTACTTATGAGTCAGACCTTGCAAGTATGTTTGTCTCAGAATCCTTAATATGAGCTTGGTATTCTAGGATGTGAGCTAAATTGTAGCAGATGCAAAAGGATGTCAAGTTAGCTCAAAATCCCCTTTTAATTATATGTGTTTAACCTGAGTAAACCACAAATTCTTCTATCTGTATAGGTTGGCTATGGCAGGACATGTTCAATTTCTTAGTTGTATCAAAATAGGGTTCATTCATTTCATATCTTCTAAAATCCCTGAAACGCATAAACTGAAAATAATAGAAAATATAAGATTTTGTTTTGTTACTGTGAGAATGGAAGTAATGATAGTAATGGGAGGAAATAAAATTAAATAAAATTAAAACCAAGCAGAGGTAGATAAATGTTGGTTCATCAGGCTATGCAAGGCTATGGCTCCTAATACGAATTTAAGAGAGTATCTTTTCCTTCCTAAAGAACATTGCATTTGGATTTATTTAGGTAAATAATTAATATATTTGGACATTCCTACTCCTTCAAAGACCAATTTTCAGTTTGAACGAGATATTTCTGACAATCAGGATTCCATTAATTCATACTAAAATTACACAACATTTCAAACACAAAGTACAGACATGAGGCCTTTTCATTAGTAGATTTGTTGAGGTGAATGAAACTATTTATTTGTATAATAATATTGAATTGGTTTAAAGGAAATGATTTGTTTTTGAATCACAATATTAGGATAGATGATTGAATATATTTTGTATTAGTTGGGGTTAGATAACTAAACATAAATTTATTATCCCTATTAAAATTTATCCATGTAAAAAATACTCCTGGGAGATAGTAAAGGTGTGCAAGATACTAACTGTATTCTAGAAAAAAAAATGTGATGCCCTTTCAGCTAAGTTAGCTGCTTTGATGACAAACTTAATTCATCTTGGTCGTCATGACTTAAAGTCTTTGTGTTGTAACAAAGCAATGCTGTGATAGTATGTCATTGCTGAACTTAAAATAGCTGCACTGTATGTTGTCTGTGCTTTGACATATATATATACATGTCCATGTTAAACAATTATATACCAATTAAACTTGTCTATTGGAATCAGCGCCCACCAAGGTTTTTAAGTGGGCAATATTTAAAAAAAAAGGTGTTTAATTGAGGTGGTATATGATAAGTTTCTGAAGGGGGGAAATAGTTACAAAGTGACAGATAAATAAATTTTAGATGATGAGAAGCAAATGTGAAAATATCTATGAAAATGAATATAGCACATGTCTATAAGAAGCCACCAAGTGGTTATTGGTCACTCAGAGTTGTGATTATTTTAGAAGAAACAATACTTCAAAAGAAAAATAATTAAAACTTTGTGTCTGAGTCAAAATTCTATATTCTGATTCTAGTGTCATCCATAATAATTGTATTAAAGGGAAAATTACACTTTTAAGCTGCACTTTTAAATCTAAATCTTTAAATGTTCTGCCTTTATCTCTAACTAGTATAGTGTACACTGTACTATTACATAACTCAGTATGAGAATTCTAGGTAAGTGAATAAAAGTTTTTAAAACAGGATTATTCCTGTTATACTATGTTGCAATCAATTTTAATATATATTTGTCCTTTTAAAATATGAAAATAATAGATTAAGAAGAGACAGAAAGGTTGTTAAAGAGTAGTGTAGCTCACTCAGCAGTAGAATCTTTCCTAGAATTTACAAGTAAGAAAGTCAAATCCTCAGAAACTTAAAAGTAAATAAAAAATTCTTCCTACTCTACAATGGTATGTATGGTTATCAATTGTTGAAAGACAAATTTAGCACACTGAGATTAAGATTCTCTTTGGTTTTGAATTCACATCTTCCTATTAATCTTCCACTCTAACACTAAAAATAGCAAACAATGTAGCTTTTGCTTTACAGTTCTAACCAAATTCTATACCATTTATTTTGTTTTTCAAAATTTATTAATTTTAGCACTTGAAATCTCATGACTTAACATGTCACTTGCTTAGTAAAAGTCTTATATTTTTTCATTTTTTAGGAATATTTTGAGTATTGACAAAAATGGTCTTCCATGTGTTGATTTCAAAGAATTAAATAAATGAGGAAATAAATTCAAATGAAGCAAAATAAAACTAACTGACTAACTAGGATTGTTTGAAATAATCCTCAATACTTTTACTGATTTTTAGCCACAGCACACAGCTTTCTTTAAACTAAACTTGGCAACTGTGTAATTACCTTTGTCTCAGAGGAGAAAGTAATGACAGTAATGAATAGGCAGTAAATGGCCATTTCAGCTCTTCAGCCTCTCCCTTAGCTCTAGTCACTTTGAGCACACAGAACAGCCTGCCCTTTAAAAGGCCACTTTGCCACTTGGATCTTGAAAACACCATTGTTTACTCCTGAGGAAAAGTCTATAGACCCTTAATTTAGATGTGTCTCAGGTTTGTGTCACCGTTTCCAGGATTAAATCTTTGTGTTTCTCTGCATCAAAATATTTCATGCAACAATTCAAGGTCTTCATATTTTTTATGATAGCTAAGTATTCCCTCCCTTTAAAAGCTAAATAACATTTCATCACATATATCAGCTATTTTCGCCTGTCCATTAGTACATCAATGAAAACTTTGATTGCTGCTATATTTTTGCTTATTGTTTTCACAACCATGAGTGCATAAATACATTTAAGATTCTGCATCCAATTGTCATGAATATACTCAGACCTAAATTTTCCACTTTAATATTATAACTTTGTAGTCTATCTACTGTCATTTTCACTGATAGCACACAGAAAACTCACATTTTCTCTGTACTCTTGTCAACACATAAACCCTTTCCTTGTGTTTCACAGCAGTCATTCCAGTGGCTTTCATTTGCATTTTCATAATGACCAGTGATGTTGAGCATTGATGTTTAACATTCTTTATTGTACTTATGAAACAATACTAAACAAATATTCAAGGATGAAAAGTTTTACTTGCAGGCATGGTGTCAGCAGTTTCAGTCAATCGTGGTGGGGGGAGCAATGGCAGATAGGACTCCATCTGTGCAGTGGGGACACAGCAAGAACTTGAAGCTGATTAAGATGCTCAAAGGCTGCCTCAGGGAACTCATTCTGTGGGATAGTGGCCACAGCTTCTTCACTCCTGCAGCCTTCAAACTGGAGTTTGCAGAAAAGAACAAGCATTCAACACATTTTATGTAGTCATACAAGCTAAAGCTATTAAAACTTGCCATTTTCTGGCCCTTTACTGATTTATAAATCACTAACTGAAAATTCTCTAATTTAAAGTCATTCACTAAGGAAGACTAATAAAATTCAGAGATAACGGTATAGGTCCAGCATGGAACAGAGTTTGTGGTTTCATGACTAGAATTTTTATTTCTCGGGAGATTGTATTCTAAATATTAATATTTATTTTACATATACTTTTTTTAGTAATTCAAAATAATTGATTAATATCTTCTTATAATAGGGTGAAGATGGCTTTCCAGGGTTCAAAGGTGACATGGGACTTAAAGGTGACAGAGTGAGTACAAAGATTTACATTAATGTATAAATTTGAACACTTTGTATGTTTTAGTTCAGGTCCCTACTGCTGTGATAAAACACAAAAGGAACTTAAGGATAAACAGATGTATTTCCTATGGTTCCAGGCAGCATTATATAATTGAGAAAAGTTAGAAGTTGGGGCTGAAATGAAGCTGGAGAGGAACCTGGAGGTGGAGCTGATACATAGGCCATGAAGAAGTGATGTTTACTGGCATGCTCCTCCTAGCTAGCTCAGCTTGCTTCTTTTTTTTTTTTTTTTTTTTTTTTTGTCCCACTTCCCCCTCCCTCCCTGCCTCCCTCCCTACCTCCCTCCATTCCTCCCTTCTTTCCTCCCTCCCTCCTTCCTTCCCTTTTACCCTCTCTGCCCTCTCACATGCACCCTAACCACCCTCACCTCCCATCCCCCCACCCCTATTCCATATGTAGGGGAATGCCTTCCAGTTGGGGTCATGTAGATCTGACAGGTCATGTGAAGTAGGGACTCGGGCTTCTCTCCTGTCTTTAGATTAAGGCAGTTATCCCTCCATGGGGGATGTGTTAGCAAGGTCTTTTGTGCACCAGGGATACATCCTGGCTCCACTGTCTGAGGCACTTAGACTGCTCAGTCCTTCTGGCTGAGATCCATATTCAGGGGGGGGCTGAGTCAGTCCTATGATGGCTTCCCAGCTATCAGTCTAGTGGCCCTTAGCTCCTCCTTGTTCAGGTAAGCTGTCTCTATGTGTTTCTGCGGCCTGGCCTTGTCCTGACCATTTGCATCTGGGTTCTAGTTCGACTCAGTGTTTATGTATGGGTGTTTGATCCTGTTTCCAATAGGCATTAGTTGAGGGTTCCATGGATAAGTTAGTTGTTGATCTCACTCTCTGGGAAGGGCATTTATGATAGCCTTTCCATGGAAGCTCAAATTGTTATTTGGCAGCAGTCTATAGACCTTTCTTTGTGTTCAATTTTCTCTTCAAACCAATATTGGCTCCCTCTTTTATGTTCTCTCTCTCTCTCTCTCTCTCTCTCTCTCTCTCTCTCTCTCTCTCTCTCTCTTTTCTGTCTTCTATTCCTAACCAGGCTCAATCTTCCTGGTCGCACATGTTTTTCTTTCCTCCCCCTCATTTTCTCCTACTTCTCTCTCCATTCGCTGACCCCCCCCCACTTCCCCTGAGCTCTGGGGGAGTTGTCCTTTCCCAGTTCTGTGAGGGACTTTATATGAATCTCTTAGAATACACCTTGTATCTTAGTTCCTCTGGTGGTGTGGATTATAGGCTGGTGATCCTTTGATCTTGGTCTAAAATCCATATATGAGTGAGTACATACCGTGTTCCTCTTTTTTGTGACTGGGTTACCTCATTCAGGATGGTTTCTTCAAGTGCCATCCACTTACCTGCTCAGCTTGTTTCTTACAGTGCCCAGGACTATCATCCCAGGGTGTCACAAGCATTCCAACTCTACCTTCAATAAAGAAAATCCATCACAGTCTTGCATCCAGGCCACCAATCTTGTGGGGGCATTTTTTCAATTGAATTTCCTTTCTTCAAAGTGACCCTAGATTGTTTCTAGTAGACATAATCATTAGCTATCACCATTTACAAATATATTTTTCTCACCAAGCAAAGGTTAAATAAAATATTATGTATGATACCTCATTTCAGTTGTTATAGTATAGTGACAGTAGGGATAGTATAGTGTCAGTGTTTTTCTTGCTGTTGTATTAAATTTTATAGGAGACACACAAATATGAAAATACCTCTTGGGTTAAATTCTAATAAAACCATCACCATTATGCTAAAGGCTTAGATTTAATGGAGAATGAATTAAGTACATGTGGTTCCTAGAAATGGTAGCTTTGTGTGAGATGTTTTTATTCTAATATGCATTAAGTATTTTTTCATACTTTTTTTTCAAGTTTTGCTTTTGTGTTTAAGACAGGAACTCACTATGTAGCCCAGCCTGTGATAAAACTTATAAGGACCACTTGCCTCTACCTTCTGGGTGCTGAGATTAAAGGCATGTACCAACCAGCATGCCTGGCATATTTGCACTTTTAAGATAAGCCATGCTTAATAAATGTCATGACAATTGTGCACAATGTGCATTTTTTTGTAGTGTTGAGGACATAAGTATGGACTTTCACAGTGCTTGACAGGCATTCTGCTATAGAACTACACATGCAAATACAAGTGTGATATCTCACCTCAACAGTGAGTTTATTAAGATATCGCCTCAAACAGCCTCTATATATAAATGAGAACTATTGTTTATGGAAGTTTCAGAAGAGTATGGTTAAATTACTAGAAGAGAAAATGTGGTTTTATTTTATATTTTGTGTGTATGTTGTGAACTATGGTGATTGAAAGTTTGAATACTTTTTTTTTTATAACTGATATAAACACCTCATCTATCCAATCAACGAAGCAGACCTTAGAGTGGTTTTGATTCCCTGTGTTTCATGTAAAGGCTGTCAGGATGGGAGACAGTTCACTTGAAACTCAGTGTCCATTTTCTCAAGGTCAAAAAGATTCCAAATGAAGACTTCTAAATGATAGTATCAAAAGCTGCTTTCTAATCTTTTTTTCTCATTCTCTCCTATATGCATTCTTTTTGTCCCTGTCTCTGTTTTTGTGTCTCAGTTCCTCTCTCCTTCTATTGCAGATAAGAATTATGGGCGTACATATATTACCATCAAGCTTCCACAACTTTTTAAATATTAGGCCACATTCATTCAGTTATTTATTCAAGAATGAAATGCTTGTTGACATCAAATATTTCAACCCTTTTCCCATAATAAAGCAAATAAGCAAAATATGAGGCAACAAACCAAGAGTCAAAAAAACAATCTTCTAATAGACTAGACTCTCCACCTCCAAATCTAGAAGTGTTTTAAATGAACAATGTTACTTTTTATTTCAGGGAGAGGTGGGTCAAGTTGGTCCAAGAGGAGAAGATGGCCCTGAGGGCCCCAAAGGCCGTGCAGGCCCAACTGGAGACCCAGGACCCTCTGGCCAAGCAGGAGAGAAGGTTGGTGGTCTTTCATCTCACAGGATGTGCAGGGCAGAGTGTGAATGTGTCACTTTCAACACAAAGTTCTTTATTCAGTGTCCAGTGATCTTATGGCAAGAGAGAACACTCAGTTTTGAGCTGGCTACATTTGTCCTTTTCCTCTCAGGGGCTAAAGCAGGAGCACCCATTCCTAAACCTTGCCCACAGTTGATTCTGAGTATTAGTGTTCTGAGTTTAAATTAACAGTGGATGATGGCTTATTTATTGTATCGGATCAAACCAAACCATATTTGTTCCAAAACAAAGTAGTTGTTTTCTATTTGTGTATAAATGCATTTTCACAGAGTACTATTTAAAGTATATGCATTTGGGCTTCTTTTCAAGATTTGAATTTAACCTGATATTAAGGTATTTCCTAGGGCCTATAACGAGACCTGTATAGCTGGGAATCCAACACAGGACTGACCCACATCCCCTGAATGTGGGTTTTAGTTAGAGTCCATGGGGCTTCTGGTAATGGATTTGTACTTATCCTTGTTATACAAATGGACTTTGGGAGCCCATCCCACATAGAGGAATACTTTCTCAGCCTAGACACATGGTAGAGGGCCTAATCTCTACCCCAAATGATATGGCAGACTTTGAAGACTCCCCAGGGAAGGCCTCACCTTCTCTGGGGAACAGAAAAAGGATGAGCTGGGGCTTGGTAGGGGTGATAGGGGAGGATGGGAGGGTGAGGGAACTGGTATTGACATGACCTTGTTTCAAATATAAATTAAAGAAAGGAGAAGAAAATATGTATTTCTGTACATATTAAACATTATTATATGAGCATCAAAAAAAGTATTTCCAGGTAAATATAATACACATTGTTTTGAAAGAATCTGGGCCATGAGTGCTATTTCAAAATATTTCCATTATTTTAAATGTAGTAAACAATATTAAGTTTGCCTCCTGGATAATTTAGCTATTTAGGAAACTTTTTATTTATATGAACTTAAATTACTATGATTTAGGGGTCTATTGGGGATTAACAACATGGCTTAAACATGCCAGACAGGTGTTGTGCTTATCCACAGTCTATGAACTTAATTGATGGAGGGAAAAATAAGAAAAATTAAATGATAAACATTATTTCATATGTACACTAAAGCAAAGTAAAAATAGCTATTCCATTCTGTTGGTAGAATTTTTATGAACTCTCTTTTTCATCTAAATATTTTTCCAGCAAGAACATCGCCTATCTGGAAAATAAAGAAATTATGTTCTTTATTATGAAATTGTAATTTTTCACCTGCATACATTTGTCTCAGAAGGAAATTTGGTTGTTATTATCTAGACATTATAAAGAGGTGAATGGTAGTGTCTCCCATCTAAAATCACTGTGGTAGCAATTTTACAGGGCTTATGCTTTGGAAACCATTTCCTTGGCTGCACTGACAAGCACCATGGTATTTAGACAGTATGACAAGAGATGATGGGAAGTCAAGGCATCAAGTCTGCAGATGCTTTGTTTGATGTTGCTCAAGGTTCTCTGTTGAGTTCCTTCCCTTCTCAGCTATACTGTTAAGTTCAATGGTCCCAGAACTATTCTAAGCACTGTTCTGTGCTGCTCTGTATGGAGCATCTTACTATTAGATGCCTATTTATTAATATTTGTGTCTTCATTATCATTTATAAGAATACAAGTTTTCTGTCTGAATTAATTATATAATGATTCTAAAATTTAAGGGTTTGTAGTCTCATATAGCAATTAACATAGAATACCGGTAGCTTGGTGATCATTAGAGGTTTTCATTTGCCTTGAAATCAATGGCATAAAAACAAGAAATAAGCTGTAGTAGCATAATATATCCAAAGGGATGTCATTAAAAGCAGCTTCTTTGGGCTTGTTTGCATATTCTCCATCTGAGCATTTCTTGTCTATGCAGTGTCAGTTGTAACTCTTGCAAATTTTTACTTCAGTGTGTAATGACAAGGTCATAAACCGTGTTCTTTTTCCAGAAAAACTTTCTGGCTTTTTCCAGAAAAACTTTCATTTTTGCTTTTAAAGTTTTGTTTTTATTTATCATTGCACGTGTGAATTTTGCCTGTATTGTCTCCTATTATTTTTGAAAGTGTACATTATCAATAATGATACTTTTTCTGTGATGAAGTTTAAAAAGTTAATGTAAAAATTGTATGGTATTTATTTAGACTTTAGTTATAAAAAGTGATGTTCAGAATTCCGCAAAGAATTTAGTCAATTCACTTATTTAGTTTCTAACTTGTGCTACTTTTTCTTTATTATAAAAAGAAATATTTGGGGACTTTTAATTGACTAGCATCTTAGGCCACAGTGTTTTTTACACAATTTGAAAGTGAAATGATTCAACTTTTTTTTTTTTTAATTTAACATTGAGGGATAATTGCACTGGATTGAAACAAAATAGTTATATGTTGCAGCACTGAATTCCAGGAACAACATTTTGTGTCAATCAACATCACTTGCTCAACATATTTAACCAAGATTCAACCGATATTTATTCAAATGAACTTTTAAAATTTGTAAATTAACTAGAGCATCCAAATACAATTACTTAGATGTCAGTTAATGAGGAAAAGCTTATATAACCCAATATTTGATATACAGTTATAATGTGATAAATTAAATAATTTATCATAAAATTTTTCTGTTGAAAGCATGCTAAGTTATGAATACATTTCCAACTATATTAACTAATTTGTTTTCATGTTTGATTAAAAGGTTTGTTTTCTTTAGTTATGCTTTATAATTCACAAATGGGTAAGAATTGTCTTCCTCTGAGTTACTATGTCGTTAAAGAAGATTCTATCATTTTCACAATGATAGTTCTTGGCTATCAGGAAAGCATTGAACAATTGCATGATTACTAGCATATAGTTTGTTCACATATCCAGAAAATTCTCCCTGAAGCAATTCTATATATGTTATTCATATTATCTTTTTGTTTTTTTATTATTTTAGGGTAAACTTGGAGTTCCAGGATTGCCGGGATATCCAGGAAGACAAGGTCCTAAGGTAAAATAATTTGAACATTATAGGCTTGTCTGTGTGATACCAGTTAATCTAATAAACTTTCCTTAGTGATTTTCTTTTAGAGAAGAGTGAGAATAAAATAAAATTTCCCTCTGTTCAGTACTTATCACCAAACAAAAAACACAATTTATAATAAACACACACACACACACACACACACACACACACAACCTGGAGTTGAGGTATTCCCGAGAGCCTGTGATTGTGTTATGTCCTAGAGAATTTCTGGATACTCAGTTGTTATTAAAGAAACGTTTAGTTATATAGTTGATATAGTTGGAATAAATATATATGAGAGAGGAAAACTAAACATATTTTTAGTTATATAGTAGATATCATGTAGAAGATAATAGATTTTTATTTTATTTCTATTATCCTTGTGGTTTGACCTATTTCTTTTTGGGTGCTCACTTCCCAAGGCACAGATATGAAGGGAACAATTTTCATGGATCATTTTCTTACATCCACCATGTGATTTCAGGAATCAAACTCTGAATCTCTATTTTGGTGGAAAGGGCCTTAAACTATTATGTGCTAAATAAGAATCTGGGAAACAATAGGTTGATGGATGTTTATTCAAAAGAAATCACTTACACCAGAAACAGATGGCCACCACAAGTTCTCATCCCAAGGATGCCTCCAGATGCTTTGTCTCTGACCAGGATGTAAGAGTATGAGCTTGGGTCCAGCACCTCACATCTTATCCCCCCAGGTCCAATGAACCTGGCCCAATGCCCCAATGGTCGTGGTCAGTGCAACAGGTGTGGGAAGGGTGGATACCTCACTATAATTCTCCTTTTAGTCTAGTGAAAAGATTTAGGCTTGATACAAAATTACATACAAAGACAGTAAATATCAAGTATGCTCTAGGAAAGTGAATATTAAGAACATACACGCATAAAACCTATTGCCAGTGAGGTAACCAGAGTAAATGGCAAATCCAGTCCTAGGGTGAAGGCATGACAGCAATTACTATAGAGTTGTCATAAGTTGGAAACTTTAAGTTTTTTACCTAATATTTTCATCTAGGAAGAGAGAACAATAATTGCAACAGTCTAATCTTCAACCCCATGGAAGACTTGAGAAGGAAAACAACAATACCAGGTTAGGCAGGAAATGCAGGTGAGGAGCCTCCAAAAAGTGCAGCCAAGACAGAAACAGCAGGCTATCTGGAGAGTCTCTTAGTCTCACAGCAACTTCGGGGCAACCAGTTTTGGCTAGGCCTAGAGTATCTGACAGACCACTACAAAAGCAGGGAGGTAGAAAGGCTGGCTGTCTTACCCTGATTTGGCAAGGTTCCACAGTTTAATATGTTTGTCTCCTGTGAGCACAGTGGGACAGCATGTTCAAAGTCAGTGGTCAAGGTAGAGGCAGTTCTTTTCCCAACAGGCCATTAGTTGAGGAGAGGGTGAACTCCAGAAAGAGTGACATTAGTGCCCAAAGTAATCTCAGGAAATGCTCAGTGCTGTCAGAAGCAATAGTGTCTCATGTCAATGTCAACGGAGTACTAACATTAAAACATTTAAATGTCATGTTCTGCAGGTAAAGGGAGTGTTGAAGATCAAACATCTGTGTCTGACTAATCTCATAGGTATAAAAAACATGGGTGAAGATAATCTGTAATACTCAGGAACATAGCCATATGAATGGTTGAAACTTTCCTAAGTAATTAGCAAGGACAATTATTTTTAGCAATATAACTATATACATATATACACATGTAAATCTCTAAAACAGAGGTAGAATTGAAATGTCTTGACCAGAGATAGAACTGTATAATGCAACATGGTAAAAGTATCCTAAATTGAATCAGTATACAAAATGTCTTGAATATATGTAAAAGTATACATATATAGAATATGGTAAAGATATGCCCAAAACATCGTAACAGAAAGAAGATCTTACACAATATGACAAAATATTATATACAAATTCTGAGAAAGTAATACAAACTTAATTTTACATAAGTTGCAACATGCAAGAATCTATAACAATGTAAGTTGTATATAATCAATAATTACTAAGATAATTCACAAGAACATAAGTTAATCTACCTATATCCCATCTAAACCATACCTTTCCCCACCATACCCTATACTTACGTAAAAGAGATACTCGAGTCTGCATATCACCTTTCATAGCTGGGTGGTGGTGGTGTATCCCTTTAATCCTAGCACTCCCAGGCTGGTCTTGAACTCAAAAATATCCTCCTGCCTCAGCCTCCCCAGTGCGCCTAGTATACAAGATTTAACAAGTGAGCCATTTCACTCGCTCTGTTCCATTTCTTTTTAAAAATTCTGATTATCGTTTATAGCAACATTCATTTCCTGATTTTCATAACAAGTCTCTAAAATTTGGTTGATGTAAAAAAATAGAAACTTTCACTGATAACAGAGGTCTTTGGTCAAGGTGTTGTTAGAACCATTCCCCTCCAAAACCTCTGGGAGCCAATCTATTCTGGCTGCTTGTGACTTGCACTACCTCTGGGATTCCCTAGCTGGTGGCTACATCCTTATAACCCTTCCATTTTTGCATGGTGCTTTTTTTTTTTTTTTTTTCATCCCTTCCCATCTATGTCTCATAGGGCACCTGCCTTTGTATTTAGAAAAAAATCCTTAATCCTTTCATGATTCTTAATGTATTTATCTCTTACTACTTTTCAGTCAAAGAAAGTAACATTACAGGTTTCAGAGATTCTGGCATGGGTTCATTTTTTTGGGGGGTACACCATGTAAACCACCAATACTGCTAAAATATTTTAATTATAAAAGATACATAAGTGGTCAAGACCAGGCTGCAGAAATCCACAGAGACAGCTGAACTGAAAAAGGGGAGCTTATGGAGCCCTCACTGATAGCTAAGAAACCAGCATTGGACTGACTCACACCTCCTGAACATGGGTCTCAGAAGGCCTTAGCAGACTAAGGGACCTCAGACAGTGGAACCAGGATGTATCCTTGGTACAGGAAACAACTTTGGGAGTCCATTTCCCATAAAGGGATATTCCCTTAACTTATACAGAGGAGAGAGGGCCCAGACCCTACTCCAGGTGACTTGAAAAAATTTGATGATCCCTCCTGGAAGGCATCACCCTCCCTGAGGAGTGGGGGGAGGGCAGTAGGGTAGGAGGGTGTTGGGGGGGCATGGGAGGGAGAGAGAACTGGGATTGATATGTAAAATAAGAAAAATAATATACATATTAAAAAGATACAATTTTTTATTATTGCCCATTTATTTTGCAACATAAATTTGGTTTCAGCTTATAAAAAAATCTATCCTTGGCTAGCCTTGATATATTTACCAATTATATTGATAGCTATATTAATTAATTTGTAAATTAATTATTAATTTGAGTAGTTATTCTTTTTTCTTTAAAGACAGGGACTAGTTCATTCTAACCTATAACTCTCGTCCACCTGCTTCAAACTCAGTGTGTATAGATGGATGTTTCTGTCTCACCTGGGGTTGCAGCCAAATAGCCCTAAATAAACACACAGAGGCTTATATTAAGTGTAAATTGTTTGGTCAATTGCCCAAACTTATACTAGAAAACTCTTACAACTTAAATTAACCCATAATTCTTGTCTATGATTAGCCATGTGGCTTGGTACCTTTTCTCAGTAAGGGATTCTCATCTTGCTGTCTCTGCATCTGGCTGGTGACTGCTTCTTGATTCTTCCTCTTCTCAGAATTCTCCTAGTCTGGTAACCCTGACTATACTCCCTGCCTGGTTACTGGCCATTCATCATTTGATTAAAACAATATGAGTGACATATCTTTACAGTAAACAAGAATATTATCTGACATCAAGTGTGCTTGAATTACAGCCAAGCATCACCATACATAGCTCATTTTTAAAAATATATGTACATGAGATGCATTTTTACATTAGTCTTTTTTCTTACATTTCTTCTTTTAACCACTAAGTATATAACAGATAAAGAAAATTCTAGTTATATAACAACCTCAAGCATTTGCTGATAAGCTTCATAGCTAACCTTTGGGTGACAAAACTGTCATTTCCCAACAGGTGGACTGAATGCCACAGTTTTCACTCATTTTCATATACAGGGTATATTAATCTTGCTATGTGTTATTTATTGTTTCCAAAATGCTGTTTATTTCCTTATGTAACAAGATGTATTTAAAAATTCTACCAGTGTCATTTAAATGTTTTTTTAGATTTAAAATGCTGATCAGTCGTCTTTTATATTTTCTGTCTTATATGTAATATATTGCTCAGTTTTCTATTTACTTCCTTTCAAATATTAGGAATTTATAACAGCTATGTGTGTAAAAATTCATTTATTGTACAACCCCAAACCATAAGCTATCTCTTTTTTATGCCGTGAATTCTTAGTCTGTTCACTAATATGTGTAGAATCATGATATACTTTCATTTTGATTTAAAAATGATGGGAAACACTCATAATATTGTTTGAACGAGCACAACTGTATCTTGCAAGTTTATGTGAAATTATGATGCATTCCATTTTGTTGGCATCAATTTTCTGATCCGTTTTCTCCAAAATCTTATTAATAAAAATGCAAGAGTTAACAAATGGAAAGTGTTCCATACATAATGAGATGCTTTTCTTTATCTTTTAACCATAATGTCTGGACTTGAGGCATCCATATTTAATATCACTTTTCTTTGTAACTCCAATTTTTTTGCTGTGATACAAATGTTTGTCTTTACTTTTAAAAAAATCAGTGATGCTTACAGAAATCAAAGAGAGCCTTAAGTTTTTTTCTTGTATAGGAACTAGAGATATTGTAATATGCAATATTTATGAAAATTTAACTTTGACTGCTACATCTAAGTAGATAAAAACCTATTGTTAAACACTCATTTATTCAATGTCTTCAGAGCAAAATTAGTATGGCAGACAAACCACCAAATGCTATAAAAAAAATAACAGTTGTCTTGCAGACTACATAAAGTAGAATACTTTTATAGACATTATATAAAAATAGTTTGCAAGTTTTTTTTTTTTTTTATTGACAGAATGATTTCAATACTCACTTTTACCTTGTCATTTTCTTTTCTTTTTTTTTTTTTTTTTTTTTTTTGGTATTCTAAAGGTAGTTTTTACTTTGAACATGCATTGTGTATTTTGTTTATAAAGCTTACATGAAAAACTGGTAGATTGAGAATATTTCCTGTTTTTATACACATTCTATGAAAAAATTATTTAAAACAACAAAAGTTAATATTAATAAATATTAATAATTTTTCAGTTGTGTATTTTAAAATAGGGTAGTTGTTCTGATCAGAGCAGACATAAATATTTGTATATAAATTTAGGTAACACATGTCATTTCGATATCAGATTGTACTTATATGTTGAATTCATAGTTACACAACAGCTACGAAGATATGATTTCCCTTGACTCTGATGACACAAAAATAAAAGATTAGAATTCCTTAAGTTTGTAATACGCAGTTTTCTCAATTTTAAACTTATTTATTATTGTTTCTCAAGTGAATCGTAAGTGACCTCTCTATTTAACACAAAATATATTGAAAATCAAATCATACAAAAAATATTGTGTATTCTTTGGACCATTATTTAACCCTGTGGTGAAATGGGACATAACATACAATTGTCTTGACAACCTTGCTTTGTAAATATGAAATATTTTCTACATTCAAATAGCACCAAGCTATTACCTCAGCCTCCAACTGTTTTCCATCATTGAGTACGTGTCATCTGAAGAGTCCAGGGCTAAGATTTTTAAGTCACTATCTGAGAGTTTTTCAGTTTCAGTAATTCTGGAGTACTACTCACAATTTAAATTTTAAAAAGCACTACAGTTTATTTTTATATATACAGGTCATTTCTCACTTGGGGGACATTGTTTTGGAGAGCAATTAGATGCAAAGAAGTTGATCTAAAAACATAAAGATAAAAAGTCAAAGCATGTTGCTATATACCCCTTAATACATACATACATACATACATACATACATACATACATTCACACACACACACACACACACACACACACATATATATATATATATATAATTTATAAGTCTCTCAGCAAAGCACTTTATAAACTATTGATTTCAGCGATACAATGGTTTAAATAAGAAATATTGGAAACTCCTTTGATTTCCATTTTTATGGAAATATTTAGAAAACTGAGAGAAAAATATTTGAATTCTATCTTCTCTATTTTGTTTTTAATTAATAAAGACAAAAAGCTGCTTGGATACTTGGATAGTGGCCCAAGATGATGAGAGACTGGGCATATGTCCAAAATGAAATGGGGAGGTTTTATTATTGGAAATTAAGTTGCATTTCACTAGCAAAATATATCTATTCATATTAAGTACATTATGGGCTTTTTATAGTTTCAAACAATCAGTGTCTATTATCCAGTATTATCACTTTATACACCATGTTTCTATATTGGTGAACCCTGAATTTATTTTTTCCAATCTCCCATAAATTTCAAAGTATTAAGATGTGCTAATAATAGTCCATTGACTTCTTTTGAAACAACAACAACAACAAAAAAAATAGACTCAAAGTGGACAAAAATATACCTTTCCTTTGTTTGCATGGTATGTGGGAATCAGATGATGTTAATTAAGGTCTTTGGGATTTTAAGCACAGTTTTATGTGTGTTTCTAAAATAGAGTTAGAAAATGTAAAAGAAACTTTTCTGGGTGTGTTATATATTACAGTTTAAAAATTAAAGATGCCAAACTTTAGGCTAAATTTGGGGATTCTTGAGGAAGAATTGGAAGAAAGTTTGTAGGAGCCAGAGACATCCAGGACACTGCAAGAACATGACCCACATAATCAGCTAGGCAGGACTCACAGGGGCTCACAGAGACTGAAGCTAGTATCCAGGAGCCTTTATAGTTTTGAGTTAGGTCCTCTGCATATATGTTATTATTACATTGCTTGATGTTGTTGTGGGAATCCCAATAGTGGGAAAGGTGTAGTCTCTGACTTTTTTTATGCTTTGAGACCCTTTTCTTCCTACTGGATTGCCCTGTCCAGCCTTGATATGAGGTATGTGCCTAATCTTGTAGCTAGTTATGGCAGTGTTTGATTGATAGCCTTGAGAGGCCTGCTCTTTGCTGAGGGAAACAGATTAGAAGTTCTGGGGAATAGGGGAGGCATTATGATACTTAAAGACATGTTTTATATTGTAACTGCCCTTTATGAAAATATAATTTTTCTTTAGTGTTGGAGCAAATGTATGGACTATTAAATTAAAGTCTATTTTTCATAAAATATCCATTAACTTCTATTTAATAATAATAACTATGCTGAACACTTTATTATTTTGCTTTTAATTTAAATACTCAAATAGTTTTTATCAATTCATGCTTCCAGGATTTCAGACATCACTGTAAGTTCATTTTCAAATTCAAGAAGAGATCTTGTGTAATGACTTAACAATAATTATTTTAAAGATTGTATAATTTTATTATGAGCTCCCAAAGCAAGTACACACATTTACTTAAATACTTCCTTTTCTGACCAAATCATTGTTTTCCAAAATAATTGGAACTTGTGGCATGGAAATTGAAAAATATCCATTTATTGTTGATTATTTTTATTCTTTCAGGGTTCCACTGGATTTCCTGGATTTCCAGGTGCCAACGGGGAGAAAGGTGCCCGGGTATGGTGCATAAGTATATTGTCCAGACATGGCTAGTGAACATATCCCTACATGAATCCCTGTTTCTCACCCCCATTTACTCTGTCACATTTACTACACACTGAAACTTTTTGAACTGTCTTTGTCAGGGAGTTGCTGGCAAACCAGGGCCCCGGGGTCAACGTGGTCCAACGGTAGGTACTTTGTTTTACTATGATGATTTCCATTGTGATATTTGTTTTTCACATTTGCTTTTTTTTTTTTTTTTTTAATTTGCTTTACACTGGGTAAATTTTCTCTTCTCCTATACAGGGTCCTCGAGGTTCCAGAGGTGCCAGAGGTCCTACAGGGAAACCTGGGCCAAAGGTATCATCCATCTTTACTGTGACTTGTGTTCTAAATCCTTGTAGATGAAAGTAATTTTGTGAGGAAGAATTAAGTTTGACTTTCTTTTCATTCTTTTATCCTTTTTTCTCTCTTATTTTTTGTTTCCAGGGTACTTCAGGAGGTGATGGCCCTCCTGGCCCTCCAGGTGAAAGAGTATGTATTACATAGCTGCATAATACACAATGAAAATCAATACTTTTGTTAACATTTGAATTCTGAAAAAGGGTGTCTAAAGACACATGTACATATTCACTTACAGATTCCAGTCTACATGTGTTAAGAAAAGTGTTAAGAGTTAAGAATTTTTTACTTTTTATAATCCTTTCCTCTGCTATTTAAAAGCTTGCTAGGTGAGGTACAAATAACAGTATAGAAATGAGAGAAATGATGTGTATAATTGCCCTGAGTTATACACTTAGTCCAACCAAAATACAGTTGTTATTTGAAATGTATTTTGATCCCTATGCTTTCTCTTGTTTTCCATATTAGTACTCAGTTTGTCGATGAAAGAGACAGTAACATACAAGTACCAGAAACCATTAAAATCACAATCAATATGCATTTAAGGCAAGATAGAACATCTATTCCAGTAAATAAAAAAAACTGTTTAGTAAATTGATTTTAAGTTGATATAAAATAAGCCAGATAAAAATGAGCAACCAAGACCTTTGTTTGGTTGTTTTGGCAAAAGGCAGCAAGAATTATTGGAAAGCAATGGTCTTGAAATAATTAATGTTTGTATCATATCCAACGGAATTATAATCAGCCTTAGTTTTCTATGATGACTCCAGATATTGTTAAATTATGCTTCTGTGTGTAAGATATGTGAGAGAGATAGAGAGGGAAAGTGTGTGTGTGTGTGTGTGTGTGTGTGTGCTTGGGCAGCACTGTGTGTGAATGAAAGTATGTGTCTGGAAGTTAGAGGACAACCTCTAATATGGGTTCTTGTTTCCCACTTTTTTCTTCTTCTTGATATGTCCTTTTTTATTGTATTTCTGCTCTGTATCACAGGCTATTTGGCCTAGGTGATTCCAAGGATTCTTCTCTCTTTGCCTTCCATCTCCTCATGGTAATATTGAGATTACATATACAGACTACAACATCCAGCTTTTTAACAAGGTTTCTGAGTTTGAAGTATGGATCTTTGTGCTTGAGCCATCTCTTCAACCTATATTTTTTGTATATTTTTATTTGAAATCTTTAAGTTGATGTTTCACGATGGGAACACAGAAACACCTGTAACAGACAACTGGAAACTGAGAATGAAAGAATTCCGGGACAAAAAGTGCAGTGAAATTTAGTTTCTATTTGTAACAAAACAGAAGTAGAGTAGAAGAAAAGAATAAATATTTAATTGGCATTTATTTATGGCCTTATTCACATTTAATTACATTACTACATGTTTTTTCTCTAGATGAACTATTCACAAATTAAGTCCATTCATCTTGTACATTTTGAATTCATAAATAATGAATATATTTGATATATTTTATGGTTCAAGTAATGTTCATAAAAAGATATAGTGAATTTAAATAGTTGAATCATTAAATTAATAGGACAATTTAGCAAACCATTGAACAGCTGAGAGTCCATCTTGATTTCTAAGATAGCGTGACTAAACAAGTGGAATCTGTGGAAAAAGGCATCCAGAGGAAAACTACATTCTGAAATCAGAATGAAGGTGTTTTGTTTGTTTGCTTTGCTTTGTTATTTTCTGTTTTTACCCTAGAATGACTCATTTCCAATAAGATTATCCAGTTATTCATTTTCTACATAGGAGGAAAATGCTACTGCTCTTGTTTGTGGTAAATGGCACACAAGCCCATTTACTGGCAGGACTCCTAAATGTTACTTATTCTTTTACTATATTACATTTTACTTTAAGTTTTAATTAGCATTTAAAGTATCAGATTTCTTTATGAAATTTCAAAACAGAGTATGTTTCTGTTGACCTCACCTTCTTTGTCAATACCTCCTTCTTCCTCCCGTGTTCCTTTCCAAACACTGTAGCATTTCTTTGTGTGTGTGTGTGTGTGTTTGTGTGTGTGTGTATGACAAGTCTTCTGCAACACATTCTTCCACTCCTTTCTTTCACCTGATATGTTCCTAAGTGTCTGTGAATTATTAATTCTTTGGTGTATAGCAATTTCATAACAGTTTTCAAAGCTACATGAACTCACTAAAGTTTCCTTTTGGCTTTAAGACAGATGCTGGCAAGAGAAAAAGGTCATATTTATTTGTGATATAGCATTGAATTAGAATGGGCAATAAAAATTTTCCTTAGGAAGCCAAAACTGATAACATAAAAAGTAAAGTATCTTGAAGGCCCTCTTCAGTAAGCTATGTTATTTTATTTTATTTTTTGCTTTGGAAACAGTAAATAAATTTAATTTTTTTATTACACAAGACATTTCATATATATTTGTCTCATTTTATATGTCTTCATTTTATAGATATAATTATGTGCTTGTCAAGTACAGGGTTAACTTTTACTGATCCATTTTTTGATACCAAAACAATCAGTATGTCTGATGTACTTTATGCCTTTTAAAGATATGTAAATAAGAACCTGAATAATATAACTAATTATGTATCAAGATAGGAATGGTATTATAAAAGCACATTAGGGTAGAATGTTAATAAGAGTAATTACAGGGTAAAGTTCATCTTTTCTACCAAAGAGTCTAATGCAGGGAGCAGATCTGACAAATGACAGAATTATTTCCACAGCTTATTTGATAAGGATAGAACTATGTAATACTTTAGTGACGATCTCATATACTCCTGTTAGCTGTGTGTTAGTAGAGACATAGCTCTCTTTTTTGTCCATTGCAGTTTTCATTTTGGAGGTCTATTGAACCTGTTTTTAATGTCTTCCTCTGTAAATGTTTGTAGCCAATATTAAAAGTGTGAATACTATGAAACTCCTCAAAACAGATGGATTTGCTCTACTGTTTTTTTTATTTAATGATTTTAATTAATTTAATTTGTCCTTAGAAAAGTTTATATCAGTTACACACGGTACTATCCATTCTCCCACCATTCTCTTCCTTTCTCCCTCCCACCTCCGTTTATCACCCCATCCTTCCCCCAAGCCTCTCACTTTCATGTCTATGTTTGATTTTGTAACTCACTGACATTAAATATGGTATCTTCATAACTCTTGATTTGCAGCTGTCTCTTTGCTCCTGGTGGGCTCATCTAAGTGAGCAATGTAAAGACAGCATATCCCAATCTCCCAGATTCTGTCAATAGCCAATATTTCATTGTTAAAGGATAGAGCCAACCCATGAGCCCACCCACCTTTCATGGCTGATAGTTGTCAAGGCTAGTGATGCACATTTGTTAGTAATTGAAGTGTTTGTGATGAGTCTACTTCCTGCTCTCTCCAATATTCTGTGAACCTTTGAGAGGAGCATATAAATGTCTTGTTTAGGAATATGAGCATTTTACATGAACTCCAAATATTCACAGTGTTCTTGAGATAATAGCATGCATGTGATGTGCTGTTTCACATGGCTAAAATTATTTGGCTTCTATTTTAGGACTGTTAATACTATTATATTGCCATGCTTTCATGACTAAAATAAAGGAAATCCATTCATCCTGCACAGTTTCAAGATGTAATATTGAAAGTTTATTGTTAAATATTCTCCACTGCTTTTTATTCGCAGGGTCCTCAAGGACCACAAGGTCCAGTTGGATTCCCTGGACCAAAAGGCCCCCCTGTAAGTGTAACATATTTCTTTTGCTTTATTTGATATTACTTTAACACTTTAATGCTTGACATAGCTTATGCTTTTGTACTTTCTTAAAAAAAAAAAAAAAAAAAAAAAAAAAAGGTTACTTATTTCCCTGACTGTAGTTCTCTTCCCTTCTTACCTTAGTTCCTGTCCCTCCCAAACTTCCCTCCCCCCTCATCATCTGTTTCTGTTCAGAATGTGGTATGCCTCCCATGGGTATCAAAAAAGCATAACATAACAATTTTCAGTTAGACTTAGCTCCTTCCTTATTTTAAGGCTAGATAATGCAACCCAGCATGAGGAAAAATAATAAAAGAATTGGGAACAGTGCTTGCTCCCATTGTTTGGAGTCCTACAAATAGACCAAGCTATACAACTGTCACATATATGTAAAGGTCATCACATGCAGGCTTGCTGATGGTTGGTTCAGACTTTGAGAGCTCCTGTGAGGCCAGATTATTTGTTTCTTTGGCTTTTCTTGTGATGTCATTCATTTCAAATGAAAATATTATAAGAAACCCTTATAAAATAAAATTTAGTTTAAATATTACAGAATACATTCTCAGTGTTTTAAATTCATGTATGTTTTGGAACATAATTTAGATGTCTCTTGTTAAACAATATCAAATAAAAGCTAGAATAGTATAATTATTCTTTCTCAATAATTTTTACAATCAGTATAGTTTATTAAATAGAAAGTAATTGCTGAACTGAACATACAAGATATGCTTGAATTTTCCTGTTATCTTCCATTAGCATATGGAATTTTCCATGCCTTTTCATGGATCACTCCCTAAACCCCTTACAACATTCAGATCCTTCAAAAAACAAACACATATTATTTATTCATTTATTGTCACTGTTTTATTTCTATTATATACTTGCTTTTGAGTTTATCACTGTGTGTCCCTGGGTGGCCTGAACTTACTATATAGACCCAGCTTTCCTCTAATTCACAGCTGTTAACTGACTGTTACAGTTACAGCCATGTGCTACCAAGCCTGGCTGCAGTAGATTCTTAGAACTTTGTATAAAATCTTCTTAGTCCAGCACTATTTTGGGTATTATCCTTGTTAATCCTCACAAAGTTACTCAAAATTACTTTTTTAACCTTAAATACTTAAGGAAATGTCAGGTAGGATCAGTTTACTTATTTTCTGTCTTTCTGTTTCTCTTCCTTTCTCTCTTTCTCTCTCTCTCTCCCTCCCTCTCTCTCACAGTGTGAGTTTTAATGAATTTATGCACATGTTTGGTGCACAGGCACTAAAATATAGTCTGTCCCCAGCAGCAGCAACCCTTGGAGCATTTTTTCAGGATGTAATCTACTTAAATAAAGCCTCGGGAGAAAGGCCCCAATCATGGTTTAACAGAATATCCACACTGTCTGAACAATGCTAATGTTTTGAACCATTACTTTAATAGAGGCTAGACAGTCTTCCTCAGACTTTAACATTTACATGCTTGAAATACCAGCGTGACTGAAATGTTAAATACAGCACCTTATCTGATATTTTGTAGTAATTTTTGATGGTGTTTGGAGTGTGTTTTAAAACTAAACAATTCTGTTTATCACTTTAAACATATCAAGAAACATGTCATCTCTCCTCATGGTTGAACAGGTCAGCTAGCTTACATTAAAATAGAATGTTACTTCATTACTTCTGTCTCTATGTATATTTTTACGTACTATCTGTATGTTGTTTATGTGAACAGTAAACTCTATGTTAAGTTTCATATCCAAGTGAATCATAGTTCCTAAACTGATACATGCATATTGTTAGTGATAATTTCCATAAGTATTTTGGTGTCATGTATTTAGATCATTTCTTTCCCAAATCAGTCCAATGAAGTGAGCTACGAGCAGTTTTCTACAAGCCTGGTACCACAGCTGTGTCAGCCCAAAAATAACACACAGAGACTCTATTAGTTGTAAAGCTGTTGGCCAATGGCTAGAGCTTCTTATTGGCTATCTATCTCTTAAATATTAATCCATTTTTTATTAATCTAAGTGTTTCCATGTGGTCCTTCCCTCTCTCCCTTTCCCTTTTGTTTCTGCCTCCCAAATATTGGAATCCAAGGCTAGGAATCAACCAAACATAGCTGTATAGTGTCAATGTTACCATGTTTCAATGCTGCATAGTTATATAATTTAAGAACAAATATTAAAATTTATAGCATGACTATCATGAGGAAATTTTCAGAGTTACTTAGAAGGAAGCAAACATCTCTAAGCAATTACTTGTGTCATCACAGAAGCCTATGGCAAATATACGAGTTTTCATGGAGATGATTTTGCCTCTTCATTCATCTTCCAATCTTAGATGAATAAAATAATTATTTTAAAATAAGTATTTGAGACTGCTGGGGAATAAGTTGGCTTTATTTTTATTGATTAATAATGTTGATTCAGATTAGTTACATAATTCTGAAATTTATGTTTAACTCAAGGAATGCATGAAGCTGTTGCTTTTTGCCCATTACCTGTATTCCTCAGACTGTCTAGGAACTCCATTAAGTCATGATGTGTTCATTCCTGGTTAGCATCGTTTACTTCTAAGATCGTCACTTCAAAGATTGATCACTTTAGTAACTGAAGTATAATTTTTAGTAGTAAGGAGTGGGATGCTTATTGCTTACACCCATGGGTTTATTAGAAACATGTGTAGGTCTTGCACTGATCACTATGCAAATATTTGATGACATTTTAGTGCCCTGGGGAAAGAAGCCAGGTACATGGACAATCCTTCATCTGACATCCTATGAGTCTGTAAACTTTATAATGGCCTCACAATGGTGTCACATTTAATCCATCTATGCTAAAACAGTGGCAGTATGGGAAGCCTTTTGTTTGTTTGCTGGTTTGCAAAGCTGTGTCTGGACCAGTCTACCATCAACTAACTATGTGTATCTTTTTCTCTCTAAGGTTTGAGTAAAGCTGCATACTTTATTACTAATGGCTAATGCAGAGATAATTGGCATATGGTTGTAAATAAAATAAAAGTTATTTTACAAAATGTTGCCTTTTAATAGCTCCTAGTTGTGGCTTTGTGGGAATCACAAAGCTGATCTTGGACAATAAGAAAATAAACACATTCAGCAAACCTTAATTATATGAGTTGTCATAATCACTAATTTTAAATAAAGCTTGACAATTCACACAGCATCCTGTGTGATGAAATGGATGGGTCAGGTAGAAGACATGGAACAGGGCATTGACAGAAGCACCCATCAAGCATGCCAGCCACATTAGAAATCTCATCAAAGTGAAAGATAGCTATGGAATTGTGCTTTTTTTGAATCAAAGTCTTTTGTACAAGTAGGCTCCATATTAGCATGTATAAAAATAGATCCTTGAAAACAACATTATTTAAATAATTAACAGTAGTGAGGGGTGATGTGCCTGTCATAAAAATACCTTGATTAAAATGTCTATCTACATTTACTTAGAATAGAATGTTTATATGCCTACTAAATATGTTTCGAAAAAATGAACTAGTGTTGAGTAGCTTCTTAAAAGAATACTCTGTAAGACTGTTGAAAGACCCGGTCAATCTCTGTTAAGCATTTAGAATATAGAAACCTAACAAAGTTGTAGTTTTTTAAATACTTAGTTATTTCCTTCATTCCTTTCTTCAGACACGGCAAACAACCCCTTTGTAGAAAGCAGTAACGTAGTATAAATTCCATTAGTATTTCCTAAGTATTTTGCTTCTTGGAAGATATGTAAAGTAACTTAAAGAAACAACTGTTCCTGATGACTTCTACAATTGAACTATATTTCCATTTGCTTGAAGCAGTTTTACAGATTAGCATTTTTGTCAGAAATTAGATGACCACTAGAGGGCACTCGCATTCTCTTTCACCCACTTTTTTATTTACTTGGAATTAAGTTGTGAAGGAACTCTAAAGTAGGAGAAAGGGGAAGCACATTTTGTTTTCAAGCACTGTGAAACTAATGTTTTTCTAAAGTAAAAGTATGAACTTATGCATATATATTTTTGAAATACAGAGGCATATAAAATAATTCATTGAAATGCCTAGTGCCCTGAATACAGTTTTACAGATTTCCCTTTGTCTTTGTTTTTCATTAAGAAGTCAATTCACAAAGAAGTATACAAAAAATCAGCCAAATGTCACCTTTTATAAAAATAAAACCATCACAATGAAATGCAAGATGGTGTTTTCCACAGTGCCCTTGAGCTATAACATCATATGAGAAGTATTTATGCAATATTTATGACATGGGTATTTAATGTTTGTTATCCCAGGGCCCTGCTGGGAAGGACGGACTACCAGGACATCCCGGGCAGCGGGGAGAGACTGTAAGTGACTAATTTTTGTTTTTATTTTTTATACTGAAATTTGCTCTCAGACAACACAATTTCACACACACACACACACACACAGACACACACACACACACACACACACACAAACTTATTATTAAGTTAAATTACCATTTGAAAACTAGTGGAGTGAATTTCTTTTTTTTTTCCCATACTGTGATGATTAAATCTATTTGATTTGTAATATCTCACTTAAGTTTTATTATTTTCTTCTTATGCCCACTATAATTAACTTTATCCCTTTTCTTTTATTTTTTTGAAGGAAAATTATTTTCTCATACAATATATCTTTTCTCTCCTCCTCTATTCCTTCCAGTTCCTTCTTCATCTCTCCCTTCCAGGATCCATTCCTTTTCTGTTTCTCACTAGAAAAGAACAGGCTTCTAAGAGATGACAATCAAACACTACAAAATAAAATATAAGAAGAAAGCAAACACTATCACGTTGAAGTTTGTCATGGCAACCCAACAGAAGGAAAAAAGTCCCAAGAGCAGGCAGAAGAGTCACAGGCCCACTCATTTTCACAGCTGAAGTTTCATAAAAATACTAAGCTAGTAGCTATAACACATACTCAGAGGACCTGCTGTGGAGCCATGTAGGCCTGGTGCTTGCTGTAAGATCATATGTGCTTTGCTTAGCTGAGTTAAGCAGGGGCCCTTAAACTCCTGGTTTCCCTCAGGCCCTCTGGCTCTTACAATTCCTGTAGCATTCCCTGGGTATTTAGATGAGGAATTTAATGGATATCTCCCATTTATATTCTCTTTCCACATAATGTATGACTGTTGATCTCTGCATTTGTTCCCATACACTGTCAATTGAACCTTTAGTTAAAATATTATACCAAATGAATAAATAGAACAAAGTGTTAGCCCTTTCATGTTCACCTAAACAATAAGATGCTTGTTAATATGATTCTTAGTGATACAAGCAGCATTTTAAGAATCTGACAGAGATGATGTCATAGCCGGGTTACCATCTACAAGATGCCACCTGGAACTATTCACTACAGACTGTTAATAGCTAGACCTCACCTAACCCCTCAGTGCTCATCAATCTCAAGAAAATATGTTATTATAAGACACACAGGCAAAAAATATCAGTCTTGGAGGATGTGATATTTTCTGAAATGGGAGTGTAAGGAAACAATTGACTTGAATATAAGCTTTATGTCTAATAGAAAATATAGGTTGGAAATTGTAATTTGATTTTTAAAATGTCAGTGGGAAATACATCTGTAACCTGACTGAACAGCTCACCCTATGTTGGAATTCATGGGCAGAGAGAAAATGAAGCTCCCTGCGTGTGCTGCTGTGTTTGTTTATTTGCTTATTTTGTTATTCTTAAACTCCACATCTGTCTTGCTTAGTTGGTTATTATTTTAATCATAAATCCTCACTGCTGGCCATGATTCCTTGGAATCAATCATTAGATTCCACAGTTAGTTAATTTTATTCACTTTTCTTGAGGAAACCAAGACGCAAACTACCTTTGACTATTTTTGTTGAAAGTCCATTTACTGCATGTATTCTGATAGTATTAAAACATATTTAGAATTGTATGGCAATACATCATTACAAATGCTGAAGTTTTTTATTAATTTTCTGCAATGCAAAAAGCAATCTCCAGTAGTAATATAATTCCCTTCTTGCTCTCCATCTCATAATTCTTGGTTTATCAAGTATTAATTTTAGCTGAAATTTTCAGTGTAAATTTTCCAAAAGCACATCAAGAAATACATAGTAGAACCAAAGAATAAAATTTACTCTTGGAATGGTATATTCAGAGGAAGAACAATAATCTGTAAAAATAACTCACACTCAAATTTGCAAAGACATTCTCATTCAAATTCTGCAGCCCACATTTTTACCAAAGTTATGGACCTCCTGAGAATAATTCCAGCATACTTTTAATGTGTCTTTTGAAGAATCAGTAACTAAAGAATTAGTAATTAAGAGTTCCCTCATTTCTAGATTTAATCAAAAGTGAGAGGTTGAATATGATGAAAATATATTATATGGAATTCTATAAAGAATTAATTTTAAATATAGATTTTTGCAAAGAAACCGTATCATAAAATATTAAAATTTAAAACAAGAGGAAAAATAATTTGTTAGCTAGAGCTTCTAGGAAATTTCTATCTAGTGGTTTCTCATGCACAGACAATTAGTTTTGGAAAATTGTATCATGATTTCTACAGTTAATAGAAACATGCTGTAACAGTTCACCTGAATAAGGGGGAGCTCATGGACCCCAGTTTGATAGCTGGGAAACCAGCATAGTACAGATGGACAATACTCTCTTCCAGCTCTCAAAACCATCATTTGTTCTGTTGAGCCATGTGGCTCATTGTATGTAAGTTTTCATTTCTCCACTTTTTCTTTAGTGGGGCATTGACATTAATCAATTTGTGGTAGTAAGTTGTTTCTCAATGATTCTGTGTACTATTCATGTCCCTGCAGTTACTAAGACACAACCTTCATAAAATGTTATGTTTTTTTAAATGTCAGAATTGCATATTTTGCCCTTCAATTCAAACTTAATTGATCAGAAGTTTGGAGAAGGCAATGAAGGCTTCAGGAATGGGTAAACTCAAACAGCCAGCTATGTCTGTTTGATAATGAGCGAGGCAAGATCAATGTGTTTCAAACCTATGTCCATTTCCAAAGCAAAGTCCCACTGTAGCAGCTGCCTATGCTGATACTCTAATGTGGGCTAATACAAGTATGCAATCTAGTAGAATAGATTACCTGGATTGAGATGGTAGTTCTGGGTAATGTGCATAAGGGAGTGAACCTGATTTAATGTCTGAAGTTATTATGGAAAGAATTGAATATAGCTTGAATGTCTAAGATGGCAGTCAAGAGAACATATGCTCATAATTTCTCATGTGATGCAATTGGCTTTATGTGAGACTGAAGGAATCCTCAGAAATGAAAAGGTTTTGTTAATAAAAATATTGTCTGTAGCATGTTGTGTCATCCAGGAAGAAAACTATTAGAGAATCATAGCAGGGGATCTGTCTCAATGCTGAAATGGAGATGGCGCCAGACACTAATGGTAGTGTCTAGTTGTGACCTATTGAGAAAGAGCAGAGTTCAGCACAGATCAGCCATTTATAAATAGCCTAAAGCAGATGGGAGGGTTTACCAATATGAGGATATGATTGTAGTAATAGAGGTTGTTGAAATAATTTTGGATGCATTAAGTATATGTGAATACATGAATAAATTTGTATATACATGTATACTCTATAAATACTCATGCATATTACTGACATGTAGATGTATATTTATATGTGAGTGCACATAACATGTAGTCTGAGCATAGATTTACAAACTCACTAGATGATTGAATGTTAAAATTATAAAGTACTAAATAAATTCTCATAATTTTCTTTAGAATATCTTTATCTCACCATTGAAGAATATTGCACAAGTATATGTCTAGTGGTATTAAATTTAAAAATAGGAGAAATGTACTTTTTTTCCCTGTACTATGAACTGCAGAATAACGATTGAGACTTTTTTACTTTCCTATACATTATAAATCATTCTCTTTCTTAAGTTGTGATACAAACATAGAATGAACAGTTTCTATTTATTTCCTGTTTTTCTTGTTTATATTTTTTTTCTATATTTTACTGATTAAAAATAGTATAAGTACTATATGATATGCTATTATTGATTTTTGGGGAAAGACTATTCTTTCTAGGTTTTAGTATTTATTTTTCCAATTTTCAATGTAGACTATATGACTTGAGAAATAATTCTATAATAGTAAAATCACATGGAAAAGGTAATTCATGAATGTGGAAAAATAAATATATTTCAGAATATGTTTCAAAATCTGATTCATTGGGCACTCACTGCTAATATCAACCAGATTGTATTTATTGATCATATTTTTTGCAAAATTTATTTGTAACCATTCTTTTGGATCCTAAGGAAGAATATTGATAAAGTTGATATGATTATTAGTCATGAAAATGATTACCTTTATAAATATATTTTATATTTTGTCTTATGACATTGTTATATGTTTATGTATAGAGAATCAGTTATCAATTTTAAAGAATATAGAAATCCATCACATATCACCTTAAATCTTGCTTGCCTAAATTTCTATATGTTGTTAGATGAGGTAAAACAGGGACAAGAACACAATTTTTTTTCCATATCCATCATAATCAGGTCTTTTATTTTTTGAAAATAATACTTACACTATAATGTAAAAATTGAAAGTAAAATATTTTGAAACTGAATAAAGAATCAATATTATATTTCATTACATTTGAATAGAATATTTTGGAAATTCATATTCAATACAGTATCTCATTAGATTTGAAAAGTAATTTTTAGCCAAAATTAAACTTTCATTTAACACGTTTTTCAATTATCTTGCAGAATTTTAATGTTTTCTTTACCCTGCTTACAGCTTTTATAGATTGTACTTTACTTTCTTAGGGATTTCAAGGAAAGACTGGTCCCCCTGGTCCAGGAGGTGTGGTTGGACCACAGGTATGTTTCCACTCATTATGTCACTAAGGATGGCTTTGTGGAAAAAATATCTGCATAGTAACAATAAGTTTGAGAGTTTACATAATTATACGTGAGAACTTAATGCAAATATATGCAAAGAGTAGGGACACATGCTCTTTAGCCATTTCCAGAACATAATTGTGTTGTATTTTCAATAAAATTCAGAGGATGTCATCTCACAAGAAACTGCAGTAATATATTTGCCTTTCACAGTGTCTTGGCTGCTAGAATTGTTCTCAGTATATGTTTTTAACTGAAATCATTCATTTTGCTGTGGCAGCGGAGAGCAAATGGACGCCATTTCCTTTTTACACTGAAAACTTAACATACCTCAGCTTTCAAACAACTGCCATGGGTGACACATAGAGAACCAAGCATTTCCCCTCAGCATTTATTGTATCTTCAGGCAGATAGCTTTTGACTACAGCTTCATATGCAAACTCAAGGACTGGATTCCTGGACCCCTTAACTTCATTCCTTAGACTTTGTCACTTAAATATGAACTAATTATTTGTATGGGGATTCTCAGGTAAGGGAAATACAAATAAATAAATAAATACATACATACATACATACATACATACATACATACATACATACATACATAATACAAAAAGCTGCTTCATTTATTTGAGATCCAAGGTACTTTAATTTATTTTCAAGCAGTGAATCATTCCTTGAGTATCCACCAGAGTTACATGTTTGTTACTGTACTGTAGAGCTGATTTGACACCTTATATAAAAGGGGAATAAGGTGAAACTGTCATTTATAACACAGAGTTTTTAAGAGTAGTTGGGCTATCTTCCGTCTCAAGCAATTCTAGCATTTGAAAAGGAAATTATCCTTGCATACTTCAACTGTTCCCTGGCATATCTGTCCACTCTGACCAAGACTACAATGAGCATCTTAAACACTTTCCAGATACACTAATTTCATTAAGTTCCAGGGAATATATTGTTGGGCATCATAAAAATAAAGAAAAGTAATCTCATGAAGGGGATTTTGAATTTGGTTTTTGTTTATTTGACAGAAATGAAAAGACACCATAATATGGCTTTGCTTGTCTTATTTAGGGACCAACTGGGGAGACTGGTCCAATAGGTGAACGTGGGCATCCTGGACCTCCTGGTCCTCCTGGTGAGCAAGGACTACCTGGTGCTGCAGGGAAAGAAGGTGCAAAGGTACAAGACCAAGGACATTGTCTTACTCAAAGCTTCCATGTACTCTTCTTCAGCTACACGTGTATTTTACGCATTTTCATACTATTTAATGTCAGAATAATTTGCCATGGAGATATTTAGAGCAAGGTTATTGTATCTCAAGACATTACTAAATAATAACAGAAGCATGATTTCATTGACCATAATATCATCACTATGCATATACTCTTACATCCATTATCATTATTTTATTTTAATATATGTGTCCTGCCTAATGACAGCCTTTAATTAAATGATGTTGAAAGTCTACTTACATACTTTATTTAGTTAATGGTGAGAGATACTCACAGTTTTGTTCATAGTAACGTGAAGAAATTACATTTGGCTAATGGTATATACTTTATCTCGCAGGGTGACCCAGGTCCTCAAGGTATCTCAGGGAAAGATGGACCAGCAGGGATACGTGGTTTCCCAGGTGAAAGAGGTCTTCCTGGAGCTCAGGTATGCTTAACATATATGTCAAGCACATGGATGAAATTTTTGCTGAGAGTCATGAAAAAATAAGGAGTTAGATACTTATATATTCATTTCATTATCTCAATATATATGCATACACCTGCCTGTGTTGGTTTCAGAAAACACTTCTTGTCATCTCCATTTTGTCAGATGTTATTTATTTATAGTCAATTTATATATATATATTCAATCGCTTTGTTTTTCCTTTTTTTTTTTCTTTTTCCACTTTTATCAGGGTGCACCTGGACTGAAAGGAGGAGAAGGTCCCCAAGGCCCACAGGGTCCAGTTGTAAGTATGATGATAATTGATAGCCATGCTCTCTATAGCTGCAAATTATAGCTCTTCTGTCATTACTCTCATGCTGTGATCCCATGGTGTGTGCAATAGAAAATAAACATGTGTCAATCAAATCATGCAATGCTTGGTTTCTGCTAATTGCAGGAACTAATGAGTACAGAAGCACAAGGCTTTAGCAGGTTGGAAGGATTTGCTCTAGCAGGAGATAAAGAACAGTCTTGCTTGTTACTATTTTCAATGAAATAAATTGGAATTTTAAGCAAAATAATGGAACGAATATGTAAAACCTGGAAAGGCAGTTTGAATTTGTTTTTAAGTCTGTGTCTCATTTAATAATTAGTCATAAACAAGTTTCAACTTCATATATATATTATATTTTTTGAATTAAGTACTTGATGAGACTTGAATGCTTCAGTTATATAAAAGTATCAAATAAAAATGAAAAATGACATCATTTCCTGAGCTATTAGTGATTATCATACAACTATGAAACATCATGAAATAATTGGCAATTAGTAAGCATCAGAGTTAGCCTTCACATTTATTTCTGAAGATTTGTGTAAACTCTGCAAAGATGTAGAGTATGGTCCTTATGATTTTAATGTCACCTTTTTTCTCTGCAATGCTCAGACATGTAACTACAGCACACAAGGTGCCACATTTAGGAGCCTATTCTCATTTGATCCTCTTCCCCAATTTATATAACTAACAAATGCTTAAATATTTTCCCAACTTCTGTCCAATGCAAATAATACATTGGTTATGATTTCATCTTCATTCTGCTACTGTTTCCATTAATTCTTTTGTTCTCTTCCTGACAATGTTAACTTTTCTTCTTGACTCCATTTATTTTGCTACCCACTCACTAACAGTCCTTCTTTTTGGTAGGAGAATATCAGTTTTTTTTTTTTTTCTGTTCAGTTTGTTGTTTTTTATTTATTTTTTTTTTTTCTGATTTCTTTGTTTTGGGTTTTTGAGACAGGGCTCTGTATTGTTTTGCAGACTGTCCTGGAACTAGCTCTGTGACCAGGCTGTCTTCAAAGTCATAGAGATCCACCTGCCTCTGCAGGCTGATATTAAAGGATTAAAGACATGTGCCACCAATGCCAAGTGAATATCTGTTTTATGTACTTCCCTAACTTCCCTATGCCTTCATCTTATTTTGAACCACTATTGTGTATCCATACTATCTTCAAGATCAATTTTAATCATGGCAGATAAATCATCAATATTATGTGATCCTATTAATAACGGTCTACCCATATCATTATCCATATTGCCCCTTAGTTTCTCCTGCATGATGTTTTGATACCCTCACTTTACTCAAATTACTATGATTTTGCCAGTATTACACAATTATAACTTACCAGTCTTTAACTCAGTTCCCGATGACACCTTTTCATGGCCTCTGAAGCAATTGTTAAACTTACATGCACAAACCCACATCAAACACTTATAAAAAAAAATTAAAAGTAAGACCTTTACAATTGGGATTTAAAGAAATGAAGCTTGAACATTGTGTACAGCCTTCCCTCATTGTTTTTTAAATAATCTAATAATTATGTTATTTTCTTCTCCTTTTTCTACCTCTCTATTCCTGAGTGGATTGTTTCCATTGTATTTTACTCATTTTTTCAGATGAAAGATTAGAGATTTTGGAATAATTGCAGTGATGACTCTTGAGTCTTGTATCCTACTTACCAAGAACATAGCTGTTACTCCCACATGCAATGATCTGCATTAACATATGTTGGCCAGGACCAATACAAAATATTGCAGCACTATTTGTTCATGTTTGTTTCTGTTTCTCCTCAGTGAGGAGAATGTTGATAAGATGATTTGTCTGTTTTCTTATTTCATACACTTTACAAAATCTCCCTAGAATATGAACTATACCATGAAAGAAACCGATAGTACATGTTCTCCACTCTCCTTTTTTTTTTTTTTTTTTTTTTTTTTGTGCAATGGTTATGCAATGGACCAAGAATTCACATCAATGCCATAGCTTCTTGTTTTGTTTCCATTAAAAGGTTATAGGGAGATGTTGCAACATTTAAGGGGATGTGTTGCAGAAGGAGGAAAAAATATCATTAAAGAAAGATATTGAATAGAAGATTTAATCTTCATAATGTGAAAAAGCATATTCTCTTTTTAAATTTAGAAGCATGACAAAATATGATTTTTGTAGCAGTTAATATTTAGTGTTGAACATTGTTCACAGGAATAAAGTAAGAAAAACAATCTTTGTGAACCATTGCTTTCTAATTAAAAAATTACACAAATGATGGTTCTGTGATTTTTAGCTTTTTGGTATGTTCTTTCCAATTGAGCAAAAAGACACAAGGACACAGAAATACTTTGTGTATTAAGCTCTGCCTACCTAACACCGTGACATTAGTGGCACAATAGTACCTTCTAATCTTACAGGTCTCTTCCTTCCTTTCAGTTTTATAAGTACTAAAGGTTATATGTGTCTTTTGTGTATAGAACTTCCCAGGCATAATTATCTAAAATTATGAAATAATTATCTAAATTATGAATCAATTAACTGTATTCATATTTTAAGATAAGCATTTTCTAAAGATCTTAGGTACATAATGATACTAAATGTTCAAGAAACCAATAACAGACTATTTCTAACCATTGTTATTGATGAGAAAATGAGCCATAGAGAATATGCTCAAGATCAGAAAAGCATTGGTTCCAGGGTTGGAAAGAGAAGGCTCACACTAACAATTGACATGTTTGTGCTTTGCCATTGGAAAAAATAAACAGAAATCCTTGCCTTTGTGAGCACTATCAATTTATGATTTTAAAATATATGTCTGTTTTAAACATAACTTTTAATGTGATCATTTTATTTACTACACAAAAGTAATTATATTTTCTACACATAAATTCAAATTCTTTTAAATAAGGTTAGGTACCTAAGCTTTATGAAGAATACTAAGTTTGAGTTTCTCAAAGCTAGGAAGTACTGTATTACATACTGTTTTCCTAGGGATTGTCACATGAGCACAGAATCCCAACATACTTGGGATAAATAGGACCTTCTTCTGAAACTGAGCTGAAACTCAAAAAAAGTGAGAGAGTGCCTTAACAGTGGTTCAGTTGTGATTGAAGGATAGAAAATTTTATTTGTTAAAGCTGGTCTGAGACTATTCATGATTCCCAACTTCGCTATACATCATTTGTTTAATCAATAGGTACCATCAGAGATTTTTCACTTAGCATTTATATGTGGATAAAATAAAATCATTGTTGAGCCTTCCATTATTACAGGTATCTTGGCTTATGTAAAACCTGTATAACAAGTAAAAAAAGGGACTTGCCATTATATTTTAGGGCATAGGAATACACTGAGAATCCTCTTTGAATTTGATCATTTGTTTTAATGCTGAATGAAATCTGACAAGATCATGAGAAATATTCTAACTACAGAAAAGCAATATATTTTGTCATTAATTTTAATGCAGCCTCAAAAAGCAAGATGGTAATCTGAAATTTAATCTTAGAAATGCTTTAAGGCAGAAAGTAAAATAGTTTGCTTTTTAATAATAACATATAATAGCTACATACTCTTCACACTTTCTTAGATCATTCTATCTCTGCTTAAGACACATTAAAATGGTTATATAAAATATTTCGTTTACTTTTAAATATTAAAAATACTTTACTTTCAACAAACACAGTTTTCCAAAATAAAAGCCATGCATCACACATCAATCATACTATATCAATTAATGTGACACATACATCCTTAGATTTTATGACCGTGACTTATAGGGAAACTAAATATTCAATTAAGGTTCTGCAAATTTCTATTGACTGTAATTGAATGACTCAAGTTTTTACCAAGATCAATATTCCACATAATTTATAAACAGACAAATGCACATCATCGATAAATTGTCTCATTATTTTTATAACTATGTATGTTATGTCTAAATATGTATGTATTTGTGTGAATATATATACATATATTCACAATACACACATGAATATATATATATATATCTATATATATATATATATATGTGTGTGTGTGTGTGTGTGTATGTGTATATACACACATATGTGTGTGTATTTTTGGTAATATTCACACAATTCTTCACTGGTTATTTTGCAACATGACAAACATTTTATGTAATTTTTCATGTAATTCTAGCTCATAAACCCAGCTGAAATTTTGACAAAATTCTTAAAAATTCTTTCCCTTAAGTTTGATACCCCACAGAGATAAAAACATAATTGCTTCATTTGTCATAAAATAATTAACAGGAAAAAGATATCACATTTTCATGTTAATTGTTTTATCTTTAATACCAAATTTGAATCTTTCAATTCATTTAATAACTATAAATAAAATACATGAAAGAGAAGTATTCTGTTACAAGAAAAATTTTAACAAATTAATATGAAGAAATTTAAGGAACAAATATATCTATCATCTGTATTCAATGAATATATTAGGGAAGCTTATTCAATGAATACATTAGGGAAGCTGAGTGGGATTAAATTCAAAGAATTCCCATGGGGTAGCTATTGAGTATTTATGTCCTCAGACAGAAGCACTAGGAGGCTTCTCACAGAAAGTACTGAAGGTTAGAGTTTCCCATCTTTAAAGATGATACCACGGGAATTTTTTGAAACCAAAATGAAAATTGAAAAAAATAACAGATTAGTAAATTGTGAGATATGTAAATATAAATTTTTGATGGCCATACTATTGTTCCTGTAATCAGTATAATTAATTCCTTAACTAATGAAAATATAAATTAGAAACATTTAGATAAATTTCATTTGCTTAATATTATGATTGCGAATATGTGGAAATTATGTCAGGAAAGCCCTACTAGAATAATCACTATTAGGTGTTTTGTGTAGTTGGTTTTTTTTATTCTTTTGACTCTTTGGGGAGCACTACTCCCTAAATCCCTCTAAAGGTTATTGTACTTATAAATGGCTGGCTGGCCTTAGCTTGGCTTGTTTCTAGCCAGCTTTCCTTAAATTAGTCCATCTACCTTTTGCCTCTGGTTTTTATCTCTAGTTCTGTATTCCTTTCTTTACTTCTTACTCCATGGTTTGCTGTATAGCTGGGTGGCTAGTCCCTTGAGTCCTCTTCCTTATCTATTTCCTAGATTACCTCTTCCAAGATTTCTCCTCCCATTTAGTCTCTCCCTGCCAGCCTTACCCATCCTTTCCTGCCAAGCTATTGGTCTTTCAGCTCTTTATTAGATCAATTGGGTGCTTTAGACAAGTAACACATAATCACAGAGTTAAACAAATGCAACATAAAAGAATGCAGCACATCTTTGTATCATTAAACAAATATTGTACAGCATAAAAAATGTAATACATCTTAAATTAATATTCTAGAACAGATTTGTAATGTTACCTATATGTATTTGTTAACTTGAAAGATACTAAAAATCATATTTCTTAAATACATCCATGTCATAACAACCATGGTAATTTATAGCTTAATGATTCACCTAGGAATCTAAACTAAATAGTCTATGTTATAATTAGATTGTACTTGATCAGTGAATAACTTAATTCATTTTTCACATTCCCAACACTAATATTTTCTTAAATTTTATCTTAGATAAATACAAAGATAGTCTCATCAAGATTATGTTTTAAGTATTTAGGGTATATTTTACAGCAAGTTAATGAATGTGTTGTCTTTTTTTAATTCAATTGCATAAAAATAATCAGATATGAATTGTCTCATACTGTTAATGAGGCCATTGGTCAGTAAAGAACCAAGGTAAATTTACAGTTCTGAGCAAAGTTCTACACTGATAGCAAACTTTACTTTATAGTGCATATTTGAGAACTTGAGATATAAACTTTGGAACTTAGAAAAAAATATTTATTAACTTTGAAGTGAAGCCCAGATGCAAGTTAAGTAGTAAAGAGTGTAGCATGGATATGTTTATCCTTTATGATACAAGAAAATAATTATGCCAAGTTTAATACTGGATACATATTTATATGGCATTGTGTGTAGTAGTTATAAAAACTACCAACTTTAGGGTATCTTTCCATTTCTTAATGTCAACATCAGTACTTGATACTGCAATTAGAATTTCTTGGGTGTAACTACTTGTTGAGTCATTAAAATTGTCTCAAATTTAGATTATGTTTTCATTGTTAAATAAGTGATTCATATGAAAATATCTGTTTTCATTATTAATGACAAAATATCTTGTTTCCCATGATCTAGGGCTCTCCAGGAGAACGAGGCTCTGCAGGCACAGCAGGCCCAATTGGTTTGCCAGGCCGTCCTGGTCCCCAAGGTCCTCCTGGTCCAGCTGGAGAAAAAGGTGCTCCTGTAAGTAATGTTGAGTGAAATATATATGATGCTGACAACCTGCACATATAATTACTTTTTATCCAAGAATATTAGCTCTTCTTAATTCACTGCATTCCCTTGCATATGTGCCTGACAAGTGAAGACAGCTTCTTGTATTCTTACATTAGAGAAACATTTGAAATTCAATTAAACAAGCCGGTGTTTTCCCACGAGTCATGAAGCCCTGATATCTGTGAGGGAGTGGAATGTTATTAAAGTAAAAGACTTCTAATTTTGCTCATTTAAAAAGTAAAATGGGATTTTTGATTAAACTTCATATACCCCACTACTTTAAATTAGAAAAATATTGAACTTTTTACATCTTCCAGAACACAACTTCCATCTCAGGTGTTTCCATGGTTCATAGATATATCTCACAGGACACACTTGAGATTCTCATGTAATTTGAGTTTTGCTTTATGATGAGTAAATAGGAAATGTGATTATTTCATGCCATATTTATTCAATTTAATTTTTTGTTTCTTAATTATTGTAGAGTTTATTCTGCTTATTAGGTTTGTCTCTTTTGTTTCTGTTTTTGATTCAATTATATTGAATTTTATAAAGCATCCTCTAAGATGGACACACAAGCTAATTAAAATCAGTATAGATTAAAAAGTGCTATGATGTTCATGAAATATAACAATAGGTTTTTTTCTGTAAAGTGTGAGATACACAACTGAGTTTGAACTCGTAATTCAAACATCACTGTCTTTTAGTTACTATTTGCAGCTCTTGTAATGTATTATACTCATTGTCCATATATTTTTCTTTTATTACCCTGTTCTGATATTCAAATTGTGTGATAGAATACTATAATCATTTTCAGTACTGTGATAGAATATTACACTGTATAATTCAGAATGAATAGTTATATCCTGTTATATGATGCAGAAGCTGAGAAATCTGAAATGAAGAGCTTTCATTTTAGGAAGCCCTCAGATTATTCTGTCCTAGGACCAGGAAAGTCAAAGAGTGGACATGTAACAATTATCCCAACCCATTTCTAATGCTGTAATTTCTCTTTGCTCTCGTGCAATGATTTTCACTCTTTACGTCCAGCCCAGTGTCCTTTTCAACATGCTTTTGGGGAATATCTTCAGACCCTGATAGTCTTTATAATTTAATCAGAAAATTAGAATGACTCCGTGGCACTGCCGAATATAAGTTTTGCTTTGCAGCAAAGACATATTGCACATTTTTGCTGAGAATTTTTCTGAAGCTGTATGTTTTACACTATACTGCTCATTGCTAAGGGAGAGAGAAAACTGGGCTCAATGACTCTGATTCCAGTTAATTAAAAATTTAGGTCATATATAACTTGTGCAATAAAAGATGAATATAGATAAAAGAAACTTTGTTGTTTTTCATCCAATTGAAAATATAAGTTCTATGGTGATATTATATTCAATCCTATGATTTAAAGTGAATACACATTTTTGTTTATAAAGGAAATATTGAATCAAATATCAAAATCAAATTTATTGTCAATTATTTTAAAATTTAGAGAGGCTAACAATAATTATTTAAGACTAATACTAGGGCACTGCAAGGTTTAAAAGTTGGTGAAATCATGTTTAGCAGGACCATGAAATTCTTGCTCAACTAAGGTTTCTTATTTTCTCACACCTATAGGTGCAGATTTTCATATTATTGTACCTTTTGTTCATCGAAAAGTTATTGAGAAAAACAAACTTGTAGATACTGACTTGAGTAGCATTTGAAGGAGATATCAGCTTATATATATTAGCAAAAAGTAGTTCTGGTAGTGTGGGGTTAAACTAGATATTCATGCAAAAGTCTTGGGAAACTTCAAGAAATGCTGGCCAAATTTTCACTAATACATTCTCTATTCTCTGAATTCCAAATATAATTTTTTACTTTAGTGTATATGTTAAGCATTTACCAACACTTACAGGTTTAAATAAAGTAAAGAACATACTAGGTCATGTGGAAATCACACTTGTAATACATTTCTCCAAAGATACAACATCTTGAAAGGAAAGTGGAATTGAAAACAAAGTTGTAGAGTCCCCACTCACAGTGATAATTGTGGCCTAATCATGATCTCCAAATTATCAGTCAATTTAGGAACTCTTGGAGGTAGGATTGGAAAAGGTAGATAAACCTTTTGAACTTATCATTTGGCAATGAGTATATTGATTATGTACTTGATTCTTAAAGAAAACTATGATTTGTGTTGTTGACTACCACCTCTTTGGATTATAGACAATTTCCATTACTTATGTATATTTTGGTAGTGCAATTGTAGTAACATGAAATAAAGAAACATCAGTCTGAAAAAAGATAAGGTCAATGTTGTAAGTAATTCTGAACTAGACAATAGTCAGAAATTTCAAAGAAAATCAGTTTTAAATACTTTTTGATAATGCAAGCATGTGTTTTTATGAATTTAGAATGGTGTGGGCCAGAGTGTAAACTTGCGGTGTTCCTTAAAAGAACCATTTGTTATCATTTGATGTGATGCTAAGTGCAGCAGAGATCTATAGTCAAGCTACAGAAAATCTTTATGGAGATGAGCTTTGGCAGGCTATATTAAAAGCAGAGAAAATAGCACAGTGATATGATAAGTTTGTGTGTGAATACTTAGCTCTAGTAGCACACACACAGAGCAAGAGGTGAGTGAGCTTGGAGCTCACAGAATACAGTAGTTAATATACTAGTGGGCTTGGATGCATTCCCTCTCATTATTAGTAAGCCATAAATATATTTGTTTATTTTTCCAATAAAATATGAGACAAATGGGAAGTGAAATTATTAAAGAAATCAATGATTGAGAACTGAAGATGATGTTGCATAGGCTGCTGACTTCTCAAAACTGAATTGAGAGCTTGACTCTCTCATTTATTTACTTCATGATTATGTTAAGTTCTTAACTTCAGAGCCTATTTCCCCATATTTGAAAATAAGATATCATAGAAGCTCAAGGGTCACATGCTGTTACAGTTATAAAGCATCATATAGTGTTGGGATGTTTTCAGTAAATAACCATCACCACCACAATCAATAGTCATCATCATGTGAACCAGAATAGCGATGAAAATAGATGAAACAATATCCAGAAAATAATATATGTGAGCTTTTGAGTGAGGAAGGATGCATTCTAGGAGTTGTGAGAAAAGTATAAATTTAGCAAAAAAAAAAAAAAAAAAAAAAGAAAGAAAGAAAAAAAGGTAGTAACAAAAGTTACATTTTTAGCAGAGCTATTTTATTCCTCTTGCCATTAGGGTTCCAGTCGGAATTAATTTCTTAGTTTCCTTTCCTATTTGTGTGATAAAAATTTTCTATCACAAGAAACTGCAAAGATAAAGGGTTTATTTTGTCTCACAGTTTAAACTACCCACAATCATAATGGGGAAATCAAGGCAGCAACAGCATAAAGTATCTGATCACTTTGAACCTCTCATAAAAGTAGAGAGCAAAGGGTGAAGGTGTGCTTCCTGCTTAGTTAACCATTCTCCACTTATAACAATCTAGAATGGACCAGCCCAGGAATGATGTCAACTGAGGTAGGAAATTCTTTCCACCCCAACTAACATAATCAAGCCAATCCCCCACAGATATGGCTAGAGCCTTGACCTAGATAATTCTAACTTCTGTCAAGCCAACAGCTAACATTAAGAATCACAGTGAAGCAAGTGCTCACTCTGAGGAATGATAAGCAAATACATTCACCTAATCATGTAACTGGCTCTCTGGTGGTATGGTGGAATGATGTGGGAGGAAGAGAAAGAGATAAGTGTGTGGAAGCAGCAAGTTATTTCAGTAGCTCAGAGAAAGGCCACTAAAATTTTTCAAGACATTTAAATGAAGAGGTAGAAAACTGGGAGTGCTTTCAGGAAGTAAATTCTGTGATGATCAGAAGGTAACCTGGTGGTAAATGGATATCCTAGCAGTCATGTGGCCCTGAGTTCAATACTTAGCACTAGGAAAATATTCCTTAAAGAGGTAAGTAGAGATAAAATACATCAGCATAAAGGGTCAGGAGATGTGAGTTAAGTGGATAATGGAAGAGCAAGACGATCACTTGTAGCTTCTTAGGAAATGCAACATGAGAAAAACCACTGAATATAATCAAGATCATGATCTCCACGAAAACCAATGGAAATTCTAATATGGTAATTACATTATTTTAAAGCCTGCAAACAAGCACTACTTTTTTTATAGCAGATGATATTTTCATCATCAATGCTTTATCTTTCATTGTGCATAAATTTACAAGTAGAAAAACTGTGCTACTGCCAGAGAGGCATACAAACAAAACCAAAGCGAAAGAGAAAGCCAGCAACATGCTGTTTGGCACCAAGAAAAGCAGATGAATTAAAATATCTATCGAAGTTCATATAATTAACAAAACACCTGCTAAAAAGGGAAAACCCACTTTGTATAAAGCATATCAAAATTTTATGTATGTTTAAGTTTAACTTCTACAGAATAGAAGCTACCTCATTAGCTCTGGGAAGGTAAAGCATAGCCTCAGAGAGACAGTAGCCACCTTATTTTTCCACAATTTGTTTGGAAAAAAATTTTTAAAATGTATTTATCTTATCAGTTGTATCTAATAAATTTTATACAGTGTAACCACAAACTGATAAATTTTTAAAGTCACATAAATTTTACTGGTGTTATTAATTACCCACAGAATACACCACATTGTTTCTGTTTTTTAAAGCTTGCAATTTGTTTCCCAGAAATATTAAACAATGCAATTTCTCTTTCAAATGTAAGAAATGGAATATGTAGATGTGTGTGTGTGTGTGTGTATGTGTGTGTGATACTTTATGTGTGTATGTATCATGTTTTTAGACAATGATAACATTTATGGTTTCCTACAGCAATTTAATGATGCATTGTATTTTCAATGCAGGGAGAGAAGGGTCCTCAAGGCCCTGCTGGTAGAGATGGAATCCAAGGACCTGTGGGTCTCCCAGGTCCTGCTGGTCCTGCTGGCTCTCCTGGTGAGGATGGAGACAAGGTTGGTGTTATTTTTTTGTGTTAATGTAGCATACAAAATCATATTAAGTGCTTTCTCAGGGACTATATATAGATTAAATCCAAAGTGGAAGATTTGAGATTTTTATCTTTTTCAATTTTTGAAACCTTTTGTGTAATCAAAAGTATTATATGCCATCAAAAACTAAGAAATAATCATGTCATAAATAGCACACAGAATAGAAACATAAATTATGAGACTAGTTTTCTCTTTTTAAAAACTACCTTTCTTAAAGCAGTGTAAATAGAACTTTATTATTTGTACATTTAGCCTTGAGAAGTTGTACCATTAGACTTATGAATAAGATTCATTAGCATTGGTAAAAGGATTAGCAATCCTTTTAGCAACATGTGAATAATAAATGTTCTGAGTTTTTATTCAAAATACATGATTTTATTATTTCAACTTTTATTGTGATATGTAGAAATTTTGTGAAGTACTGTTATTATAATCTCTCTACTTTGTAAACTGGGAGAAAAGAAAAAGATACCTTTTGATTACCATGTGCTTGTACGTATGTAGATCAATGTACTTTCATTATGAATTCATGATGGTAACATTCAGGACAAAGCCAGTTTTTAAGCTTTGTTTGTAGTTGTAGTCTTCCATGCTCATGCTGACTTCATCTCCTTATGTATTGCTCAATTACAGAAAACTAGAGGCAGAGAGAACTTTTACATTGAGATCATGGTTCTAAATACTACCATGTAACTACATTCATTGTAAAATGTTAAAATTTGATGACAATGATGAGAGTTCAGGTATTATGACTTGTATAAGCTTTAACATGCATCTTTCAAACACAGGGTGAAATTGGAGAACCAGGCCAAAAGGGCAGCAAAGGTGACAAAGGCGAAAACGTGAGTTCCCTTACAACTTGGTGAGGGGGCATCATCATTTCAATCCATTCACATGGGTATTTTTCCATTAGATCCAGCAGATATTTGTCAACGTAGCTTTTATACTATAAATGCTTGTTGATTACTTGAATGTGCATGGTTTGATTTATGTAAAAAGTAAACAAAAGAACTATTACTCTAATAAAAAATTGTAGAATAAGGGCTTGGGAAGATGTCTTCACTCAGAAAGCAAAGACAGTTGTTGCTTTAGTATGCATATCTACCTTGAGATCCCAGAACCATGGAAAATGCAGGAGATACTGTCAGTCTAGGTCATAGTTCTGTGAGAGATCATTACTCAATCAAATAAATCAAAGAGTGATAGAACAGGTCACCCACACACCTTACTATGTTCTTCACCTATACATCTGTATATAAAACACACACACACACACACACACACACACACACACACACACACATATATATATATACTCACAAAGTAAATCCAATGCAAACATATGTACATATACAAGCAAATGCATATATATATATATATAAAGCTATGCACACTATCATGTTATAATATTGTTTTATATTTACTGTAGTTTGTCTTATAGTCAACCTGTCTTTGCAAAACTGAGTTTTATTTCATTCTGTAGTGATAAATCTTGTTTAATTCCAGAATCACACAGATATGTAGGTGGAAGAGTCACAATTTTTGACATCTTACATTTCAGAATCACAGTCATCAAATCATGTCAGGACAGGAATTTAAGGCATGGGTGTACCTGGGCTACGGGGAAGTTCTGCTTACTGGTTTGGTCCACATGGCTCACTCAGCCTATTTTCTTATATCATTCAGTAGCAGAGGCCCAGTGGTAGCATAACCCCTCTAATGGGCTGAACCCTTTCACATCAATCATTAATCAAGAAAACATCCCCCTGGCTTGCACAAAGTTCAGGCTTGTGAGGTATTTGTTCAACTGAGGTTTCCTCTTTTTAATGAGTCTTGCCTGTGGAAGGTTGATAAAAGACTAAAAACAACAGACTCCATTTATGCAAAGCATTGTCAGTTAATGCAAGAATAAAGGATGTGTTTATGTGTGGATGACGCCATTACCTGTTCAAACCTGTTGTTCAAAAGAATTTCACACTTGAATGTGTGAAATATGCACAGACTTTTTGATTTTCATATATTAATATAACAACTTAGAAACCTGTTGACTATTAAAAGATGGTGTAAGATAAATATATGTATGTATACATACATATATATATACACACATATATGCACACACATGCATACATACACACATACACACACACACATATATATATATATAATTCAGAAGGGAACACTTTCTTATCTCTTAATAGATATCAATTTTATCTTGATTATATTTATGAAAGTATAAGTCTGAATAAAATAAAATAAATGATGGTTGCTATAGTAAATACAAAATCATCTAAACCATAATCTTTGTATTTCCAAAGGATTGTAAAGGTGTCTAATATATTTGGTCAACTATTATTTATCTTGGTCAGTCATTGTCTTTTGTTTCTTGTAATGTTAATGATGCTTTAGAAGCTTTGATTTTAAGATTTCTGATTTGTCTGTCACTTCAGGGCCCTCCTGGTCCCCCAGGTCTTCAAGGACCTGTTGGTGCTCCTGGAATTGCTGTAAGTATTAATACCTCTTTGTTACACACATTTAGGGACTTTTTTAACTCCCTAATAAAGTTAATGATTTTATGTCAATTCTAAATCCAGTTGAAACTGTATGTTACTAAGTTTATTTATGTTCTAAACAGTGAGTCACACTTAAGTGATCTATTTTTGCTAGCCACTTTTTAAAAAACATGGCTTCCCATGGGGAGTCAAGGAAGTCTGATGAATAGATTGGGGTTTGGAACTGGTATATAAAATGAGAAAAGATTGTTTTAAAACAAAACAAGATTTAAAAAAATTAAGATGAAAGCATATAAATAAATGATATTAAATTTGAAGTTTAAAATAATAGTGGCACAGTCTAAATAAGAACCAATGTAACATCATTTATATCTGATAATATTTGAGTATTACATTTTCTACTGGACCATTTTTACTTTATTTGTTGAGGTGATCAAATCAAAAGCAAAGCATGTTTGTGAATAAACTGTGGCATATTTGGAGAAGACCATGAAAATTGAGTCTACTTTGTAATTATTTGGTAGACTATAAAAATGGATGGCATTTTTATAATAATGTGTCATGGTGTTTTCTTCAATACTGATGTGTACCTTGCTGGTTTCAAGGGAGGAGATGGTGAGGCAGGTCCCAGAGGACAGCAGGGAATGTTTGGACAAAAAGGTGATGAGGGGGCACGAGGTTTCCCAGGACCTCCTGGACCCATAGGTCTTCAGGTAAGAAGCCTCTACATGGTTTTAAGGGACTACTCACTATTGGTTTCCAGGGGCTTGGAAACAAAGCAATATTCCTGTTTTCTATGAAAAATTAAATGCTGTGTGTTCTGTGTGTGTGTGTGTGTCTGTGTGTGTGTGTGTGTATCTGTGTCTGTGTATATAATACCTTTATGTATATGTTTGCCTGTGTGTGTATATCAAAAATGTTACTTCTTTTTGTTAGGAATTATTAATTTCTAGCATACACTCAAATATGCATCTGCTTGATTTCTGTTTCTCACACACCTGGATTGACATTTCATTTTAAAATGTGAATCACAGTCTTGTAGCTCTTGTAGGTAAAATAAGCTGTGTGAAATAGTCCTACACAAGAGTTAGCATTTCAGATGAATAATAAAATTTCAAGCAATTTGAAGTAGTAGATTGCCTACAGCAGCAATTGTTAAATAACGAACAAAATCAATAGGTAGTATACAATAAAAAGATGCTTAAGTAATAATTCTATAGTATATTAAATGTATTTGATAAAATATTAAATTGCAAAACACTGAAGGACCCAAAAGTTCTTTTTTTTTTAAATTTAGAAACAATATTATTTTACATATTTTTACATGTCAGTCCCTTCCTTGTGTATCTAGACTGAGAGAGTATCCCTCCATGGGGGATGGGCTTCTCAAGTCCATTTGTACACTAGGGATAAATACTGTTTACACTGTCAGATATCCCATAGACTGCCCATGCCTCCTAATTGACACCTACATTCAGGAGGTTTGGTTCAGTGCAATGTTGGATCCCCATCTGTGCTACTGGGGTTCATGAACTCCCCCTTGTTCAGGTCAGCTGTTTCTGTGGGTTTCCCCAACAGGATCTTGACCCCTTTGCTCATCACTCATTCCTCTCTATAACTGGATTCAGGAATATAGCTCAATGTTTAGCACTTCTATACCAAGTTTTTTATACACTTCTCATGAAGAATATTACATTTTTCTAATATCTCTTCCAACTTGTTTTTCCCTGCCCACTTGCTACTGTTAGTTCTTGCACACCTTCCAAGCACCTGTCTCTCTTCTACTTGCTTGTTAAGCACACACGTCTTCCTTCTTTAAGCAATGATATCTCAGTTTTAAATGAAATTTGTGTCCTATATAGATAGTACTTTTTCCACACTAGTGATTTTACAAAGAACAACCTAAATCACACTACCTGCAATTTTGTGAAGTTATAGAATATTATATGAAACTTGGAAAACTGTACATGTAGTTTTTAAGATTTACAAATACAATCACAGAAAAATTGATTTTAGCATTAAATATCTGATGATGTAATTGTACTTGTTACATTGTATTGCAGTATTATAACTTATAACATAAATACCTTTGTAAAATAGACAGTGAATAATTACTCGTGAACATGATATTCTAATTTCTTCTATTAATGCCAAGATAGTTTTTCTATGTATTATAAGTAGAAAGTTATTACTTTCCTGGTTTTTTTCTACTTAACTCTTTTAAAGTTGTCAGATAATTATAAATATAGCCATAAGTAGTTTTTATCTGCATGTGTGAGAAGTAACTCATTTTTAAAAATAACAAGTAGGAAATTAAAGTTGGATTACAATAAATATGTAACTTTTAATTCTGTGTTCTTCATTAATTTAACTGATTCTCTTCTATCCTATAAAACTGACCTTTGAAGCATAGATTCATGGTTGAAGATTTTTGTCTTATAGTTTATATTTATAGAATCAATAAAATAATCAAAATTTCTAGAAAATATGTAGTTATAAATTACCTCCTCAATGAGCATATCAAAAAATATTTTATATAAAATTTGAAAAAAAGTTTCATTTTCATGCATTTTTAAATCAAATAGAAGAACTGCCAATATAATTAGGAATTTCAAAATTGCATCTGTACTGTTTAATTGAGTGTCCATGGATGAATTTTAACAATTTAATAATAATAATTAATAAAATATTAAATAATTTACATTATTTTAGACTTGGAATTTGTTATTTATCTGTATTTAAAACATTCATGTGATTGCTAATATATTATGTGTATTAAATATCTTTACATACAACTAAAAACTTGTAAGAAAAAGAGTAGATTCTTGACCTGAATTCATTTTGTATTCATCACTTATGTGTCAATTGACTTTTAATTGAAAATACCTAAAAGATCTGTTTCATCTATTAATTGGGAAAAGGCTAGAACAGTAGGGCATGTGAAGGCTGAGTATTGGTGTGGTATCATTAGCTTATTTATTCCTTGCAACATGAGGATTTCACTTATTATGTCCCTATTAACTCTCATAATGAAAATATCCTGCCTTTATGGTTCAAAATACAAACATAACACAAAATATTTATTTTTTTGACAGACTCTTTTGAAGTGGTAGGAATGATCACATGTATAAATAAGGAAGAGACCACTTACAACCATGGTGCAAAATGTATAAATAAAAACTATGTTCCAATTTTGACATATAATTCACCCAGATATGCACTCAATATTTAGAGGTTATGTTAACATTTTGTGTGGTGTTTTAAGACTATTATGTTTAACTTTCTATGTATTCTAAAAAAAATTGGTCTAAAGTTAAATGTTTACATTGTCAGTTTTAAATTCTACTTGTATGTAGAAGATTTTAAGTCCCTGAACTTTCTGTAGAAAAAAAATTCTGAAATTAAATTTGTTGATTCTATATCTTTAGTGATTTTTTTTCTCCAGGCAAATTTTAGAGTGGTGTGTTCCATATGCACTCTAATCAGTTCTTCTTTTTTAAAAAAAACAATCTGATTAATCTCTAGAAGCTGCCATCAGAAAACAGTAACCATTTGGGTAACATACAAGCTGATATCTTTTCTTAGGCATCATACTGGCATTTGAAAAAAAAGCAGACAACTATCAGTTATATATTGTTCCTCATAAATTACTACTTAAGGCTTTTTACTGAAAAGAAAAAAAGATATGTATGTGCTCAGGAAATAGTTACAAGTATGTCCACGTAAGCATTTCTTTCCTTGGAGTCAGGTATTAGGAGTAGAACCCAACTATTTACTGGACTGTTACCTGGTCTAAAAGAAGAAAGGACAGGTGCAAGTTAGGTGGAATGAATTTACCAAAGCCATTATCTGTGGAAATGAGCAAGCATCGCTTGGACAGTTCTATTTCCAATCTTTGCCCTGGAAAAAGGTACAAAGATGGAGCATGAATGCTTTGCTGTGAGCTAAACAATAATTAGCAGCTGTTACATTTAAGTCCCAAAGCTGATAGTTTCATTTTTATATTAGCTGTTAACACTGTTGATACTTTTATTCTTTATCAGATTTAACATGAAATTCATAATACCTAAATTAAATTAATTTCATATAATTTATAGCAAGTATACAGATAACTGTGTTGTTAAAAGTGTAAAAAAATGGGGCAAATCCATAGTCTTATGATATTAAAAACCAGATGCCACTTTTATTATTTCTGCCCAATAAGAATCACACTATTTCAGATGCACATTCCCTAGTTATGTCATGTCGGTTTGTCTTTCACTACACCATTAATATCACCTATTGAGATATTTTTAAAGCTTAAAATTGTACAATAATTGAGGTTTTTGAGTACCATGGCAAATGTAGAAAACAAGTTCTTATTGAGTAATTTCTTTTTTCTGTTTATCTCATAATAGTTCATTTTCTCAAGAAACAAAATAGTTTCTGAGGCACTAGTTTTGCTTCATGCTCCAGCTACTTACAAGAAATTCAAAAGTCAACGTCTAAAAAAAGTATTGTGTCCAAGTAGATTGTGAATATGACTTTATGGAGAAGAAAAAGTATTGCTATGACATCAGGAATACATACACGCAGTTCTGTCTGGAGGAACACAGAAGATGAAGCAGTGAAATGATATCTGTACGGAGATGTAGGCAGGCTGTATACTGGTGGAGCCTGCTCTGGAGCAGCCTGAGTTTTCCCTAACATTGGGTTTCTACTCTCCACTTACAGTGTGGCTGATTCAAAAGGTAGAGATTAGGAAAAACAAAAGGACATGATCAATTTGTGACTTGTACAATTTTTTTTAATATTCCGGAATGAGTTAACAGACTAAGAATAAGAATATTGGAATACATATTCTTGGAAATGTATTGGAATATATATTTTTAAACAGTTTTGTCAAACTGTAACTTGACTGTGACAATACAAATATGAAAATATAAAATATAAATGAAAAGTCCAGACTTGAATAAAAGAAATAGAAAGGTGGCTTGCTGTTTTTAGGATCAAATTTTATGTTGTTTATTGATTTATTTTAGAAAATTCAAATTAAAATGTTATGCAGAACATGGATTTAATTATGAGTATTGTCAGATTTTATAACATGTAAGAAATACTTGACTAGAATATTTTTCTTTCTTTTGTTTTGTTTTTTGGTGTTTGGTTTTTTTGAGACAGGATTTCTCTGTATTGCTTTGGAGGAGCTCCCTCTCTAGACAAGGCTGGCTTTGAACTCACAGAGATCCACCTGCCTCTGCCTCCCATGTGCTGGCACTAAAGGTGTGCACCCCTAATGCCGGCTCAGTTGACATTATTTTAATAATTGTTTGAATATTAATTTCTACATGCTTAATTAAATTTATATTTGTTTATTGGTGGTGTAAATGTACTAACAATATTTTTTGTTTTGTCTTTGTGGTGTGTTTGTGTACGTATGAGCACATAACAGCATGTCTCATTGTGTTTGAGTGTATTGTGGGTAACTTCAGATATGGTTCTGCCTTCTCCTGTTTGACACATTGTCTATTAATGTTTGCTTCTGTGTTACTACTGCCTAATAGGCCAGCCAGCTACAAAGCCTTCTTCTGTTTTTTGCCTTCCATCTCTCTGTGCAAACACTGGGATTACAGATAAGTGCTAATATGTCTGATGTTGTATAGGCTCTGAGACTCCTAACCCAGGTCCTTGTGTTTGTGCAGCAAACATTTGACAAGCTCAGCCATTTCTGTATCTTTCAAAGGTATCTTTTAAAGTACATGGATGATTTTCTTTTAAATTGTATTTTCTCAGGGTTTGCCAGGCCCACCAGGCGAAAAAGGTGAAAATGGAGATGTTGGACCCATGGTAGGCTATGTTTCCCAGAGATTTAATGATATTATGCATGTTAACAATACTCACATATAATTACAATTTATTAGTGTTAACAAAACAATTGTGAAATTGTGTTGCTCTCCCACTAAAATCTGTTTCCTATTCATGTATCATCGGTAATAATCAAATGTTGATACTGTTTCAAAAATAGTCTTTTATATTCATCCACTTCAGAATAATGTTATATGTATACCTGACATTCAGTGATTCACATATTTAATGAATATAAAACATTTATGTGATCCAGTACCACACTAATGTTTTGCGAATCTTTTGCTTTGGACTTTGGTGTGGAACAAAGACTATATAACACTCATATAGGATTTCTATAATTAATAACTATAGAGGGAAAATAAAATTATTGTATTGTGTAACAACTACTAAATTTAGTGAAGAATGCATTATTAATTCAAGTAGTATTACATTTATTTTAAATTATCAATTTGGACTTTTATTTACTTTAAGAAGTAAACCTAAACTTCTAAATATATTTGATAAGGAAATGTTTTCTCAAAGTATTTGAAAATTATATCTGATGAATATATGTATAAATTGAGTTCCTTCCATCCATCATTGCTGACAATTTTGATTGATTTCAAAATACATATTTTAGTATTTGTACTTTAATAAAGAATTTTATACTATATTCCCTGATCATGCTTTATCTCTCCCCCAGCTCTTCCCTACCTGCCTACTATATGCCCTCTTTTTAATAAAATAACAATAACAAAAAATCAAGAAACATAAAATCACACAAAATCAGAAACCAAACCCAAAATATTCAAGGAAAAGACAAATACAACCAAAATAAATCTATAAAAATACCAGTGAGTTTGTTTTGACCACCTATACCTAGACATGGGATTCTACTTTTATTTTGAAGTTTAATTATTATAAATTATATTTCTTTCACTTTAGGAGCAACATCTAAATTTATTACATACTATGAAATTATTCTTATCACTAGCAAATCTGTGAGGAATAAACACTATATATGGCTGACTAGGTCATACTCTGAAGCAGCAGGTGACATGTTGTAGTCCATTTTTCTAGATCTAGCATTTGCTAGTCATGGAACCACACCACCCCTAGCACATGCTAGGTCAGATTAGAAAATGTATCAACTATTGATTAGGTTAAACTGAGATTTTATAAATACTAACGACTAGGTGTTAACTACTGACTCTTTATTTCATGTTATACAATCTTATTTATTTATTTATTTTGAGCTATCATAATTGCAAACAAGAAATAAGGAATACTGGATAACAGTGTTTTGAAAAAATATATCATGGAATAATTTTATAATATTCTAAAACATAGAAGCTTCATTGTACGGATGCAACTAAAGAGTTATTTGCAATCTTATAATGTCAAACCTGAGAATTGATACATTCAGTCATGTTCATACAAATTAAAAACAATATTCCTTAGTATTGGTTTTCTTTTTGTTGTTTTTCCAGTGTTATGATTATTTTTTGCTGTGATATATTGTTGTATAATGTGACACTGTCTATATTGTGAATAATTTGTACCAGCAATAAACTTCCTATATTGCTTTTCTGTTTCTTTCTCTTTTTTTTTTCTGAAATGTTAATTTTCTATCAGTGAGTAAAGGGTCATTTGTTGAATGATGTGATATTGTATTCATCCTGAATATTAGTAACACGATATCTTCTCTGCCTGTTATCTCACAGCAACAAGCCTCTTAAAACATGCATATATTAACTGCACTTATGTATGATTTTGTCAAACTTTGGTGTTTTTTTTCTTTTCTAGGGTCCACCAGGTCCTCCTGGCCCACGAGGTCCTCAAGGTCCCAATGGCGCTGATGTAAGAACTACAATGTGTATGCTAGTTAATTTCAAATGACACTTGGTGCCAGTGTTATATTTTGGCAGATAGTTTATGAGAGGCAATGGAGATAATCACATTATTGTTTACCCATAGAAGTTGGTGAGAACTCAATGGCCATCTACTCATTCCACTTCCTAACAGAAAGAAAGAAATGGCTTTTCTCCTGAACAATTCACCATTAATATAAAGTAGACACCTAGTTCACACTTAACATATGTTTATTGGTGAAAAATATCATTTGTATCAATATAAGCCATGTTTTTCAGAATAGTATACTTACATTGTAGCTGATTGATATGTGATAAATGTTGTCTAAGTAGTTATTATTGAATTCTTCAGTTTGAGCTTTCTCTCTGGCAATGCTGTAAGAGCTTTGTAATTGGCTTTGAGTGTATGGGTCTAGGGGTGCAATTTAAACACCTGTTACATATGTATTCACATAAAGGTTTTACCTCACATATTTCTAATCTATAAAGCATTCAGAGAAATATGTGCATTTATGCAACCTTTCTCACTGAGAGGAAACAGTTCCTTCTCACTTATTTAATAAAGACATTCACCTTAGAAACAGGTCCAGCATTCACATGGAAAGTTATAGAATGTAATAATACATCCATGCTACTGTTATATTCGATACATTCATTACTAGGCCTATGTGACCTACTTCTGGCTTTGTATTTTGCAAATGAAGCTGCTTGTTTTCCACATTATTTTGGATAGGATTTATTTTCTCTTATGTTTGCCTTTAATTTTATTAAGTCAGAACTAATAAAAGGTATCAGCAGCTGGCAAACTAGAAATGGTAAACTAGAAAAAGATATGGGGCTTTCAATCTCCTGAAGGAATCTGATGTCTCGCAGTTTATAAGGGTTTATTTTTCCAGTGCAGTAGATCATTCTTAAATACAGTCACAACAGTGATTCAGTATATGATCATATCGTAAATCTGTCTTGATTATTTTATGGGCAGAGACAATGGAATTTTGTGTCAACTACCAAATACATGACAAAATCTGGAACATCTCTTTGCCTTATGCTCCAATTCCCGGGAAAGTTGAAAGCTGATGTAATATATAAAACTATTTGTTGTTAGTAAATGTGACAACTGAAGAAGCTGGAGAAGTCATTACTTTGTGTTCTACCCCTCAATTATATACTCCTGTATATAATGTTCTCTTTTGAAAACTGTATATTCATGTATGTGAACTGAACATTCCACTAAAAGTATAACTTCATTTCTTTTTCTACATCCCAGGGACCACAAGGACCCCCAGGCTCTATTGGTTCTGTTGGTGGTGTGGGAGAAAAGGTGAGGGCATGATGTCTAAAACAGCGAAATAAAGAGCTTTGATAATTATGAGGCATATTTTACATGCTGCTAATATGTTTGATACATATATTCACAAATCCAGTGTTATTCATTCTAGAACCTACACAGATAGAAATCGAATGCTGGTGTGTGTTTTGTATGGACACCTGTGATACTGAATGCTGCATGCAGATTATTTCCTGTTTCAGTGCAGGGTAGGAGTCATCATGATCTGCCTTTGTGAACGGGAAAGCTGAGGCTTAGTTAATTACAGTGATTTGGTGAATGTATCTTCATTAGAAAGCGACAATGCCAAGCTCTACTTCAGTGTCTGAATGTCTGAGGAGACTACAGTGTCTTTCATTAGTGACACTTGGTACTTAAGCAGAGGAAACTCTGTCCTACAACTGAGCCTCAGACGAAAGGAGTCTTTCACATCCGAAAACAATTAATCACTGATTGTTGTCACCTTCTCATTACTAAGACATATGCCCTCTCTGGCGCTTTTCAAAGCCCTTGGCATGTGCCATAACATCTATGCTCTGAACAGCTCCTCTTCCTAGTAAATGCTATTTCATCGTAAAAACTACTCTTCCTTTTTTTTGGAAAATGTCAAAATGATTCTTTGATTTCTTATTTATGTATTTCAACTCACATCTTAATAGGATTTTAAAGAAAATTACCATTTACATTTACTTCATTTAAGAAAATGTTTTGCAAGTTTTGGATAACAAAATAAATATAGTTTGTACCATAAAATATTATACAGGGAAAATATATAAAATTTCACATCTACTCTACCTATTAAGGCATAGTTGTAGTGTTTGTATTCCAACATTGAAACATGATTCTCTTTCTTGCTTTGATTTATTTTTGACACATTTTATTTTCTAATTAGTTCATTTATTTTCATTAATAGAGCTAACTCTCCAAATAGTAGTGTAATGATATTAAACTGTGTTATTTTGATACTTCTGTTTCTCATTCCGACTCTTGTATTTATACTTAACTGCATATGACTCACTGTTCAAATAGCTCATTAATTACTAAATTAGAAACAAATTACACTTTCTAGTTTTTAGTGGTAAATAATCGAGTTTCTTTGACAATTGCTTATTTGGGTGCTTATGTATGCTATTAAATAAGTAAAAGCTGTATGTTGAGACAGACACAATTTTTGGAAGAAATATTCTCATTGAGTTTAATTGTCATAGCTTAAAAGCATAGGACAAGATCAGTATTAAAGATATATGGTCTTGGAAAAAAATCCTACTGGGTTTACTCCCTCTACCTTCTTTCTTGAGAACATGTCCTCTGGGCTCTGATGGTGTCCATAGTGTTAGGGATCCTTTGTAATTTCAAGAGACATTTCATGTGCTTAGCTTATGCCTTGATTATTGTAAATCCCAAGAATATAGTTTTAAGTATTTTATTTTCTTTTGTTTAAACCTTATCTATGAATCTAGACTTTGTCTCTATGAAAGGTAATCACTTTTGTCAGTATTGTTAGTTTGGAGCTAGACTCACACCATTGTCATGGAGGTTATAGGTCAAATTAATATTTTGTCAATTTTGAGTCTTATACTGTGTAATAAGGCTGGTGATTTGAATGTTAGCTTATAATTTAATTTGAATTTATTCATTTGAAATTTATGTAGTTTTAAACTTACTTTTCGGTGTGCTACTACCTGCATGTGACTTTTATATTCTATGGGTATCTAAATTAAAACTTATTGCTTGATAACAATATTTTTCCTTTAAAAAATTTCCTTATGACAGTGAAAGTGATAGAAAACCAAAATCTTAACTTTTTACAAAATGTGATATTGTATAATTGAAATTGATTATACATGGATTGTGACTAATTTCATTGCATTTTCTAGTTTTGAAGAAAAAGATTGACAAACATGATCCATGATTTCTATTGTTCAAATACAACATCTGATCTTCAAGAACCATTTATGGAGGGTGTCTCAACAATTTTCTCTGAACAAATCAGCAACACATTTTCTTAATAATGATAATTTGTAATTACTCTGACATGTAGGACAGCTTGCTGTTGCTTCTGCAGGAAGCACTCTTGAATAAGCAGAGAGTGCAATAGTACTATGGTATAATAACTGCACACTCCTTCATCTTTTTCACTAACTAGTGTTTTATCATATAACATCATTATATTTCCATAGAGTAAGTAACCCTTTACCTTATTCATACCATAGGATGGACCTCATTAACATGACATATTCTGTTACATTGCTGTATTTATTTGCAATTTTGTTATCCCACTTTTAAAAGTTTCTAATACAGTCAGTTTTAGGAATTACTGATTTTATATTCAGTAGTTATGATTTGTTTATCATATGCGTAAAGATAAATTTAACATTCTTAAAGGAAATGAATGTTTTTGTATTATTCTTACAGATTTTGTAGAAGTTTTCACCATTACATGTTACACATTTCTTGACTATCATTATTTTCTTCATTTCAGAAAATTGTAAATAATCTTTTCAGAATGTCACTTCCATTATATTTAACAAAAATGGAAAGAGAAGAGCAAAATATATTGATGTTAACTTAAAAATATGTAGTTTTCTTTCTAGTTCCAAATTTCTACAATAATAGCACATGATAATGTGGCACACAAGAAAAATATTTTTTGTTCAATATTTCCAAGATTTTTAATTAATATTGCATATTAATATTCCATGAGTTACATAGTTAGTATGGACATTTTACAGTTTATTTGAATGGAAAATTACTTCTTTCCTTTCAAATATGTGAATAGTATCCCCCCCCAAATTACTGATATATCATTTAATCATATTAAGATAGTTGAATAGGTCCTTTCTTCACATATAATGTAAATGCAATATTTTACTTGTAATAACTCTCCAAAATACAATATATTTGCCATTTATCTTGGGGAAGATAAAATTTATATGCAATCCCACATATAAAAAAATTCTGGAAAGTACTGGGTGCCATCATAGCTGTACAAATACCTTAAGCATTCAAAATATGTGTGTATCTCCGAACACTAAAAAATTTTATCAGTTCCTTTGCTGAAATGATGTTTGTACTTACTATGGAAAATTTCAACCAACCTGTAATCAGAAGTATGTTCCAGGAAGACCTGTGATACCAGTGTTTAAAATAAATAACTAGAAAAATCCTATCCACTTCAGAATGATGACGATAACTGTTGTTGGAGTGGCTAGAGGAGTGCTGAGTGGAACATTGGCACGCAGTCATGCGTGTGTGAGTGTGTGTGTGTGTGTGTGTGTGTGTGTGTGTATACGTGCATGTGTGCGTGTGTGCATGTGTATGTGTGTGTATGCATGTGCTGCATCCTTCATTAAGTAATCATTGGAATAAGATATTATATTTTTATACATTTCTAAGAAGGAGGCACTAGCAGTAGACTTCATAACTAAATCCCAACAAAGTGTTCATTTGTACATAAACATTACAAATTGAATACCCTTTGTGATATATTTATTTGAATATGGATTGTTGTTTCCTTACACAGTTTTGTTTTTACTGGTCATATGGGCTGGCAAATAATTCAGCTCGATAAAATGAGAGCATATAAGCCTTTAAATTTAGAATATGTAAATACTCAAATACAAGAGTTTTTATTAAGCAATTTATATTTCACACTGATTTCAACTAAACTCATTCTGTAATATTATCAATATAATGCCATGTTTTATAATGATATATTTTATTAGCAAGAGAGTATATTTATAGTTTAGTACAAAAATCTTGCTTTTTAAAATCAATAATTCTGATTACAAAATGAATTTTGTTGTCACACTAATACAAACTGTTAGAATACATTCTGATTTTTGTCATAGCTTTGTGGTGACCTGGTTTGATTTGCTAGATTTTGTCTACCAAAACTGAATCCTTATTTCATCTGTTTCTTCAATTGAGTTATTGAGATAATTAATCCAAATTCTCTTTTTCTTATTAGATTTTTGATGTATTTTAAGCATTATAGTAAGGTTGAAGCTGGTCTAAATTGGGATGGCCATAGTACAAGCATTATTACTTATAGAAAACACAATTTTTTTTCTTACCCTCATATGATACTTTCTTTGCAGGGTGAACCTGGAGAAGCAGGGAACCCCGGCCCCCCTGGCGAAGCTGGCTCAGGTGTAAGTCCTATAGTAGTAAAGCCATTATCAGGCTTCATTAGATACTTAGGAATTTTTTTTAGAGTATTTGAACATCAAATTTGAATACTGAGAATATTTGCTTTCCAACTTATTTAATATGACCATGACTACAAAAACACTGTTTCATAACGGTCAATACTCTATGTGTTTTGAATATCATCAAAGTTTTAAAATGTCACTTTTGTTTGAGTTAAATCATTAAGATGATTAAGTGTTTATTGTATATATTCTGTTTGGTGAACTGTCTATAACAGGAAAAAAAGAACAACAGTTTCCTTGCTGCATTAAATAAACATTTGTTAATTAAAACTGATTATTCAACATAAATCCAGCTGTTATTAAAACTACTACATTCCCTTGACAATCTATAAATATTTTGACTAGCTTTCAGGGTTCAAGGCTATTGGCATTTTATAAATTCAGTTTGTTATCTTTTAGATATTTGAAATTCAGAAGAAAGTGAATTGTCCATCCCACAATATTGATGTCAAGATGTTGAAACAGTATATAAAGTGATTATTTCTTCTTTCTGTTCTGTAGGGTCCCAAAGGAGAGAGAGGAGAGAAAGGAGAAGCTGGGCCCCCTGGTGCTGCTGGTCCTGCTGGTGCTAAGGGACCACCAGGTGATGATGGCCCTAAGGGGAACCCGGTGAGTTTGTCCTTTTTAAAATGACAATTGTGTCATAAATACTTCTTAGCTCTTTTTGGTTATTAAAATTTTCATATTATTTTAATATTGCATCTTTGATATGTAAAGCTACAAGAAATATATACATACATACATACATATATACACACCTTTAATTTGTCATATTTGTCATGCTAAGATCAAATCCAAAGCCTTTAGCAAGTTAGGCAAGTACTCTATAACTGATCCCTAGTCCTTTTTTTTTAATTTTTTTAATGAATTTTTTTTTCTTTTCTTTTCTTTTCTTTATTTTATTTAATTTTATATAACAAAGTCCAATTAAATGAAAACAAACATTTATACACAATATTTGGGAATTTGGGCATCGTTCTTTCCAAACTACTTCCTGCTGGTAAGGGGCACTGTCATGGGGGATTCGAAGAAGATTCAGATATCCTGGCTGTAGTCTGTAGGGCTGTTTTTGTCCAGCTGTTTTGAATGTAGGATGACCTTGTACTCTGTTTCAGTCGGTCTGGCGTGATCAAACCACATTAGTCTGGAAGGAATCCACATCTTTTCATTTTCTGTGGAAACAAAAATAGAAATCCTTTTCCCCTTTGCAAACATATCCCCCATGGAGGGATAACTGCCTTAATCTAGAGACAGGAGAGAAGCCCTAGTCCCTACTTCACAGGACCTGTCAGATCTACATGACCCCAACTGGATGGCATTCCCCTACATATGGAATTGGGGTGGGGGGATGGGAGGGAAGGGTGGTTAGGGTGCAATTGAGAGGGCAGAGAGGGTAAAAGGGAGGGAAGGAAGGAGGGAGAGGGAACTGGGATCGACATGTAAAATAATAAATTAAATTAAAAAAAATGCTTTGACTCCAAAATTTTTTTTCTTTATATTTAGTGTTTTTCAAAATAGGCTTTTACTCTATAGCCCTGGCTATCCTTAAACTCTCTTTCTAAACCAGGCTAGCCTTTAACTCAGAGATCTACCTGCCTATGTCTCTGCTGGGATAAAAGGCACTCACCACCACCTCCTGCTGTAAATATTTTTTTTATATATTTCAGAAGCCTAACATTATTTTCCTCTAAATTGTGTGATTCTGGAAACAAGTTATTGCTTGATGACATATGGAGATCTAATTATAGCCCAAGAAACCCTTAACTTTATTTATTTTCTCAAGTTGAAATTATAAAGAGTATTCAACATTCATTAAAAAATAACTCTCAGCCATCTAATTTTGAAAATGAAAAGTTTTATCTAATTGATATTTTAAAACTTAAGTAAATTCTGTGTTAAAGTAGCTTATCCATCATTTCTTAACTTTTCATATAAAGATTAGAACTGTGGGATTCTGGTGAAACTAAAGTTATTATGCCATATAACATATTTGCAAGCATTCTTAGTTCCTTTTAAATTTAGTTACTTATTATTTTTCATCTGAAGAATATATCTAAGCAGTTGTTGCCATGAATTTAGCCTCTTAAACTAAATCATAACATTGTGAACCTTCATCTTTTTTCCTTTTATAACATCTCTCTAGGGACCCGTTGGTTTTCCTGGGGATCCTGGTCCACCTGGGGAACCTGGCCCTGCAGTAAGTATCATGGATAAATAACAGGATGCTTCTGTGAAACCATCCCCTCAATCTATAGTAGCACTTCAAAAAAAATCTCTTATAAATGAACTTCTAAAGACAGAAAGCCAAATGAATCATACAGAAATCACACGGATGGTAAATTTAACTAGTGACTACTGTGCCTCTGTTATATGACTGTCCTCTTCTTTTGAACAATTATTGAAACTTTCCTGAATTACCTAAATTGTCTGAGTAGCAGCTGTAATTATATTACAAAGTTCAAGAGTATTTCCAAATGTCGTTTATTATGCAAATCCTACTTTGAATTGCATTATGTCTGTTCCTGGTAAACTGAAGCACTAATCTTATGCACCAAGTGATTATTCATACCTTATATCAAAAGACTACTTTATACCCAATCAGTTATAATAACAATTTGCCAATTATTTATTCATAGAGGAAGAGGCACCAATAACCAAATAAGTATTACAATTTTATTTGTCCATCTGATTATAGCTTATTTCAACACTATACCAAGGTAGTCTGTGTAAGTTTTGTACTTTTATAATACATTATAACAAGAATTATTTGCATTAATTTTCACTGTCAATTATAGGGGCAAGATGGTGTTGGAGGTGACAAGGGTGAAGATGGAGATCCAGGGCAACCGGTATGCAAGAAAACTTATTATTTTTCCTCATCTGTAAAGCCCCATATACAGATCATTCTTACACATTAAACCTCATTGTGTGTATTGTGTATTCATTTCTCAAAAGTGTAGCATATGTTTAGCAGCTTGTTTTTTCTTAATTTTTAACATAAATTCTCCCCTCATACAATTACATCCTAACCACACCTTCATCTTCTTCCACTCCTTTTAACATCCTTCAACTCCCCTCTCCTCCATATACATCCCCCCCCCCAAAAAAAAGATCAGATCAGGCCATCCATATACAATGAGGTCATGTACAAAAACCCTGAAATCTAGGCTGGGTGAGGCAACCCAGTAGGAGAAGAAGGATCCCAAAATTGGGCAAAAGAGTCAGAGACAACCATATCCCCACTTGTTGATAAAAAAGTAATGCATTTGAAATACCATAAGAAATAAGAATATCAGACTAGTAACTTATTGTAGGTCATAAGCTATTTCAGCCAAGCAACTAAACGCAATTATAGTGTAGATATTTTAATATTATTTTTGAAATGACACAGAAGTGTTTTGGCCGCATGGGTTACTTAGCAAAGGAGAAAATACAGAATGCATTAACTTAAATATGTTTGAAGACAGCTGAATCTCATACAAGGTTCTAGCCATTAGATGTTGGAAATCTAAGTTACACTTATGGTACACATCCCCACATAGTTGTTTACTTAGTGTAGCAAAAACTACAAGTGTTGTATGAGAAAAAATTTAGAGGTAGTAAATTGATGAGTTCACAGTTGTAAGCTATGATAAGACTTAAGCATGTGTATGTTTGGTGTTTACGGATCCCTTTACTATGTTTTAAATGGCACAGGTTTCCACAAGGGAAACTTGAAGAACTTTCCTATATCTGTGAAGAAGTTTACCAAATGAGTTTACCAGCTCATGCTGGGGATATATAGAAGCAATTCAGATCTCAGAATGGGGGCTGAGGTTTTTAGGAATGATAGATATGCATAAATGAGAAAAACAGTCAGTTCATATTGGAAGAAATTTTACTATCTATGAAAAATACCCAGCTATCAAACAGTGCATTTTACATGTACATATATCTTCATTTATAGGGACCCCCTGGTCCATCTGGTGAGGCTGGTCCACCAGGTCCTCCTGGAAAGAGGGTAAGTTTTTCTCATTCTCTATTTAATTGTTCCCTGTGTATTTAGCCTGGTATTATCCGTACAAACTCTAGGCTGCATCTGCAGATAAAAATATAACCACTTTCTTTGATATGTCAAAGTCAACACTAACTCAGAATATAATTTAACTATTTTACTGTCACAGTTTGAATAAATCAAACAACTCATCCACTGAGAGTTACCTGCTTCTCTGAACAAATGTTGACTGCTGTTAAACAGTTCCAGTTCCAGCCCTTAGTATCTCCATGGGGGAGAAATGTCCAAAGCTTAGTGTACAGTACACCATGAAAGTGTGAATCCATATCACTAGACTGAGAGCAAGCATTCATTATATTGTAGATGGCTTTATGTGATCAAATTTCATGGAATTGGAAACATGATTTATATTGAATCTCAGTTTTCATAAATGACTATAGAAGAAAATTAGTAGCTATGGTCACACTAACTGTCTCTGTGAAGATGAGATGTGTCAGCAGGTAAAAGTGCTTACCAGCAAGCTTGATGTACTGTGTTCAGTTCCTCAGGTCTGCATGACAAAATGAGAGAAATGACACCTGCAAGTTTCCCTTTGGCTTTGACCTCCATGCACATTCTCCTGTGCACATAAAATGACAAACACAAAATAAATAAATAAATAAATAGATGTAAAATATTACAAAAAACATAATACTGACTACAGTAGAACCAAAGAGATTTAAAGATTTTCGTTGTAGTATTAGAAATAATAACTTCAGGTATTAATATATTTTGGTATTTTAATGCATATCTGTGATATGCATTGATACAACAGGTTAATGGTCTTTCCATCTCCTGTCCTATTTGAAGCTTTTGCCTTTGAGATGTTTATAGACTGTATATTAGGTAATTGTGCACTATAATCATCCCACAACTATTGTCGGTTTAATAAAAAACTTAAGTTTTTATCTCTACCTCTGTTTTTGTACCTGTTAACTAGTAATATTTTGTCCTGCTCCCTCCACTCTTCCTAGTAATGACTATTTTATATTCAGTTTACACTTCATGTATAAGTGAGGAAAGCCATTTGTCTTCTATTGGCCATGTTGATCTTATTTCACATGACATAATGTCCTCCAATTCCATTCAATTTCTCACAAATGACAGGATTTCACCTTTCTGTATGGCTGACTAATACCCACATTTTCTGTAGACGTAAATCTGTTTGTTGATTCCATATCTTACTTATAATTGGTGCTACAAGGATCATAAAGAGGGCAGGGAGCATTTGGTAGGCAGATGTAATTCCCCTTAGAAATATAATCAGTAAGGGAGTATTAGAACATGTTAGATCTAGATTTACCCTTTTTGAGGAACCACCACACTGTTTCCACATAGATACACTATTTGAAAACCCTGAAACAATGTATGACAGTTCCTTTTTCTGTATCTTTGCAGCCTTTGATGTTTTTATCGTAGTCATTCTAACTGCAATATGTGATCACATTATGACTTTGTTGTACATTTACCTCATGAATATCTTGAATGTATCTGTGGTCCATTTTCATTTCTTTTGACAAATGTCCTCTGAGATCATTGACCCAGTTTTTAAAATTTTTTTAATTTTATATTTTTTTTCTTATTTTATATATTGATCACAGTTCCCTCTCCTTCCCATCCTCTCATGCACTCTGAACCCCACCCCTTTGTCCCATTCCCCATCCACTCCACAGGGAGGGTGAGGCCTTCTAGGAGGGATCATCAAAATCAGTGAAATCATTTGGGGTGGGGCCTAGGATCTCCTTCCTGCCTCTAGGCTAATGGAGTATCCCTCCACGGGGAATGTGTTCCCAAATTCCTTTGTTGCACCAGGGCTACATCCTGGTTCCACTGTCATAGGTCCCATAGACTGCCCAGGCCTTCTAACTGAGACCCATGTTCAGGGAGTCCTGGGTTTGTCCTATGCTAGTTTCCCAGCTATCAGTCCATGAGCTATCCCTTATTCAGGTTATCTGTCTCTGTGGGTTTCTGCTGCATATCCCATTTGCTTATCACTTCTCCCTCTTTGCAACTGGATTCTCATAGTTTGGCTCAGTGTTTAGCTGCTTCTGTTTCCATTAGCTATTGGATGAAGGCTCTAGGATAGCACATAAGGTAATTATCAATCTCATTATCAGTGAGGGTATTTAAGGTAGCCTCTGCATTATTGCTCAGATTGTTACTTGGGGTCTTCGTTGTAGGTGGCTGAATATTTTTCTAATGCCAAATTTCTCTTCAGACCTATAATGGCTACCTCTATTATGGTATCTCTTTTCTTGCTCTCCTCATTTCCCCCCCCCCTACTCAATATTCCTGCTCCCTCATGTTCTTCTCTTCCCTGATCTTTTCTCCTTCTCTTTCTCCTAACTCCTTCTCCATTTACTGTCACTGTCCCCTCCAATCCCAATATGATCAGGAGATCATGTCCTTTTCCCTTTCTGTGGGGGACCATGTATGTCTCTCTTAGATTCCTCCTTGTGTCCTATCTTCTGTGGCAGTGTGAATTGTAGACTGGTGATCCTTTGCTCTATGGCAAAACTCCATATATGAATGAATAGATACCATACCATGTTCCTCTTTTTGTGACTGAATTACCTCATTTAGAATGGTTTCTTCTAGTTCCATCCATTTGCCTGACAATTTCAAGATTCCATTGTTTTTTCCACTGAGTAGTACTCCATTGTGTAAATGCACTATTTTCTTTATCCATTCTTCAGTTGATGGGCATCTAGGTTGTTTACAGATTCTAGCTATTACAAATAAGGCTGCTATGAATATAGTTGAACAGATGTCTTTGTTGCAGGGATGTGCAACTTTTGGGTATATGCCTAAAAGTGTAATTGCTAGATACTGTGGTATATTGATTCCCATTTTCCTCACGAGATGCCATACTGATCTCCAAAAGGCTTTTACAAGTTTGCTCTCCCAACAGTAGTTGAGGAGTGATCTCCTCTCCACATACTTTCCAGCATAAACTGCCATGGGTGTTTCCCATTTTTAATCCAAGCCCTTATTTTGTAGTTGTTACTACTGCTGTGTCTGGTTCCTTTTATGTTTTGCAATTTAATCCATTGTCAAATAGTTGGCAGATGTTCCCCCCACTACATCCTGTGTACATACCTCATTGATTGTTTTCTTAGCTGTATAGAAGCTTTTTAAATTGATATTATGCCATTTGTATACTTCTACTTTTTTGTGTAGAGGCAACTATCCAAATGTTGTTTACTCACATCAGTATAAGTGTTCCTGCTTTGCTTTCAAGTAGTTCCATATGTTCAGTGTTTCTATTTATTTATGTATTTATTTATTTATTTATTTATTTATTTATTTATTTATTTGGTCTGTAATCTATCCTGAGATGATTTTCAGAATGATACTTACTAGTCAATAATCAATATTCTTCCTAGAACTGTTTAACAAAAAGTTTATTCTTTCTAAAAATGCCTGATTTTGACCCCTTTTTTAGCAGTGGTTACCTGTAGATATTTGATTTATTTCTGAGATCTCTAATATATTCCACTGGTGTGCCGTTTTTTTTTTTAATGCCATGCTATTTTAGTTACTACACGGTACTATGACTTGAAATCAAGTCTGTGTTTTATGATCAACATTCAATGGCTATTGGGAGATTTTTGGTGCTTTTCCAAGTATTATAAGATTAATAGTAGTTCTATGAAGAACATTATTAGTATCATGATAGGGGCTTATCAGTATGGTGGATTTTCACTTTAGAGTTTACTTCCTTGATAATTTTCTTTATTGAAATTTTCATCTTTTTCTATCATTGATTATGATCTCTATCAAGTTTATCAGTGTTTGTTAATATACTTTTTTTATTTTTAATCTTCTCATTTGCTGAATTATATGTTCAATAGTTCTTCTGTGATGGTGCATTTAGGAGATGAGTTATATTTCCCACTGTTAATCTAGGGATAGTTTCTTAGTTCTTTAAAATATTGGAAATATTCAGCAAGAATTCATTTTTTTTTTTTTCTACCAAGAAGTCCTTTGCTGGAAGACTTTTTATTAGAAAGGAATCTTACTACTTGAATATTATCCTGTCCAAATAACATTATTGTTACTGCTAATTCTTAGTACTTTATTATTTTCCTAGTGAATGTCTTTTGCACCACCCATATATCTTTTTGTCTTATTTTCTGTACTGTTAATAAAAAGATTGTAGTGAGCATCAAAATTATTCTTTCAAATAAATTATTTTTCCCTGATCCAGTCACACAATAATTAAAAACACTATTCATTTTTACAGCTATCTTAATGTTATAAACATCTTTTCTGAGTTGAATATTCTCTCATTGAGCCTTTGTATCTCAGCACTCTTTTTCAAACTTTAGGTATTATACAAAAAATTAAATTGTCAGTTGTATTATCTAAGATCTTTTGGATGAGTCATGGTGTACATTTATTTTTTCAAATGGGTTGAAATCTTTCTTGAGAAAATCAGAAATCTTCTGCTTTTCTTTCAACCTCAAATGATTAAATATATAATGTGCTGGGTAATAGAGTAATGAAATCAAATTCAAATTTCTAGACTAGATTAACTTCCTCCAACCTGCATAACTTTGCTCAATTTACTTATCCTATGTTTTTTCAAGATACCTGCATACTATGGTTGGGTAAATAAAAAGTTAGACAATATGCAAACACTTGTGTCCATATAACCATTCTTGACTATTAATCATAGCCTTATTTATGAAATAATTACTTTGTACTGATGTATTATATGTTACTTGGAATCTGTGATGACTACACCAATCTTACAAAACTATTCATATCCATTTCATATCCATATTGTTGTAGAGAATCAAACTGAGTTCTATTGATGTTTAATAAGGATCAGGAGAAACAAATAGGCTAAATAGATGTTTATTAAGGGAGAAATAACTTACAATATAGACTGATGAACACCAGCAGGTTCCTGGTACCAAGGACGCCTCTGGATGTACTCCTATCCCCGTGCTGCAAGCAAG